ATTCTCTTTGAAAAAAAGTTACATTGGGGAAAATTTTCTCATTGGAGAAAATATTTTCTTATTGGAAACAATATTATTTTTAAAGAAAAAATTCTCCTAGGGGAAATAATATTTTTTTTAGAGGAAATATTCTTTTGAGAAAAATTTTCATTAGGGGAAATATTCTCTTTGAAAAAAAATTTCTTTTTGAGGAAAATATTTTTTTTTTTTATGGAAAAAAAATATTTCGTTAGGGAAATATATTCTCTTTGAGGAAAATTTTCTCTTTGGGGTAAATATTTTTTTTTTTTATATGGAAAAATATTTCGTTAGGGAAATATATTCTCTTTGAGGAAAATTTTCTCTTTGGGGTAAATATTTTTTTTTTTTATATGGAAAAAAAATATTTCGTTAGGGAAAAATTTTCTTTTCGATAATTAAACCATATTCGGAATAGGGTACAAAAATAGTCGCATTTATAATAAGTAAGAATAATAAAATAATATATATATATACGTATTTATTAATATTTGTACATATCGATAATGCGATACGAGAGAGAGATCGTTGTAATTGTTAAATTAATAATAAATTTATATATTATACAATAATAGAGAAATCCGATAATAAAACACTTTCTTACAATATTTCGGACCTCTCTCTCTCTCTATTTCTCTCTTTTCTTTAAAAAAAAAACTCGTATCGCAATAATTATAATATAATGTTCGGAAGTTTATAGGGGAAATCTACGATGAAAAATATATAATGTACAGCAAAAAAAGAAAAAAAAAATTTTTTTTTTGCATCGTTTTATCCCTTTTTTTCATCTAAGCACAACCTCGAGAAAGCATATTCTTCGTCTTTACATTCGAAGTTGAGTCTTCAATTTATTAATTTTTTTTTTAGTATATTTAATTTTATACTTATACAGTTATATTATTTTAATTATTATTTGTCCTTAAATTGGGTTTCAATAGCTCGATTATTTTTAATTTACTACCCCCTCTCTTTCTTCATTATTATATATAATCTCCCCTTAGTGTTTAATATTTCATGATATCTTAAAATTATTATTATTATTATTATTATTATTACACTGAAAAAAAATTTATTTGATTTGAAAGAACTGATTACTTATTTATTATCAAATAAATATTTACTTGAATAAAATATTTTTTTTACTTCAAAACAATTAAATGTTATTTGCTTCAAATACCGAATTTATTGATACAAATACAATTTATTTTATTTAAATAAAAATTATTTGATTGAAATAAAAATATTTATTTTGTAATAAAAAAGCAATTGGTTATTTCAGTCAAATTTTTTTTCTGTGAAATATTATTAATATTAAGTATTAATATTATGATTTTTATTATTACTATTAACATTAATATTATTAATATTAATATTATTATTATTATTAAATATTAATATTATTATTAGTACTAATTTTATTATAAAAAATTTTTATCACATGAAGAGAAAAAAAAATCCGATGCGAAAACAAATAAACATGATTTACTATAACAATAAATACAACTTTATTTATAATTGTACAAGATTTTCAAATTTTATAGCCGTGTTAGGAATTTTTTGTTTTTTATTTATTTAAAATTAATATTATTTATTACTGAAAAATAAAATCTTATTTGTCAAAAAATTAAGTCATTCTTACATTTTCATACCTGCTTTGCGTATATCTCAGTCTTTTTTTTTTATACAATTTTCCGATTTTGGGTATTTTCTACTTATTTTTTTTTTTTTTTTTTATTTTTAATGAACTATACAGATTTGAAGAGTAGAAATAAAAATAAAGTTTCGATGACAAAACATTTGGTTCTTATTTTAGTAAATTTTTATATTATAGGAAAGGTTTCCAATGCGGGATATACAGTTTTTTTTTACCTATTTTTTGATATTTTGCAGTAAAATTTTGTTTTTGTTCGAATTCTTGCCTGTTTTGATTTGTGGAAATTTTTCCAAATAATAATAAATGATGAATAACAACAAATTCTTTTTTTAGAATATATAAAAGAAATTATTTTCTAAATTTGAATTAGTGAAAAGTCGTCCACTATGTTTAGTAAAAAAAAGAATTATTAGAAAATTTTTCTATTTTTTTTGCTCTCTTGAATTAATAAAAATATTTACTAATTAAAATTAGTGACCGAATTTTTGTTTTTGAATTACATAGTAAATCTTACTATTAAATAGTAATTTCTTCTAATTTATTAGTAAAATTTACTAATTCAAAAGCTAAAAGTCAGTTAATAATTCAAATTAGTAAACATTTTTACTCATTTAAATTTCGAGAGTGTAGTTTCAAATTCTTTATTCAAATTTTAGTAAAAATTACTAAGAATTATTAAAAAATTTTACGAATTTGAATTCAGTAAAATTTCTACTAATTTTTAATAGAATTTTATTTTTTTATTTTAAAGTTTCAAATCTTTTCTGAAATTCAAATTTTAATGAAAAATTATTTATAATTTATTGTGGGAAAATTTTTACTAATTTAAATTAGTGGACAACTTTTTGCACTAATTCAAATTTTAAGAGTAAATTCTTTTCTGGAAAAGAACAAACATTTTGCGAACTTACTGACGAAATAAAAAATAAAGAACATTAATAAATGAAACTATAAATTTTTTTATTGAAAAAATATTTTAATTCAAAATTTATTTTCGAACAGTAAAAGAAATTTTTTTTGCAAAAATACCGAAAATTAATTTTCTTATTTAGGAAATATTTTCTTTTAGGTTGAAGAAGTAATGGAAAAAAATTAAATATTTCATTTTTCTTTTACTTTTCAATGAGCATTAGAATAATTAGCTTAGATGATGACAAGAGGAGACAAAAAAAATTCAATAATTTGTTTTCAAACTACGCAGTTTTTATATATAATTATCAGACTTTTCGAGATTTCTCATTCTGATTGCAATATAAATTTTATCATTTCTATACTTATATATGTAATGTGTAGAATGAAAAAAAATATTTTTCCTTTATTTTCAAATTAAAGAGAAATTAATATTAATTATCAGTAATTATTGTAAAAAATTATTAATTATCAATTATTAATAATTCATAATTTCATTTTATTATTAAATAAATTAAAAATAATGAATTAAAAAAATTTTCAAATTTTAAACTTATTGTAAATTTTCGGTACGAGACTATACAGTGAGAATGTTTATAGAAAGAGAAAGTATGTATATAGAAGTAGGAAGATACAATTTATTATTTTTTTTCGGAAAAATGTGACTTTAGTGCTTTTTCTGTTTTTCTAGAAGCCGCTTTTATAGTCATATTTATATATGCGCTGATAAAAAATTTGATTATGTCTTTTCTACATGAGATATGTTTTCTTTCTAACACGCAAAAATAATAACACTTTACACTATCTACTCGAAAATATTTTTGAAAAATAAAATTTAAAAATAAACTTTTAAGTCTATTTCAACAATTTCATTTCTTAATGAGTCAATTACGTCATTAATTATCAACAAAATTAATCCTGAATTATTTAATTACAGAACTAGTTACAGAATTAATTACAAAATTAGTTACAAAATTAATCACAAAATTAGTTACAGAATTAGTTACAAAATTAGTTACAGAATTAGTTACAAAATTAGTTACAGAACTAATTACAGAATTGATTTCATAATTAATTAATTAATTATAGAATTAATTACAGAATTAATTTCATAATTAATTACATAATTCATTACAAAATTAGTTACAAAACTAATTGCATAGTAATTTACAGAATTAATTACAAAATTAATTAATTTCAAATTTTTTCAGTAAAAAATGAATTTAAAAAATATTTTACTGGTACTTTATTGTTACCGTTTATTTATTATACTTAACAATAATAATATTCAATTATTGTTGATATAAACTTGAAGAGATTTATTTTTAAATTACAAACTTTTAATATATTAAACTAAAGTATAATATTTTATACAAACAGAAAAATATTTTTCAATTTATACTATATTCATGATTTTTTTTTCTTTCTATATCAATGATAACAATTTATTAATTCACTTTTCTCATACATAACATAAAAACACACCCACACGAATGAAGACAGCGACAGTTTTTCAAATCCAACATTCAACTTTGAATTCATAAAGTATTCTATTAAAGCTGATGATGGTGATATTTTTATATTATTCCAATTATTATTATTATTTATTTTTCACTTCTCTAACACCATTTAATAAACTTATAATCTACATGAGTATTCTTATAGGCGATAAAATTATCAAAAAAGAAAAAAATTGAAATTACCATTTTTTTTTTAAATTCTTCGTTTCTAAATTTTTTAAAAATATTAATTAAAATTTCTGAACTATCTTCACTTTCGTTATAAGTTTGTGAGCAAGTGTTTTACATTTATATGAGTATTTAGAGGAAAACAAGTAATTGACTTGAATGATGGTGACATTTTTTTTCGGGGGGGATTTTGGATAAAAATAAATCAATTCCAAATTTATGCAAAATCTACGAAAATGAGGAATTAATAAAATTAATAAATAAACTATATATAAAAGGAACATAAACTATAAAATTATCGATTTCAGATTATATAATTTAAATTTAAAATAATCATCGTATTGATTTAAAATTAAAATTTATATTAAATTGTAAATCTTTTTTACAAAATTTGACAAACGTTTAATAAATTGATAAAATTTACCTAATCAATTTTTAATCGCTTATGATCACTTATAATTTTCAAACTATTTAATTAATTTTATTTTATTTTCGTGATTCAATTTTTTATTTAATTAATTTAATTAATAAAAAATAAATATTTTATGCAATTTTTAACGTTTTAAATAAAAAATGAAAATTACAAAAATAACAAATATTGTGAATAATTCCGGGAAAATTCTAATTAATAACTTAAAATTCAATTATATAGTAAATATATAATAAATAATAAATCTATGTATATAATAAATATACAATGAAAAATAAATATACAATAAATAATAAATATAAAATAAAAAATAAAATATTGTCCTCAATATTAATATAGAGTTTGATAGAAATTTTCACTAACAAAATAATAAATTTTGATATAATAATAAAGAGACGAAATCTAATATTGAATATGTAAATTAATGAAGAATGGTATTACTAATGGTAGCAGTGGCGTTTTCTAAAATTTTTGGCAACGCTGTTGTCGTTAGATTTGTGAGACTGTTATTTAAAATATTGGTATTATTAAGGACCATTGATGTTGTCAATAGAGTTGTTAAGGTAGCAGCAGTACTTTTTACCTTTGGAAGCCTCGTGATTCTTTCAACACTCGGGAAGGTCGATGAAATGGCATTCGTGAATATATTCATAGTCACATTGCCAGCGGTGGCAATAATTGGCCTTCTTGGCTTGGGACAAATTTTTTTCGCCGACATCGAGGGACCCAAACATGCGTCCAACATATATGCCAAGAGAGAGCCCACTGTCAGTCCAGTTGTATATGAGAGAGTCATAATATTACCTGTGGAAAAAAAATTCTTTTCAATATTTTTATCAATAAATTTTCAACTTTTGTTTAATTTTTTTCATTATTTTGTAATTTTATTTCTTATTTTAAATAAATAATCTTCTTAATTAAGAATTCGATTCCGCTCTCGGCAAATTTTCTTAATTAAAATTATTTTCGTAATTATTTAATAACAAAAAAATTGGTTTGGAAAAAAATGATTAGAAAAGAATATTTAGAAAAAGGGACCATCTACTAATTATTTTTGTAATTATTTATTTAAGTAGTAAATGATACGCACGCCAGCGTGCGGAACGTGGTTTTTCATTTATTATTATTTTGTAAATTAAAAAATTTTATATTTTCAAGAATAAACATCAATTTTTGAATGATTACAGATTTTAAATTTAAAGAATTCACTTATTCAGTATCTAGATAATATTAAATATTCTTGTTTATTATTAATCATAAATTTTTGTGAAATTTTAAAGAAGAATCTCATTATTCTCATAAATAATAAAATTCTTTAGAGCAAAAAAAAATTCTTTCAAAAATTCAATTATTCTCAAAAATTCAGATTAAATTCTTCGAAATAATTCAATTATTTTTGTGAATTGTAAAATCCTCCGCAAGAATTCAATTATTTTCATAAATAATAAAATTCTTCTGAAAAATTAAATTATTTTCAATACAATTTTAATTAAATTTCCAGGAAAAAATTCAATTATATTCCAGATAATTTTAATAAAATTTCTCTAACAGGTTCAATTATTTTTAAAAATTGTATTAAAATTTTTCTAAAAAAATTCAATTGTTCTTAAAAGTTTTTAATAAAATTCTTTGTAAAGTTCAATTATTTCCAAAATTTTCAATTAAAATTACTTTCAAAAAATTAATGCTTAAAATTCAATTATTTTTATAATTTTCAGTATCTAAAAATTATTAAACAAAACTTCATTGTTTTCAACAAAAACAAAATAAATTCTTTAAAACAATTCAATTATTGTAAACAATTTTAATAAAAATCTTGCCAAGAATTAAATTATTTTCAATACACTTTTAATTACATTTTCTCAAAAGAATTAAATTATTGAAGAAAATGTTGATAAAATTCTTGAAATTAATTCAATTATTTTCAAAATTTAATTTTTAAAAATACTTTACAAGAATTCAATGATTTTTAGTACATAGAGGAAGAATTTTATTAAAATTGTATTTAAAATAATTGAATTCTTGAATTGAATTTTGTTAAAATTTTTTTAAATAATTGAATTTTCTCGGAGAATTTTTACAGGATGTTCAAAAATAATTGATATTTTCAAAGAAATAAATTAAAATTGTATTGAGAATAAGTGAAATCCTGATAAGAATTTTATTATTTATATAAAAATAATTAAATTTTATTAAATTTTTTTTAAATAATTAAACTCGAGTGAAAAATTTAATTATTTTTTTAAATAATTGAATTTTCTCGGCGAATCTTTACAGGATTTTTAAAAATAATTGAAATTTTATTGAAAATAAGTGAAATCCTGACAATGATTAAAAATAATTGAATTCTTGATAAAATTCAATTACTTTCAAAATTTTCAGTAAAAATTATTTAAAAATACTTCACTATTTTCAAGAATATTGAAATTAATTCTTCAAAACAATTCAATTATTTTAAAGAATTTTAATAAAAATCTTGTCAAGAATTGAATTATTTTCAATACAATTTTTTTGAAAGAATTCAATTATGAAAAAAATGTTGATCAAATTATTGAAATGAATTAAATAATTTCCAAATTTAAAAAAAAAAATACTATACAAGAATTTAATGATTTTTATTAATAAAGAAGAAGATTGACTACCTGTCAGTTCGCGATGCTCTTCGGGAACTTTGCTGGGAGCTTGAATCATGGGAACACTGCCAACGATGCCATTTGTGAGACCAAGTAATAAGGAGAATAACAGCGGATAACCTTCTCCTGATAAAATTGGTGACTTTCGAGGAATTGCGCACAATAGAAAAAGGGGAATAAAAATTGCCCTTGCGACTGAAAAATATAACAGTTGAGTTCGTGTCCATTCGTAAGAAATTGAGGCTAGCATCTGTAAAATAAATTCATTATTATTATTCACAATGTTAATTAAATACGGTTTTCTTTTTTTAAATTTTTCTCAAAAATTCTTTTTCATTGCTTAAAAAGAAAAATGTTTTTAAACTTACTTTTCCTAATAGATCCGCAGCGTTAAAAGCAGCCATTAAAATAACTGGCATCCAAGATTCAAATTTACAGGAAATTATTTCAGACACTATTCCTGGATACAGACATAACGTTACAAAATAAGCCACTCCAATGCTGGCCATATAGGGAAATATTAATTTTGCGACTTCCAATCTTGCGAGCATTCCTCCTGTAAATAATTTCATTTTTTTTATTCTTTTATTTTTTTGCCTTTTAGACGAAATTATTAAAATATTTTATATCTTACTCTTGATGCCGGACCAAGGTTTACTACTTTGACTACTGCTGTAAGTTCCTCGCATCACGACAACGTCTTCAACTTTATAAGTTGGTCCCGCGCTGCCTGGAGGATTTCCTGATGGACCACTCGGCTCGTAAACTGGATTACTGAACGAAAACGCCGAATATTGTCCTGAGCGTAAAAAAAAAAGAAAACGTTATTTTCTTCATAATTTTATAAAATATTTATTTGTAGGCGAATTAAATTTGTATCGTTGGATTAAAATAGAAAATAAAAAAACATTTTTTTCCGTACCATTTGCTAAATCACCACTTCCACTCGCTGAATCATTTCCCAAAGGGCTCGTTTGCAATTTCAAAACTCCGTACTGTCCTTTTATTGGGTCACCAACTTGATCCAGGGGATCCATCTAAATTTTGAAAAAAAATTCTATTATTACAAAAACAAATATTTACGATTTATACAGTACTACTAAATGTATTTAGATTAAATATTCTATAATATAAAATATAATATTTTTTTCCATTTTTTAATTTAATTTGTAATTTAATTTAAATTTCCATCTAACCTTTGGAAAAATTATTAAAGTATTAAAAAAATAAATATTTGCGATAAAAAAAATATTGCAATATCTATTAAAAAAATTCTACCAATCCTACGTCTTCAGTTGGCTCCAAAGTAATTCGATTCCGCTCTTGGCAAAGTGTAATGTAAAATTGGACAAATTCAGTTTTCCGCACAACCTGATGGAGAACGAAGCACATAACAATGGTTAAAATTGAAAGAACAAAGAACATTGATGTATTGCCACGTTCATCATCCACCATTGATTTCGTTAGTATTCGATTGACAGATACCCAAAAACCAGCAGCACCTTTGAAAAGAAACGCGATATACAAAAAAAAAAATAGTTGAAAACATTTTGTTTTTAATTTTGAAAATTAATTTAAATTTTCTTACTTTCTCCTGCCATAACAGCTTGAGTGTATCGACTGGGAAGCATCGAAGTGTATCCATAGAAGCTCGATTGTTGTACTTTATTTATGAAAACAAATGGATGTAAAAATTAGTAAATTTAAAAATTAATAAATGTAAAAGATAATAAATAGAAGAAATAATAAATATAAACATTAATAAATATAAACATTAGTAAATACAAAAATTTAGAAATATAGAAATTTACAAATATAAAAATTTACTAATATAATAATTAATAAATATTCAAAAACATCGTTACTAATATTTTTGAAAATTAAAATTTTTTACCTGTACATCCAAGTGAAACAACTGCAACAGCTATTAAATTGATAGTATAAGACGTTGCCACTCCAAAAAGTTCCCACCATATTTCACAGATAACGACAAAATTCAGTGTCACGAAGGAAACTAAATATCCTGCAATTTGCAAACGTAAAAATAAATTTCAAATTAATAAAATAACACTTTATAAAAATATTTTTTTACTACATATTTTTATATTTTAAAAATACTTTTCTCAAACGACAATATTATTTTTATAAATATTACTACAGTTACTTTAATTATTTTTTTATATATTATAAACTAGCAAATAATACAATTCAACTTTTTTTATAAATACTAAAATTTTCTGCAGAAATTAAATTATTTTAAATCCAATTTAAATAAAATTACACGAAAGAATTTAATTATTTTTAAAAATTTTCACAAAATTCAATTTTCAACAAGAATTTAAAATTCGCTAAAAATAATTCAATTATTCTCAAAATATATTTAAAAAATTCTATATGAAAATTAAATTACTCTCAATCCAATTTTTAAATATATTCATCAAAAAAATTGAAATAATTAAATTATTTTCAAATATTTCTATAAAATTCTTCAAAACAATTCAATTTTTCCTAAAATTTTAATAAATTCTTCGATCATTTGTATTTTTTTTATAAACAGTAAAATTCTTTGCAGAAATTCAATTCTTTTCAAAACAATTTTAATAGAATTCTTTAAAAGAATTTAATTATTTTCAAATATTTACATAAAATAAATTTATTTCCTAAAATTTTAATAATTTTTTCAGAAAAATTCAATTATTTTTATAAAATGTAAAATTTTTCGCAAGAATTAAATTATTTTTATAAATAATAAAATTCTTCTCAGGAATTCAATTATTTTCAATAAAATTTTAATTAGGATTTTTAAAAATTATAAAAAATTATAAAATTACAATATAAATTACTATTGATTAATTATTAATAGTAATTACTATTAATTAGTACTAAGTACTCTTTATAATTATAAATAAAATATTGAAGTAATAGTGAAAACATAATTATTTAAATTTCTATTGAAATTTATCATTAAAAGGATAATAAAATTTAATCTCACCGAATGTTATCCTCGTATTAAGGGACAAGGTCTCTACGAGAATATTATTTGCAAAGACTGCAAAGAATGCCATTGTAATATAGACAACAGACATGTCAAATATTACCGTTGTTCCTGGATACCTCGCTTGAAAATAATCCACTGCGATGACAAAACTGAAAAACCAAAGTCCTCATTACTATTGATTATTATAATCATTTCTATTGTTACTCCTATTTTTCTTTGTACTGTTATTATTATTTTTTACTTTTATCGTCATTATTAGGTATTATTTCGTAAAAAAAAACAAAAATCACAAATTAGGTATTATTATATGAAAAACTTATTAAATCTTTAAAAAAATATAACCTTCAAATTTGCAAGTCTTTTTTTAAACAATTTATCAGAATAAAAAACTCTTGAAGACAAATTAAAAAAATAGTAACCTTAAAAATTTTGACTTTAAAAATAACGAAAAATTTATTAATAAAATATTAAATGTTAATAATTATTTGATGATTCTAAATTTACAAGAAAATTAATATTCCCATTTACGCAGTATGTTTACAACATTTACAACGAAATTTATTATTGTTTGACAAAATTAATTCTTGATAAAATAAGTAAAATTAAATATTGTACCTATCTGTCAAAAAAATAATTAAATGTTTTTTCCATCGGGAAAAAATAAAAATAAAACTTATAATAATGATTTAAATAACTTACAAAACAAAAAGGTTTGAAAATAATAATAAAAGATCACAATAATGGATCAAGGGAATCACCTATTGTAGGGCATGAGAAAACCAACACCGGCAAGCACAAGTGCAAAGTAAATAAAATTGCATTTATCAACTGGCGGTGAAAGATGACTAAATCCATCATTGAGTTTCAATTCATTTATTCCTCTGGCCTTTCCTAATTGCACATATCCTCGACTCAAATTTTCATCCATGTTGACACTGTATAATGTCCCTCGGAGGTTCACAATATTTTTCCAAGTCAATTATTTTTCAAAAAAATAATTATTATTTCATTATTGAAAATGAAAATAAATTTTTACAAGAGCTTTTTGTTTGCACGTTTTTTTGTTGCTTTTTTTCTTAATTACCACTCACAACATTATCTGGTTTTTCTTTTCTTTTACCAGATACAATTTTTATTATTCACTATTTTAAATCACACGAATTTATTTCTTCCGATCGAGCAAATTACAGGGGACCAGGAGTGTAATTTCCTTCTAAACAGAATATGAAGCGCATGCTTTAAAAATATCACATTGATTTCTGCGCGCGCATTTATTTTTCAAAAGAACTAATTTATTATTAAAAATTTCAAGTTTTTTTAAAAAATATAATCATTGTTCATATCCTACATTTCTAGTAATGTTTATTATTCGAAAATGAAAATTTACACACTTTACGGCGCATATAAATATAAAATAAATATGTATTGAATTACGTAGTGAAAATTTTAATTTATTCTTTTTTAAAATTATTTTATTCTACAAAATTTTAATTATAAATCACGACTAATAAAATATTGTATAAAAAATATAATTACTAATTTTTAATTCTTCTATACCAAATTAAAAATTTTTAACGATTGTTTTTCAAATTTAATAGGAATTCAATTTAACCTCTTTTCGAAAAAAGGTAAATTTCGTCAACATATTTAGAAAATGTTTAAATAATATTTAGTTTTAATTTTAATAATATTATTACTCAAACTATTGTTAAACTGTCAAAATTCTTTATTTACTTTCTGTTTAACTGGTAACGATTGGCAACACTGTCAGATTGAGGGGGGAAGTACAAAAACTAATAATAATAAAAAGGTTTTAAAAATTTAACAATAGTACACAATAAGTAACTAACTTAAATTTTAATTAAGAATTAATAATTACTATCTTTTTAAATTTAATTTGTTTCTAATATTTAATTTTTTAGTTTTACTTTTTAAAAGCGAGATTTCGAGAATGGTACACATGGCGTGAGACGCACTTCCGCTTCCGACATTTCGCCATATCCTTGTGTTAAAGATGGCGGCTTCTATCGATGGTGTTTTTAATGAAAATTTGCAAAATGCAATTCTTAAAAGCAAAATTCTTGTTGTGGGTGCCGGTGGAATTGGATGTGAAATCCTTAAAAATCTCGTAATGTCTGGATTCATGGATATTGAAATTGTAAGTAGATTGTACGAGAAATGAACGTAAGCGTGACGCTACACTCAACATAACCTCAATTTTTCCGCAAAGTTCCGACGCTTGTTCGAAATTTCATGTATTATTTCAGATTTTTAATAAAAATACAATATTCTAATTAAAGATATTGTATTATAAGAATAAAAAAATTTATTTCAAAAAGCGTCTAAGCTTGAACAATGAAATTTAACACTAAATAAAATCTTAATTCTACACATTGACATTCTTTATTTATTTTAGATTGATTTAGACACTATTGATGTTAGTAATTTGAATAGACAGTTTCTATTTCAAAAACAACATGTAGGAAAATCAAAAGCTGCAGTGGCACGAGAAACTGCATTAACATTTAATCCGGATGTCAAAATAGTCCATTATCATGATAATATTACGTCGTAAGTAAAGACTATTATTTATTTGTTATTTCTTTTATTTAAATCAATCAACTTTTTTTTATAAATAATAAACTATTTCACAGGGCTGATTATGGATTATCATTCTTCAAAAAGTTCACAATGGTAATGAATGCTTTAGATAATAGAGCCGCCAGAAATCATGTAAATCGTATGTGTTTGGCTGCTGATGTTCCATTAATTGAATCAGGCACAGCTGGTTATGAGGGTCAGGTTGAATTAATAAAGAAAGGCCTTAGCCAGTGCTACGAATGTACGCCAAAAGCTGCACAGAAAACATTTCCCGGTTGTACAATTCGTAATACTCCAAGTGAACCTATTCACTGCATTGTCTGGGCAAAACACCTCTTCAAGTGAGTTTTTCCATTTCTGATAAATTTAGAATTTTTTTTTACATCTTTTTCCATTTCCGACAAATGAATTTTTTTTGTACACAAGATGGAAATAAGTTTTTACATTTTTTATAAATTCAGAATTTTTTTTATGCAAAAAAGAAGTGACAATTGTTAGGAATGGAATTCAATTTTTGACAGTAAATGAAAACAGTTATTACTTTTTTTTGGTACTGTTTTTATTGAAATATTTTATTTATTTTTCTAATTGAAATTTTGAACGTTTGTTAAGAAAATAATTTGTCGATCTTACGATAAATAAATAAAGTTTATACTTTATTTAGCCAATTATTTGGAGAAGAAGATCCAGATCAAGACGTTTCACCCGATACAGCAGATCCAGAAGCGGCTGGTAATTATTTATTTATTCTTTATCAGAAATCATAGTTTGTCACCTATTCACCCTTTCATTTCATTTTTTTAGCCACTGCAGGAGAAGGTGCACTAGAAACAGAATCTAACGAAAAAGGAAATGTCGAAAGAACATCAACACGATCCTGGGCGCAATCATGTGGTTACGATCCCGAAAAATTGTTCACAAAACTATTTCACGATGACATTAAGTATTTATTAAGTATGGATAATTTGTGGAAAAAGCGAAGACCACCCGCGCCACTTGAATGGTCCAATCTCCCCGACGGAGGTCTGTTTTTTTTATATTAAAATATAAATTTGAATTTTTTTTATTTATTTAATTTATTTCAGTTTTTATTATTTAATCTGACAATATTTAATATTTTCTCTTCAGTTGCTGGATCTAGTAAAGATGTAAGCGATCCAGGATTAAAAGATCAACAGCGATGGAGTATCGCAAGATGCGGTTCAATTTTCGCTGAATCGATCAAGAATTTAAGTAAAGATTTGGCAAAGAAACAAGAAGTATCTCCCACCGATCATCTCGTTTGGGATAAAGACGAACCGAGCGCAATGGATTTTGTAGCTTCCTGTGCTAACATTCGTGCCCATATTTTCGGAATTCCACAAAAAACAAAATTCGACATTAAATGTAAGTTTAAAATCAATTAAAATTAGAATTAAACTAAAAATAAATCAAAACTTTTGGAAAAAAGTTCAAAACTACAAAAATATATATATATATAAAGATATTATTTTGTTCGTTTTTAATTTCAAATTTTGATTATAATTTAATTTCAAATTTTTCAACAGCAATGGCTGGAAATATAATACCGGCGATCGCAACGACAAACGCTATAATCGCTGGAGTTGTAGTACTTCACGCTTTCCGAATTCTCGAAGATAATTTAAAAGAATGCAGATCAGTTTACTTGCGACTAAAAATGAATCATCGAAATCAACTTCTTGTCGCTGAAAAGTTTGTAAATCCTCCAAATCCAAAGTGCTACGTTTGTGCGCCAATGCCACAAGCAACACTTGCAGCGGACACGACCAAAATGACTGTCAAAGAATTAGAGGAGTCGGTACTCAAGGGTAGAATGAATATGATTGCACCGGACGTTATGATTGACGGTAAGGGTGTGGTAGTTATCAGCAGCGAGGAAGGAGAGACTGAGGAAAACAATGATAAACTTTTGAAAGACATTGGAATTGTTGATGGTACAATTCTCAAAGTTGATGACTTCAATCAAAACTATTCTCTCACTGTGACAGTCGTTCAAAGAGAAAAGCCAACCGCAAAAAGCGAAAGTCCAGAATTTCTTATTGTTGCTGACGATGAAAGTCTCAAACCCAAGGAAGAGACCGAAGAGAAACCCTCCACTTCAAATGGCCAGGTAACCTTCAATTTTTTTTTCCTAATTAATTTACTAAATCTACGTAAAGATTCAGGGTTGCCACGCAACCTGGAAATGTCAGGGAATTTTATAAACCTTGACAAAACCTGGAAAAGTTAGGGAATTTTGAACGGAATCCTAGAAAATTATTATTTTCTAAAGTTATTATGCCTACTCTTGAAATCTAATTTTTCTTAAATATTTTAAAATTAATTCGATTTTAATATAATTCAATTATTTTCATAAATAATCAAATTTTTTAAAGAGATTCAATTATTTTTATAATTAATAATACTCATCTCTGAATTTCAATTATTTTTAATACAATTTTAATCGAATTCTTCGAAAAATGCAATTATTCTTAAAACTTTCATTTAAATTCGTCAAAGGAATTCAATTATTTAAGAATTTGTTGTTAAAAATCTTCTCAAGAATGTAATTATTTTCAATACAATTTTAATTACATTTTTTGAAGTAATTTAATTATTTTTAAAAGTTCTTAATAAAAGTCTTCAAAACAAATCAATTCTTCTTAAAAATTTTAATAAAATTATTCCAAGAATTCAATTATTTGCAAAAGTTGTAACAAAATTGTTATCAAGAATTCAATTATCTCAGAAATCACAAAATTCTTTCCAGAAATTCAATTATTTTCAAAAAATTTAATAAAATTCTTTTCGAGAATTCAATCATTTTATAATACAATTTTAAATAAATTATTTTTTAAAGTTCTAAAAAAAATTCTGTAAAATAAATCAATTCTTCTTAAAAATTTTAATTCAATGACTCCAAGAATTCAATTATTTGCAACAGTTATAACAAAATTCTTATTAAGAATTCAATTATATTCAAAATAACAAAATTTTGTGCAAAAATTAAATTACTTTCAAAAAATTTAATAAAATTCTTTGAAAGAATTCAATTCAATAATTCAATTATTTTTATAAACAATGAAACTCATCGCAAAATTTCAAATAATTCTAATCGAATTGTTCGAAAAATTTAATTATTCTTAAAAATGTTATTAAAATTCGTCGAAATAATTATAATATTTAAAAAATTGTTGATAAAATTTTTGTATTTAAATAATTGAATTCTCGTAGAATTTCCTATTAGAAATTGATTTAAAAATTAATTTCAGTTAAAATTGTAGAAAACAATTGAATATTAAAAGCCGGTATTTTTATAAATAATTGAAATTTGAAAAGGTTTTATTAAAATTCATCAATGAAATTCAATTATTTTCCAAAGCAATAAAATTCTTTGCAGAAATTCAATTATTTTCAAAAATGTTAATAAAATTTTTGGCAAAATTTCAATTATTTTAAAAAACTTTTTTCAATTCAATAAAATTTTTTTACAGAAATTCAATTATTTTTAATACAATTTGAATCTAATTTTTCGAAAAATGGAATTATTCTTAAAAATGTTATTAAAATTCGTCCAATGAATTTTAAATACCATTTTTAAAATTTTTTGATAAAATTCTTTATGAGAGTTGAATTTTAAAAAACATTCAATTATTCAAAAAAATTTTTTTTATATTAATAATGGAATTCTCGTAGAATTTTCTAATAAAAATTGATTTAAATATGAATTTCAGTTACAATTTTAGATAATAATTGAATATTAAACTCTCTAAATCTGAGTTAGAAAAAATTTTCTAATTTGAATTAGTGACTGACTTTTTGCTTTTGAATTAGCAGATTTTACTAATAAATAGTCGTTTCTACTAATTTAATATTAAAATTTATTAAAAATAATTTATTTAAAGTCGGTAATTTTTAATTATTATAAAACATAAAGATATTGATTGCTCCGAGTCGAAGACTCGGAGTGATCGATTTCTTCATGTTTTATAATAATATTCTTATAAGTTGGTGAATTTTAAAAATATTTTAATTTGAATGTTTTGAAAATCTTATGGAAAAATTATAATGACTAATTATTTAATTTTGTAAAATATAAATGTAGTTTTAAAAATCTGGAAAAATTCCGTTTTTTAGCCTGGAAAAGTCAGGGTATTTGAAATAAGCAAAAGCGTGTCAACCCTGAGATTAAATCGTTTACAATTATGTTAAATTATTTTCTTATTATCATTATTTACTATGAAAAAAAGAAATTAGATTTCTGACTTTTTATTTTTACACAGCTCGAAACAGTTGACGACGATGCAGTCGAAATTGTGGAAACGGAAATGATCGTAGAAGTCGAGGCCAAGAAACGAAAGACCGAATCCATTGAAAATGAATTAATGGCGAAAAAACGAAAAGTTGATGTCAATAATGGTCACGGTGAGAAGGATGTATACACAATTGATAGTGGCGATTCCGATGACGAGCCACAAAATGATGTAACAATGGAAAAAGTCATTTCTAAAAAGCACAAAACTTCGAGTGATGATGAATGTTCAATTATTTATGACGACACAAATAATATGTCAAGTCCTAAGAAAGCTAAGACCGCTAATTAAAAATCAATGAAATTTTGGATTTTTTTGAGGTAATAATATTTATCCTGTCGTACTCAATAACGTCAACTCTGAGGTAATTATGCAACAGTCGCATATTATTGAAATAATTTCCAAAAAAAAAAAAAAAATGTTCAACAGCTGGAGTGTACTTTCTTTCTATTATGGCCTCTTGCTTATACAGCAAAATAGCCAAATTTTGAAAGCGCGAGTGTATATACTTTTTTGCAGCGATGTGAATATTAGAAATGATTAATTTAATTACACGTTAACTAATCGTTTCAGTAAATTACATTTCAAATTAGAATAATTAATTGCTCCTGTTCTAGGCAAACTACAGTTTTTTTTTCTTCCTGAGTCATTCAAATGAATATTAAAAAACAAATTTTGTTTGATAGTTTTTGTTCGATAGACATAAAGAAAGTATTCTTTTTTTTCATATTTGTCCGTCTCTAATGTTGTCCTCTTTTACTAGATAAAACGATAAAAATAGTGTAAAACTTTATTATTTGAATGATTAATTACAAGTTCAGTAATATTTATCACATTGCGCGTTTTCCTATACAAAAATATTTACAAACAAATTTTCTAATTATAATTATAAAATGAACAATGAATAAATCGTTTCATTTTTTACAAAACAATGTTTTTGTGTATTTTCCTCTTTTTATTGCAACACTGTAAATAATTTTCCACTTTGTAGTCGAACATTTCAAAGTCAATTTTATATTTTTCGTATAATTGCAAAATTGTTTCGCAGGATAATTTTTTGAAATATTTACATGTTCTGTGGAAATCAGTGGTCGCTTGATGATTTATTAAAGTTTCTTTTGGTAAATTTAATTTTGATGATATGTATTCAATTTCCTTTGGTGAATTATTGTCTAATTTTAAAATGAAATTATAATTTATTTCACATAGAGAACAATGTTTGTAGTATTGGTTCCAGTGATGATCGTAATTATCTGATGATTCTTGTATTAAATAAGTTACGAATTCTTGAAAAGTTGGCACCAGTTTTAATCTAAAATTAAAGTTACTACAATTTTTCAATTATTTTCCGTTTTGAATTAAAATTTTAAATTAGCAAACCTTCTATCGTTGAAGAAAATTTTTTCCAAAGTACCACCTGTTGTTGAGTTGGAGTGGAATAATTTTGGTCTTGTTAAGTAAAATATTTTCGAAACATATATCCACGCTTGGGCGGTAAATTTTGTGTTGTCTTCTATACGATCTCTAAAAGTTAATAGTTAGATTTCATTAAATTTATTTCAAATTAAATAAAGTTTTTGATAATTATTTTCAAAACTTATTACAGGGTTTCCGCAAAAATTTCAATTTCTTTCTTACTGACTTTTCCCTACTTTCTAGAAAAAAGTTTTATTTTTTCCCTGAAAATTTCAATTAATGTTTGCTTTTTTGTTTACCACTTTTAATCATTTTTCTTTTAAATATCTTTTTCAATTTTAAAATTATTGTTCAATCATCGAATTGTTGCAAAGAATTTTATGAAAAAATTTGATAATAATAGAATTCCTTAGAAGAATTTGATTATTTAGGAAAATAATTGAATTCTCATGAAGAATTTTGTTAAAATTTTTGAAAATGTAAATTAAATTCTTTTTGAAGAATTTTTTTTAAATAATGGAGTTTCTTTAATAATTTTAATTAAAAATTTCGATAGTAATTGAATTTTATGAACAATTTTTTTCAAGTTTTTAAAATAATCGTGTTTGTTTATTATTGAAATTAAACATTTAATTATTGAATTTTATTAAAATTTTAGAAATTAATTGAATTATTTTGAAAAGTTTTATAAAAATTGTATTAAAAATAATAATTGAATTTTTGTAAAGAATTTTACTATTTATAAATATAATTGTAATATATTGAAATTTTTTATTGCAACGAATTAAGAAAAAAATTGAATACTTCTATTAAAATTGTTTTGAAAAAAATTGAATTTCTACAAAGAATTTTACTATTTATAAAAATAATTCAATTCTTGCGAAGAATTTCGAATTAAAATTTTTGAATTTAATAAACAAGAATAATTATTTAGTAAATTAGTTAATAATTGAATTTTTTAAAAGTTTGAATCCAAAATTATTCAAAAATTCATATTTAAAAATAAGAAATAGTTCAATAATATTCTTTTTTAAATTCAAGTATCTTCAAAAAATTGAATTTAAATTTCTTAGAAATCTAATTATTTTCATAATTTTAATGAAAACTATTTATAACAAATAATTTTTGAAATAAATCTTTAATTTATTATTAATTTCTTGGTAGCAATTAAAATTTTCAAAAATGATTGTTTAAAACCTCCTGAAATTGAAAATTTCAACTGTTTTTAATTAAAATTTTTTCTAATTTAATTTTATAATTAATAATAAAAATATTTTTGAATACCAAAAATTAGAATTTTTGTTGTAATTCTAGAATTTTAATATTTTTCCAGTATTTTTTAGAAAATTCGATGATATTTTCCCTGATTTTCCTGAAGAAAAAATTATTATTATTATTATTGTAAGCAAGTATTACCTGTAAGAAGAAACCAATCTTTCAAAAGGATGTCGTACAATTAAAAATTTGAATGTATTATTATTTTGATTTACAGAATTCAATAATTCTGTCGTAGGAGACAAAAATTCCACTTCTCTAAAAAATAGTTTTTATTATTAAATTATTAATTATTTAATTTCATATCAAATCTTAAATTATTCTCCACAAAAAAAAAATGCTATCGTTGAAGTTTTTTAATAATAGAATATTTATTTTAATAAAAAATATGAGATATTTAATTTTAGTTCAAAATTCTAGGGAAATAGTTTAGTAAATTAACAAAAATTTAATTTCTATGGGAAATTAAATAATAATAAATATTTTAATATTTTTTTAAACAAAATTGAAGCTTTGAATTAATTTAATTTAAAAATTTTGAAAAAATGAGGTTTTTGAATCAACTTTTGGTTGAAATTTACTTAGGTAAATAATTGGAAATTTTAAAAACACTGAAGAATTGCAGTTCCAATTATTATAAAAAATTGAATTTTTGTATTTAAAATTTTAAATAATTAAAAATTTTTAGACAAATTAGTTCTTTTGAATTTTCAATTCAATTTTTTTGAAATGAGTTATTTATTAGCAGTTATTCGGAATTTTTGTACAAATTTTCGATTGAAAAATGTACAAATAATCGAAATTTCGTAAAATTGATTTAAAAAGAATTGAATTTGACTTGTATGTTAAATAAACTTTTTTTTTGAATAATTATTGAATTCTTAATAAACTTTCTTCAAATTTTAAAAACTAATTGATTTAGAAAAGAATTTCAATGAGAAATTCTAGAAAATAATTTAATTTTTGGAAAAGTATCAGTAGAAAGTTTTTTCTTTTGAGTTACCTGTAAAATTCGTTCGTAACGCATTTATTTTCGATGGAAGAGAAAATTTTCGTGAAACTTGTTGAAGCTATTTTTCGTATCCAACAATAAAGTACATCATTTTTGGTACTGAACAAAAAATGTTTTCTTTCCAGAAAACTAGTTACATTGTACTTTGCACAAATTTTCTGAATTAAAGATAAACGTTAGTACTTTTAAAAAAATTTAATAAACATGCAAAAACTCTAATGAAGAATAACAATTACTTACCTGAAAATTAATATTTATCAGATTTCTCGAATCTAAACTTTTAAATTCATTTAATTTTAGTGAATATTGCATTGCATTTTGTCTTGAATTTTCAATATTTGTCACCTCCAAATCAAACGAAAGATTGTTACTGTCATTCTGTTGTTTTAAATAAATGAAGACAATTGTAATTCCCGAGAACAATAATAATACATAATTTTTTAAACACACGTCGGAAACCATTATTTGAGCACTGCTATTCACAAAAGATCATTTCTAAATGAATTTCCGGTTGGAAGACAGAACTTTGTAGGCGGAGAAGCTTCAAAGAGATAAAAATTTATCTTCTTTGCGATAGAAAAATTCGCCTGACTGTCAAATTGATTACTAATCAAAACTTATAAACGAATTCGGGTAGTCTCATAAGTATAAGTGAAAACATCAAAAAATATTTCCTTTTCAAATAATTTATTAGTACAACAATTACTAATTCATGTAGAGATAAAAGATCCCTAACGTAGGTATACATTTTCCAAATTTTAAGATACAGATGAATTTCATGTTCCTTTTAAATTATTCTTATACATAATTTAATTAAATTTATAAACAATTGATAAAAAAAAAATTCATACTTTAGTGAAAAAAAAATCCCAGTTGCAAAATAGAAAATGTTAATACAGTATGAGTGATCTTTCGTCTTTAACACGACATCACATTGAAATATTTTCATTTTCTTACAATAAACATATCTGCAAACAAAAGCAGTATAAAGTTTCTTTTTTTTTTCATTATTTTCTTTTTAATATTACTAAACTTACGCATGTATTTCTTTTTTTATTATTAAAGTGCTGAGAGTTGCTTTATGGAATTTTCAACCCATAAAATCACGAGATCGGATATACTAATATTAGAAAAATGAAAATTTCTATCAACAATTACAAGATTACAGATTCCTTTGTCTATCACGTATAAAAGTCGTTTTTTCTTTTTATCGAAATTGATAATATTCTCACAGATTGCGCGGTGGACACAGTAAATAGTACTGAAAAAAAGTGAAACACAATTATTATGCGAATAACCTTTATCTTCTGTCACGATAACGATGATGATGATCACGCGATGAACGATGATCACTGTGTCGACTGTGACGTCCTGTTGTTCGCCACAAAAATTCATCGACACTCCGCTCGTAGCTTCTTTTTTCTAAAGCTGAACTTGCCGCTGTATAGTCCGGTGGTAATGGAAGACCATCGTAGTAACGTGGAGGAGGCGGTGGTGGAGGAAGTGAATCGTAAGGATGAGGTGTAACATACGGCGGAAGTGGTGGCAATTGATGCTGCATTGTTCGCATATAATCTGCTACATATGCTTCGGCAGCCGCTGCAACTCCCATTCCGGCTGATCCATACATTCTGAAAAAAATTTAAATTCAATTCAATGAATTTTAAATAAATTCAATTCAATAAATTTTAAATAAATTCAATTCAATGAATTTTAAATTAATTCGAATTAAATTAATTATAAATAAATTCAATTCAATGAATTTTAAATAAATTCGAATTCAATTAATTAATTATATAAATTCAAATTAAATTAATAACATTAAAATAACAGGGTTGCCACAGGTCAGGCAAATCAGGGAATTCAGGGAAAAGTCAGGGAAATCAGGGATTTTTATTAAAGTACTGGAAAAAATTGAATTTTTGAAAAACAAATGATTGCAGAAATTCAATTATTTTCAAAAGTAATAAAATTCTTCGCAAAAATTCAATTTTGTTTAAAAATTTAAAAAAATTCTCGTCAAAATTCAAATATCTTTAAAAATAATAAAATTCTTCTCCGAATTTCAATTATTTTCAAAAAATTTTATTACATTTTTTTTTAAATAATTGAATTCTTTTAAGAACTTTTATTAAAGTATAGTCGATTTTGAAAATATTTGAATTTTAACAAAGAATTCATTATATTCGTGAAATGTAATTAAATTCTTGCAAAAAATTTAAGAAAATAATTCCATTTTTCTAGTAATTGACTTTAAATTGTATTATAAATAATTGAAATCCTCAGAAAAATTTTATAATTTAAAAAAATAATGGAATTCTTATAACGAATTTTATCAATTTTTTTTTAAATAATTGAATTCATGTGAAAAATTTTGTTACTTGTAAAAATAATTGAATTCCTGCATCGAATTTTATTACATTTTTTTAAAATAATTGAATTCTTTTAAGAACTTTTATTAAAGTAGTCGATTTTGAAAATATTTGAATTTCAACAAAGAATTTCATTAATTGTGAAATGTAATTGAATTCTTGCAAAAAATTTAAGAAAATAATTCCATTTCTCTAGGATTTTATTTTAAATTGTATTAAAAATAATTGAAACCCTGTAAAGAATTTTATTATTTATAAAAATAACTGAATACTTGCAACGAATTTTATTATAATTTTTGTAAATAATTTAATTTTTTTTTTGAAAAATTTTATGGAAATTAAAATTTTTAACATGAAGATATCAATTACTCTTATCAATTATTCTTATAAGTTGGTGAATTTTAAAAATATTTGAATTTGAATGTTTTGAAGAATTTTAATTCCCACGGAAAAATAATAATTAAATACTTATTTAAAAATTTAGTTATTAATGTTTGCGAATAATTTTACAATTTAAAAAATTCGTAAGAAAATGTAATAAAAAGTTGTTGTTTTTTTAGTATCTAATAATTGTTAGAGTCAGTCAGAATACTCTTTAGGGTCAGGGAAAAAGTCAAAATTTTTTCTGGAAATCAGGGAACAATAAAATTAATTTTTTATGGCAACCCTGAATAAATCCATTTAAAATTTGTTCGAGAATAAATTTGTCAAAGAGTAGAATGTAAATTACTTTGAATAAGGAGAATCACTCCTTCCGAACCACGATTGATAACGATGATGATCCCTGGAACTTCTGTGATCAGGCAAATGTCCAGCTCGTGCGAGTGACGCCAATCTCGATCTAGACGTGAGAAACAATCGACGACCTCTTCCACGAGATCGTAGAAATCTAGAACCACCACCACCACCGCCGCCGCCATTTCCAATTCTGTCTCGATAACTTCTCGAGGATTTTGAAACATGTTTTCCCGCCTCCTTGGATTTTCTTAAAATCGGCGTCATTTCAATTCCTGCGATAAATACATTTCAAATTTTATACAGACTATTATATTTAAAAATTTTTTCATGAAAAATAATTTTAACTTAAATTTCCCTAAATTTTATAAATTTTATAAAATTTATAAAATAAACATTTTTTCATATTCTTAATTGGAATAAATTTACAATTGTTTGATAATTTTTCGATCAATTAACGTCAGGAATATTCAATTATCTTCGAAACATTTGAAATGAAATATTCTGAAATTAAAAATTATTTTTTGAAAATAGTCGAAGAAGTCATATTATCAAAAGCCTGGAATTATTAATATTAATTAATTAAAAAAAATTACCATCGTCTTCGGGAAATAATCTGCATAATTCCTCGGCAACTCGAGGCTCAATTTCTTGACCATCTCTTCCAATTTTCACCTGTTTACCATCATTCCAAGGATTGTAGAGGTGCAAAGTGGAAGTAAACGGCAATTCTTTTCTGCATATCCAATCAACTTTAAACACGCCACCCAGTGCTTTTGCCGACAATCCTGGAGGGAGAACCTGGAAAATAGATTAAAAATAACTCACATTAAGCTAATCAATAATTCGATAAAATATATCTAGAAAAAAAATATCAAGTAAAACAAAAATAAATTTTCAAAATTGTAAATATTTCTATAAAATACATTTTCGTATTTATTTTTATTACCCAAGATATTGGAGCCCCATCTCTTTTGGATTCAGTGCTCAATCTTGCGAAACCAGCAAATTTTCCCGATTCCTTAACCGAAAAAATAAGAATTACATTCCGAGATTCTCTGTAAGCTTGATTTAAGTTCGCTTCATTTTGTGGTAACGTGCTCCAAACGCCCTTCGCTTTTGAAAGCGTTATATTCTCTGCATTATTGGATTTGATGATAAAAAATCTGCCAAACAAAAAAAAATACTTCCAAATGTAACATTTTTCTATTAATCATTCAAATTGTGTTGGGCTTAAGAATTGCGAAATTATTCAAACAATTTCTCACAGTTGGAAAATTAACAAAAAAAAATTATTAAAGCACCCAACACGAAATTATAAATAATTATAATATCCAAACCTCGTGTCTCTAAAGAGATAATTTAATTTTGTCGAATAATCGTAATTTTTCGTCGATCCACTCTTGCTCTCTTTGGATCTGGCGCGTTTCGCTTCGGGACTCGAGGATTTTAAATCTCTCGATCTCGCACGTTTTCCCTTACTCTTTCTATTTCGTTTATTATCACCTCTTGACGATTTTGTCGATACAGAACTGATACTAGGTTGACTAGAATCCGAATCTGAACTACTTGAAGAAACTTCGCTGCGTGTATCGTATGTTTCATCGGCAGCAATTTTCAATTCATCACCCATATCATTTTCTCCACCGCTTAAATTTTGATTATCATTTTCTGTACTATCCATTTTATGAAATTTGAAATTGTCAGGTACTTTGAAAAATTCAGAAACAATTATTTCATTGATGTCATCCGCTTTGTTCCTCGTTTTCTCTAAATTAATCAGGTTCTTTTGTCAACAGCCAATGTTTTAAATTTCTCCTGAAATACAAATTGAAAAAATAATATTAAACTTGTGTTTTAAATGCGGCGATTTGTGCCCAATGCCAGCAAATAGTGATGGGATTCACCCTTTGAGGTAACTAAACAAAAAAAACAAAAATACTTTCATAAAACCTAAAAACGAATCTTCAAACCTTAAAATAATTATTGTCCTTATTTTCGTTTAGACAAAAAATTATTATAAACAGCGAAAGATTTAGATAAAGTTTCCCTTACATATTTTTAAATACGTATTTAATGAAAATTTAAATAAATAAAAAAAATGTCTTAAAATATTTCAATTACCTAAGAATAAGTGGAAAAATTATAAACACCATTAGTAATGAAATTACTATCAGGCCACTTTGTTTTATTAAAATAATATTTTTTCAATGAAACGGAAATTGCTTTTTTTGTTTTCAACAAATTTAATTTTCAATATCAATGCCATCGAGACAAATAAATTGATGCCCATCACTAGGTAGTGGATAATACATTAAATTGAAACTCGTACATCTTACAACATTTATGAAGTCGCGAATTATTTTCTAATGTTCTATACATATCCATCAAGTTAAGAGTTGATACTACATTCGAATTGAAAACACTATATTCAAACTTAATAGTTTCTCTCCCGATCAATAAGTCCAGACACAAAATATTACTGGATTTTAGTTTCTCAGGAATAAAACTTTTGTGGAACATTTGAAACGAAGTTTTTGTCAAGTCCATTGTTATCTTCGAATAGCTATATCATATACTGATAAGATGTTTGAATTAAAATTTTTTTCAAAAACCAATTAACATTTTTTTTTTGAAAAGATTAAAAATCGTCCATATTCTATATATCTACAGAGGAAAGTAAATCTTGTGAAAAAAATTTGTGCACTTCAAATATAAAAGAAGTCCTTTCTTCTGTATTTTTTTTTTCTCTATTTGTCGATTGATAAGATTAACCGTGAATGAATAACTTTTCTTTCAATTTGCTTTGGAAATTTTTTTTTCTCTTTTGTTTACAAATAAACCCTAATTTATTTTGGACTTTTGTTAAAAGAGACAAACAGTCCTGATGAAACAACAAGAATATACACGAGTTCTATAAAACCTGTTTCGAAACAACTAAACTGAGTCCTTTTTTTTGAAAACTCGTGCATAAAACTAAAAAAGTTCGTCCTCAAAGGGGGATTTAATTACGCCCCCATAACACTTAAAAACATGCTTGAAATTCGTCGACAGCATTGTCATCATTTTTCTATAGAAAAGTTTGTTTGCAATTTATTTAGTCCTTGGATGTTACAACAAGCCCAAAAATCATGGCCTGTAGTCACTTACGTGCACACTCGTATTTTCCACACTTTAAACTTCACTTTGAACCTCACCAAAGCACGACAAGTTGAGAAACTTATAAATAATAAATCTTTATTTTCAGTTTATAAACATAACAATCACAAAATATAATGCAATTTATTTAAATAAAGCCAGAGTAAACATTAAAGAGCAGTCGGAAAACAAGTGACCGAAGCGTCCATCATGTGACGTGACCGTCGATCGATACTGCAGGAGAGAAAAAAAAACCCTAGAGATAACCTCACTTTCTACCGAACTGGCTGAACTGTCAAGGTGCGCATGAAATCGAACAATCTGATTGGTCCTCCTTTGAGCACGAAATTCAAATTTCCGATCAGTTTATTTATTTAAATCATTTAAATCAATAAAACAAGGTAAATAGAATTAATTGAATTAATCTCGATAATTAGGAATAAAAAAGTGAGACCTAAAGTTAAGTTCGTTTTACTAAATTTTAATTTTAAATAAAAAATAAACACGAAGTAAGTACTTGATCATGCGCACAAAACAATGTTCCGTCTAGGGACATTTTTATTTATTTCACTAAAAAATAGACATACTAAATGTACTCGAATTATAAAATTAATACCAAAACAAACAATAATTCTCTTATTGTAAAATCTAAAAATCGTCAAAAAGTAATTAAAGTAATTACTTTTGTTTTCCTGTGAAATTACCAAAATTCCCTAGATTTAATTTTCTGTTGCCATCTTTAAAAAAGACCAGCAACCATCTTGGATCATTTTTCACGGGTTGTTGACACGGGGAGCTCCCCAGCCGGTTGTGAAAGTGTTTTGTTCATCAAAAATCGGTTTGCAATTATTATATGAATATTAATTAAGGCACAGTAACAAATTCACAAGTTAGCAACGATATCAGTTTAACAGAAAGTAATGTGACACGATTTAATAAATATCGCGGTTCGTGAAAAAATTCGTGTTAAAGGAGCGTCTCTATATCAGAGGCAACCGAGGAAGATACTTTCATCTGGTTTAATAGATCTTGTGAATTTTTCAAGAGTAAGTTATTAAGTTTACGTGACACGCCTTATAAATTAAAAGAAACAAGAGTATAATTTGCAAAATGTCTTTTGTGTTAATGTTTTTGTGCACATGGTGACACCCTTAAAGTGAATTTTAAACGAGTCTTATAAACAATTTTCTATGGGAATTTTGCCAGTGAAAGAAGTTACGATTCAAGGTCAAGAATTGTACATTATAAAGTAAAGCTCCTCATATCCTGTGTGCAATCGATCGTGGTGTTAAACTTTTGCCAAATTTACTTAATTTACTAGGTCCTTGAATTCAACGGTCAATGGCCTCCATTGGCGAGCCGAATACACTTTGCATTTCGATTAAATGTCATTACCGCGTTTGACAAATTTAAAGTTCTCCGTTTAAAGTTTGATGAACTTGTCTTGTTTTCTCCTTTTTTGGGATTTAATTTAAAAAAGGGTTACCCTCCTTCGTCATATTAATGAATTACAAAAAAAATTCTAGGTTCTGTTAATTTTTCCTTGAAAAAAGTCTTAGTTTTAACCAAAATGAATCAATATTGATTTACAAAATTTTATCAATTTATTGTTCTTTCACGAATTAGTCAAACAGGAAATGAGTTTCGCGCTTACCTAATTGGAAAATTGTTAAATTGTTTTAATTTTTTACTCTAAAAAGTTCGTACTATAAAGCTTATAAACTAAAGTGTAATTAGTAAGAAATTTATTAATTGAAATAATATATTCACAAATGAATTAAATATTTCAGTAGATAGTTTAAATTGAATTCAATATTGAATAGACTAATTAATGCACATAAAATTCTAGTTTGACGCACTTGAAAGAAAAATCGAACCTTTTTTAGAATTTAAAGTTCGACGACTTTAATCAGGTTAACGCTAATCGACTTGTTCCTGGTGAAAACTGTCCACATATCCATGTGTACTCATACTAATTTTCACCAGCAGTCTTAATTGTTAAATGACATGAAACTTAATTTAACTTTCATAATTGAAAGTTCATTTTGATATTTAATTATTAGTTTCTTTAATTACTATTTTATATGTCTAGTCACCAATATTTTTTCTTCTGATATTTAGTTTAATTTTTTTAAACCTTTTTTTTTATTTTATTTTCTTTTACAGTCTTTTTTTATTTAAATTCTATTTGAAGTTTATTTTAATCTTTTCTGTTTCTAAAATATTTAAATTAGTTGTAACAAAAGTCAGAATTTCCAATTTAAATTTTTATACTTTGTTTTATTTTTTATTATTTTTTTTATTGTTTTATTTTATTTATTTTATTTCACGTTCTTTTTTGTCTTAATTTTCATTAGTCATTTTGATTTAAATTTTATTTGAAGTTTATTTTTATCTCGTCTGTTTCTAAAATATTAAAATTAGTTGTAACAAAAGTAAGAATTTGCAATTTAGAATTTTTATCATTAAGGTAGTGTACTTTTATGTACTTGCAGTCCTCAGGTGTCCTAGTTTCATGTCACCTGTCCATTTGTGTATCATACTACCTGTTATGAGCCTAATAAGGCTTACATTGTTTTAGTATGCTTTGCACTTTAATTCGAATAAGTCAAGTGCTAAAATTTTGACTAAAACATCAAAAAGATTCAAGATAAGATAAATAAATTGTAATTATTTTTTTATACTTAAATTCCATTTACTAATGATATAATTAACATAGTATTAATAATTAAAATTATAATTAATAAGTGTCAACTATAAGTAATTAATAATATATTTAGAAATAATTAACAATAATAACTATTAACTAAAACAATTTTGAAAATAATTCAATTCTTTCGAGAAATTTTATTAAAATTGTATTAAAAATAAGCGAATTCTTGCGAAGAAGTTTATTAGAGTTTTTGAAAGTCATTAAATTCTTTTAAAGAATTTCTGTAAATTTTTTGAAAATAATATATTTTTTTTCATAATGTTGATTAAAAACTTTGAAAATAATTGATTTTTACTAAGAATTCTTATTAAAGATTTAAAAATAATCATGTTTGTTAATACATAATTGCAATTAAAAATTTGATTATTAAATTATATTAAAATTCTTTGCAAAGAATATTGAATTCTTCTCATCATTTTATTTAAATTTTTATAATTATATTCATACGAAAAACATTAAAATTTTTAAAAATAATTCAATCTTTTCCACAAAATTTATAATATTTGTATTGAAAATAATTGAATTTCTGTGAATTTTAATATTTATACAAAAATAATTTAATCTTTTCGACAAAATTTATTATAATTGCATTGAAAGTAATAGAATTCTTATGAAGTTTTTATTATTTTAATAAAAAATAATTGAACTTCTGTGAATTTCATTATTAAAATGTAAAAATAATTGAATTCTGCAAAGATATTTATTCAATTTTTAAAAATAATTGAATTCTAAGAAAAAGATTGTATCAAATCTTTTGAATTAATAATTGAATTCTTTTGAAAAGTTTTTGTAACAATAAAAATTTAATTTTATCAAAATTGTATTGAAAATAATTGAATTCCAGCAAAGAATTTTAATATATAGAAAAAAAATTGAATTCTTGTGAAGAATTTTATTAAAATTGTATTGAAAATAATTGAATTCCTGCGAAGAAGTTTATTAGAGTTTTTAAAATATAATTGAATTGTTTCAAAGAATGAAATTCAATTTTTTCAAAAAAATAATTGAATTCTTTTGAAAAATTGTTGTAATAAAAAAAATTCAATTTTATTAAAATTGTATTGAGAATAATACAATTCCTACAAAGAATTTTATTATAAAGAAAAAAATAATTAAATTCTTGCAAAGAATTCTATTAAAATTCTTAAAAAATAATAAATAATTAGTTAATAAGTGACTTATAAAGTTGAATTAAATTTCTTAAAATTCTTTAAATTCTTTTGAAGAATTTCTTTAAAATAAAGAAAATTTAATTGATTTAATTTAATTAATTTGAAGTTAATTGTTCTTATTTGCTTTTTGTTTTCTATTTTTTTGATATTTTACATTTTTAATTTTTCTTTCTAATTTAACTTGATTTAATTTAATTAAATTTTGAATCTAAAATTATTCAAAGATTGTTGTAATTAATCGAAAGAAAATAGTGCGTATTTTCTCATTTTAATAATTTAATACTTCCATGTAACAATTTTATAAATTAAATACAGATTATGATTCTTCCATTTAATAACTAAATACTTTGGACAATTACTTATTGAGGGTTGATAAATTTTTTTTTTGTGAATTAAATAACTCTTGCAATTTTATTAATATTAGACTCTATTGTTTGTTACACAATTCTAATGTATACTAATTAAGTAATATCAATTTCCTGTTTATTTTTTTAACAAGCAATCAGCTTACCTGACTTAGTTCTCTAGCTTTCAACAATAATGTTTTGCAATCACTTCCTGCTTTTCCATTATCTTTGATCTTAAAACAATTTTTATAAACCTCTTTATTTTTTAAAGAGTCAAGAGTCATTTCCCAATATTTGTCTTTTATTTTAATTTACATTTTTATAAATTTTTTTTTATTTTTTTTTTTTACTTTTTTAAAGCATTAAAGTCATGCTCCTTTTTATCTATTTCGAACGAAAGAAAGAAACATTGATAAGGTACTATTAAAGTAACAAGATAGTGCACATTTTCTGTTTAACAAATAGGTAATTTCAATTTTCAATGTCAACATATAGCATCCATTGTTCTACAAGTACTTATTTTCCTTCCGCTCAATTATTCTTTTTTTCCAAAGTTACTTTTCTTTTTTTTTTCTTTTTTTTTTAAATAAAATACCATTTAAGGTATTTCGTAAAAAAAGTAATCAATCTAGATTTGGAAAATTACTGAATTATTGATCGTTATTAAAGATCTTTTAAACGATTTTAGAAAGTGAATTTTGTTATTTAATCAACTCGTTAATTTTGCTATCTTCTACCTTTTGTTTTTTTCACTCGAGTTTCCTTGATTTTTTTTTCACTGAATACTTTATTTTGTCGTTTTATTAATTTATCGACTATTAATACAACATTGTTATAGGTTTTTTTCATAGAGAGACTTAAAGGTATTGTTTCGATTTATTCATGCACTAATTCTTTCCCTCAATAGTGATGTACTACTTTCTTTGAAATGATCGATTGGCTCATTAAACCCTTGTTTATTGCAACTTCATTTAATTCCAGTGATTCATTAAAGTAGTGAACATTATTTATTATTTATTTACTTACTTATTATTTATTTACTTATTTATTTATTTGTTTATTTGTTCGTTTATAATATTGAAAAAAAGTGGAGTAATTTTAATTTTTCCGTTTTTTGAATTTTAGGTTTTTCGTTTTATTTTCTATGGAAAAAAATAAATGTGTCGGGGAGGGAAAAAAAGGAGAGTGAGGAAATAATTTCAATAAAGCCCTCTTGTATATTGAGATGAAGAGAAAAATGCAAATTTTCGGCATATAGGTGGATGGGTACACTCTTTTCGTGTCTGAACTGCTGCCACAGGATAGGATTCAAGTATTGATTGCAGGAGTCTACTGTACTCTGGCACATGGGTGGAGGGTTATCCCCAGACAAGAACTACCTCGACACACTCCGTCTTCCACTTGGCTCCTTCTCGATTTCTGTTCCTTTTTTTTTAATTTTTCACTTTTATTTTTGCCCAAGAAAGTAGAATTTCAATAATTTACAAAAAAAAAATTTTTTCAATTCAAGAATTGTAAAATTTATATCCAATATCGTTGGAAAAAAATATTTATCCTTCTCGTACATCCTCTTGAAGAGGAGTAGCACTTGAGCAACAGGATTAAAAATACATTCTATTAGGGGTCAAAGTAAAAAAAGCAAACAAAAAAAAACCAATGAATCAGCTTTATCATAATTAATAATCTTTATGAAACTTTTTATATAAAACTTCTGAACACTCATGCGAGGAATTTTTTTTTAATAATTCAATTTGTTATTTTCAGCAAAAAGGGAATTACAAGATTTTTCCTCTTTTCGTAAAACAATTTTTTTTTATGATATTCATGAAAAATTGAAAAAAATTGTTTAGAGACATTTTACATAAACGATCGAAACTAAAAGTAAACAAAAAAAAGTGGTGTATTTACTTTCAAAGGGTGATAAAATGTTTTTTTTTTAAATAGTAGAAGAAATGTGGTTTTTCTTTCAACGTGATAAAAATATTTCTAAGGTCAACAAATTCATTGGACTATGGTGAAGCTCGTTGACCAGAAAAATCTTATTATAAAGACTCTTTGAACTCAGTTTAAAATTCAAGGATCTTATACGATCTAGATATTCTCAATATATGGGAATTAATTTTTAACAGTGTTTTCATTTTTTTGTTCGCAGGTTTCTTTTTTAAATGACTGAGCAGAGGGAAATCGACGCGTATGACAATGGGCTGAAATATTAAATTTTAAGGAAGAAATTATTAATCGACTATTTAGGAAGTTACCCAGGGTAGGTTTATTTCTTTTGAAAACAAAATTTTCTCTAAAATTTTATTATTTAATTTTTGCAACATGTGTAAAAAAAATATAGTTTCTAAATGTTAAATTTAGGTTTTTAATTTTCATTGCAATCAGTAATTTTGGAAAGTTATTTTATACACAAAAATTATTTTATATTTAAATATTCAAGAAATTTGTAAAAAAAAAATTCATTTGAACGTTCGAAACTTGTAGATCGTTAAAAATGGATTTTTATTTGATAATTAAATTCAATAATAATAGAAACAAAAAGCCAACTATAGAAATTTAACGAATTATTTCGTTTTTAGTTATTAAATATTTTAAAAGCCATTTTTGCGCTATGTACTTTGAAAAATGAAATAAAAAACATAATACCTAAATAATATTCTGTATATACATAGACAAAATCTATTGTATTTTTTATGCTAAAAGCGTTACGTATAAGAACGTCACGTAACGAAATAAATTTACATTCGCGTGATTTAAGTCAGTTTTTATAATATTTCAAAAGGAGTGTCACAAATACACGAAAATAAAAAATTTCCATCTTTTAAAAAGCAATTCATTTAGTAAATTTCAAAGTCGTATGAAACTGGAAAATATTCGAAATTTCTAAAAATAATCATATCCAACCAAAAACGTTATTTTTTCATATAAGAATTTACATTTTTATACAAAATAATAAAACTACATTCAAATATTTCCCTTTCGCAAGATTTTTTAAAAATTGCTTTGAATAATTTATATTTTATTAATACAATCGACATTAAAAATCTTTTATTAATAATCGATAAAAATTATATTTGTTAAAAGAAAATATTGAGTCAGAAGAATTATATTTGTTAAAAAAAATGTTGAGTCAGAAAAATAATATTTTTAAAAATAAATTATTGAAAAAAATCAGAATATTATAATTATATTTGTTAAAATAAAATACGTTTTCCAGTTAATTTGAGATGGTGTTGAGAGTTAGACTTTCTTGAGCTAATTGCACGACGAAGCTTGTCCTCAAATTAAGTGTGTAATTACTGTAATTACAGTGATATCCTGGGGAAGTTGAAGATGGCTACAGTGGAGGAGAAAAAACGTGTGGGTGGAACAAAAGTGTCCGCTATCGCAAATATCTTCCAGTCAAAGCCACAATCGGAAAATTTCAATTATAGATCAAACGCAATTCTTTCTGATGGTTTCAAGGAACCACCTGCTCCCCTTAAGGAGTCACCAACTCAAGTTACTGTTGTAAGAACAGAAAGCCATGTCGCTCGATTTAATAATGCTCGAGCTCTCTTCGAGAAACTGGGCGAGGAAAACAAATCTAATCGACCGTGAGTATTTTTTCACACTGAAATTTTACATTTAAACAAATAATCTTAACATTTGTTTTATTTTTTCTTTCATTTATTGTATTTAAAACGAAAATATTTATTTAATTTTGTTTTCAATTTTGCAGGCTTCGTACTCATCTACTAAAACCTACTATTTATTACTTTTTTTTTTAAATTTGTTACTGCTTGAATACACTATTTTAGATTAGTGACACTAAAAGACACATTTTTCTGTGCTTGAGAATTTGAATTACTTTAAATTCGCTAATACAGTTGGAATAAAAAAATTATTCTCAAAAATTTTAATAATACTAAACATTAAAAAAAATGTTAATACAATTCTTTCAAACGATTCAATTATTTTCAAAAAAATTTCGAAATTCTATTATTTTCAATATCTAATAATTTTAGATTAATATTTTTATCTAATAATTCAAAGATTCAATTATTTTTATAAATTTTATAAGTTTTTTTTAAAGAATTCAGTTATTCATAAAAATTAAAAATTTTAATAAAATTCTTCGCAGAAATTCAATTATTTTCAACACAATTTTTATAAAATTCTTTGCATGAATTCAAGTATTTTTTCTTCATAATAAAATTATTTGCTTGAATTCAATTATTTTTAATACAATTTTAATAAAACTACATTTTTTTATTACAAAAGTTTTTTAAAAGAATTCAATTATTTTTAAAAAATTGAATTGAATTCTTTGGAAGAATTCAATTACTTTTATATAAATAATAAAATTCTTCGCAGAAATTCAATTATTTTTTAAAAATACATAATAAACTTCTTCGCAGGAATTTAATTATTTTCAATAAAATTCTTCGCAAGAATTCAGTTTTTTTTTATATAATAAAAATTTCTTTGCTCGAATTTAATTATTTTCAATACAATTATAATTAATTTTGTGGAAAAGATTCAATTATTTTTAATAATTTTAATAAAGTTTTTCTATGAATTCAATTATAAAAACTTTAATAAAATTCTTTGCAAGAATTCAATTATTTTTAGTACAATTTTTCTAAAAAATTGAAATTTTCAAAAATTTTAATAAAATAATGGGAAGAATTCAATTTTTTGCAAAATAAATTTTAACATAATTTATTAGTTAAATTTTTAATTACAATTATTAACAAACACGATTATTTTTAAATCTTTAAAAAAATACTTCGTAAAAACCAATTATTTTCAAAACTATTAATTAACATTATTCAAAAAAATATATTATTTCCAAAAAAATTTAAAGAAACTCTTCGAAAAAATTTCATTATTTTTGCAAACTCTAATAAAATTCCCAAAAGAAATTCGAATATTTTCATAAATAATAAAATTTTCACAGGGATTTAATTAATTAGAACAGGATTTTCATAAAATTTTTCGAAAAAAAACAATTATTGAAAATCAAATCAATTGCAAGAATACAATTAGACATTAAAAAAAAAGTTTAATAAAGTTCTTAGCAAGAATTCAATAATTTTTATAAATAATAAAATTCTCTTCAGAAAATCAAATATTTTTAAAAAATTTAATGAAATTCGTTGCGAAAATTCAATTATTTTCAGTACAATTTTAATTAAATTCCTCGTACGATCTTAAATTTTCTTCGAAACAATTGAATTTGCATTTTCACAAATTTTATTATTTTTATCTATTTTTTTCATAAATAATAAAATTATCACAGAAATTCAATTGTTAATTATTTTAATTTAAATAAATTTTTAATTATTTTTAATACAATTTAAAATAAATTCTTCAAAAAATGCAATTATTCTTGAAAATTTATTAAAATTCTTATAATGAATTCAAAAATTTTGAAAAAAATTCTTTATAAGAATTCAATTTTAAGAAATATTCAATTAATCAATAAATTATTTAGTTTTGTATTTAAATAATTGAATTCTCGTAGAACCTTCTAATAAGAAATGAAGTTAAAATTGAAATGCAGTTAAAACTTTAGATAATTCAATATTAGAAGCGTTATAGTGTAAATTTTTAGAAATAATTAAATTTCAAAAGATTTTTTGAATTCAAATCTTTGAAATTTTTAACTGTTGTGAAACTATTATAATATTTAAATTTTTATTTTGAAATAAATTGATTAAAGTTTTGAATAATTTTATTCAAAAATTTCAACATAAAAATGATTGAATTGAATAACAATACAATTGTAATTTTTAGAAATAGTTAAATTTCCATTTAAATCATTTAAAATATTTTAATTCCTGTGATAAACCGGGAATTTTTTCACCAAATTAAAAAAAATTTTAGTATTTTAATTTGTTTTTAAAAAATTTTGCTTTTTATTTCCAAATTTTTATTTAAAATTCTCACCCAGAATAGGTATTTAAATATTTATTTTAAAAAAATTATTCTATTTTTGAATGTAATTTAATTTTTGGATACATTTTTTACTACTTTTTTTTAAGCCCTAAAGAGCTACTTTTTAATACTTTTTTAAAAATTAAATTATAGAGTACGAAGCCTGATTTTACTAAACAATTTAAATCGAGAATTATCATGTTTCACTTGATTTATTGTAATATTTTTCGTTTCAAGAATAAACAGACTAATGAATTTCATTTATGTTAAAGAGCGGAGCGTGTCTCGAAGCCAACAAATTTGCATGGGTTACGTTCAAGATCAAGTTCGGCGAATTCCGGGTCAGGCTGTACATCGCCAACTCGATCGCCCCGTCCTCTGTCACCTTCGCCCCCGGGTACAAGGGATCACTTGAGCAATTGGAGTGCCAGTGTACCAGCACTAAATGCCGAGCGACATTTCGAAAATGGACATTCAAACGCCGCCGACAGTATTACAGATAGACTAAGACCTCGCGTGGGTTTTAACAAGTTTGAAAAGCACAGTGGCAAGGAGAATCGATTAGACGATCGTCCAGAGAAACCCGAGAAGCCCGAGAGGCGATTAAATTCAAAAGAGCTCATTGAAAAGCAAAAGAATTGGACGAGTCATTTTTCAAAGGCACGACCCAGTAGATATAATTCCGATCCAAATCGATCTGTCGTTCAAACGTCCTTGAATCAAAATTCAAATAAAAGCGACGATTCGCTGGTTCAAAAGACAAGCAATCAAGGTAAAGATTCAAAAAGATCGAACGATGGTGTTTCTATTTTAGCAACGCGCTCCGCTAGTTTTTGCTCTGTTAGACGAACACCATCGACTTCTCCGCCACCGCCTCTTCCACCGACCAGGAACTCTTCCACTAGTAATTCAAAAAAGGAAAGACCAGTCAGTATAGGCTCTGCCTCGTCGAGTCCCGATTACGAGAGTCCAGAATACGCAACAATTAATAAATTCACCGATTCCTCGCCCACAATTCCCGAATATGCCGAGGTACAAAAAAACATCACCGACAAGAAAAAAAATCAAGAATCAATCGACAAAGAATTTCAGTCACGATCATCAAATGATGACGGTATGCCAGAATATGCCGTAGTACAAAAGAATGTCACTAAAAATGCGGGGAAAAATTCAAATAAAAATAATGTCAATTCACAATTGGAAAAATGTCAAAAAGATAATGAGACTTTGAAAAATAATAAATGTGCCACTGGCTCGGATATTGTGATTGGAAAAAAATCGTTTGCATCGCCAAATGAGAGAATCATGAATTCGAGTCCAACCCGAAGCGCTTCCTTGGATAATGTGATTTCAAGTGGACCTGATGTATGTAAAGCAGCGATGAAAGATGACTATTTGGACATTCCTGAATATTCAAATTATCCATGTGATACAGCAATATCACCGCCTAAAACTTCTGAATGGAAGAATGAATGGATTGCCAAGAATGATGAGATTCTCAAAAGTGTCACAGATTTAACTTTATCGAGTGAAGTTCTTGCTCAAGAAGAATTTAATAATGAAGTTATTAGAACAGATTCAAGGCCTGATTGGGCCAAGCCTTGTATTGATACTATTAAAAGAAAGGAAAATGCAATCGAGGCGAAAAAAGAACGAGTTCGATCACCAGATAGTGAATTGAGACCTCCTTCAAGAAATACAGACAGTGCTTCCTCGAGTATGAGTTCTCCCAGTTCGCCGTCAAAAGACAGTAAGGAGGAAAAGGCCGAGAAGGAAGTGTCTGAAAAAATACAAACTGGTGAGTTTTCTTTTTTCTCTCTAATTACAAGGCGGCTAATGGCGGATGTTTAGACTTTTTTCATACTATTTTTAGAAAAGGCTACTTTTTATTACATATTTTCGAAAAATACGACTTTTTCACCTTTTCTTTCAAATAATATTGCAAAGAAATACTACAAAATTCCAATTTCTTCAATTTTTCTATTTTAAAAAGTCACTGTAGAAAAATATATCAAAATTTATTTTCGAATAATTTTTTAAAGAAAGCTAATTAAATTTTTGGAATATATAATTGAATTTTTTTTAAATAATTGCAATTTTGAAAATTTTACATTGAAAATAATTGATTTTTTTTGAGTATTTCATTAAAATTTATGAAAAGCAAATTTTTAAAAATATTATAAAAAAATTTAATGAAAAAACAAAATGAAAATTAACTTTAACAAAAGTATATTAAGAAATTCTTTTAAGACAATAATTTTTTTGATTTTTTAATACAGCTTTTTAAAATTCAATTATTTTTAATATTTTTAAATATATATTACTGAAAATTTTCAATTACAATTCTTTAAAAAATAGATTAGTTTTTTAAATTTTCCAAAAATTTCTTCAGAAATTCATTTAATTATCGAAAAATTTTACCTTGAATGTTTGAAAAAATAACACAAAGAGTTACAATTGCAATTTTTGTAAAATATTAAATTTTGTAATACAGTTTTTTAAAATTCAATTATTTTTAATATTTTTAAATACATATTACTGGAAAATTTAATATCTACAGAAAATAATTACATTAAAATTGTCTAAAAAAAATCTAATTTTGTTAGAATTATTATTAAAATTTTAAAAATTTTTTCAGAAATTCATTTATTTTCGAAAAATTTTACCTTAAAAGTTTGAAAAAATAACACAAAGAGTTACAATTGCAATTTTTGTAAAATATTAAACTTTTTTATTTATATAAATGAATTCTCTAAAATCCTTCTAAAAATTATTCAAAATTATTCAAAAAATTTAGAAAAAAATTTAGAAAAAAATTTTAATTAAAAATTCTAAATAATAATTGGATTTTAAAAGAGTAGTAGAAATTTATAGAAATAATTAAATTTTTAAATTCTAAGAAATTAAGTTCTTAGAAAAATTTAAATTGAATTTTTTTTAAATTAGATGGATTTTTTAATATAAAATAATTTGCAAAAATTGTCGAATACTCGAAATTATTAATAATACTCTAAAAAGTAATTGAATATTGTAAAAGTTTGGAAAGAATTTTGAAAAATAATTCAATTTTTTTATTTGCAAAAGAATAATTTCAAAATGTTTAAAATTAGAAATTTAGAAAAATTTGTATTTTGAATAATTTTAATGGAAAATTCTAAATAACTTAGTTATTAAAAAAATTGGAATTTAATTTTTTTTAAATTAGTTGAATTATTGAATATAAAATAATTCGAAAAAATGGTCGAAAACTCGAAATTATTCAAAAATCATTGATTTAGAAATTCCAGGGTGTCTACTAACCGGGAATTCCGGGAAAACCGGGAAATAACCGGGAATTTTATTTGACCGGGAAAAACCGGGAATTAGCCGGGAATTTTATACCGAACCGGGAATTTTTTCACAAAAATTAAAAAAGTTTTATTATTTTAATTTGTTTTTAAAAAATCAATTTTTATTTCAATTTTTATAGATATTTATACTGTTCTCTAAATTTAAGTTAGTTAAAAATAATTAATTTGATGATAAAAAATCAGTTACCAATTCAAATATATTATGTAAATAAATTTAAAAAAAATTATGGAGTTAATAGAAATATTGTGAAATTCGACTGAAAATATGTAATTAAATTTGTTAAAGAAATTCATTAGAAACTTTTTAACAAATAGAATTTTCAAAGTATTTTAATTTAATAATTGATTAATAATTGAATATTATAAAGAGTAAAATTCTAATGTATTCATGTTTCTTACTCCGAAGATTAATAATTAAAATTTTTATTAGTTATTTTAAAAAAATATACATACTTAAAATTGTTTAATAAAATTAAACTTTCGCAAAATTTTTTTTGTCTAAAAAATAAAATTGTTGTAATTTTTCAATTCTATTGTTTCAAGATAATTGAATTTTTCTAAACAAATCATTGAAATTTTTTTACTTTTTTTGAAAAATAATTGAATTCTTTTAAAGAATTTTATTTAAATTTTTCGAAAATAATCAAGGGAAGTTAGTGACCATAATTATAATTTTATTTTTAAAATTTAAAGTCCCTCTTACAGTTTTAAATCAATTTTTTGCTTCTAAAAATTATACTATTCTATTATTATTTAATAATTATAATTATTAAACTTCTCTTAAATTTTTATCATTTCAAATTTCTGAATGTTCAAATAAATGATATTTATTTATTTCTTGAGCAAATTAAATGTTTATTACATATTAAGTAAAGAATTAATTATTGCTGCTTATTATTTTCAAAAATTTTAATAAAATTCTTCACAAGAATTAAATTATTTTCATAAATAATAGCATTCTTTGGAAGGATTCAATTATTTTTATAAATAGTAAAATTCTTTGCAGAAGTTCAATTATTATCAATGTAATTTTAATAAAATTGAAAAATCCAATTTTCAATTATAATTATAAAGAGACAAGATTATTTTTAAAAACTTGAAAAAATTCTTTGTTTAATTCAAGTATTTTCCAAGTTTTTAATTAAAATTACTGAAAAAAACATTATTTTCAAAAAATTTAATGATTTATTTATGTTTGAAATCAAATTTAAATTTAAATTTGATAAGAAAAAAAACCGGGAAAAAATTAGGATATAGCCGGGAAAAACCGGGAAATAACCGGGAATTTTGTTAAACGAAAATAGTAGACACCCTGTTAGAAAACAATTTTGGTTAAAAACTCTAGAAAATGATTGAATATTGTAAAAGTTTAGAAAGAATTTTAAAAAAAATTTTTTATTTGCAAAAGAATAATTTCAAAATGTTTAAAATTAGAAATTTTGAAAATTTGTATTTTGAATAATTTTAAAGGAAAATTCTAAACAACTTAGTTATTTAAAAATTAAAAAGTTGGAATTGAAGTTTTGAATATTGAATAATTTTAATTAAAAAGTCTAAACAACTTAGTTATTTGGAAAATTGTAATAGAAATTTTTTAAAAATTAGTTCAATTTTTGAATATATAATTAATTCAACATTTTTTGAATAATCGAAATTTTGTAAAATTGCGTTGAAAATAATTGAATTTTAGAAGTATTTTAATTGAGCTTTCTTTTTTGAATCATTGAATTCTCATATAACTTTCTCAAAATTATTAACGAAAATTCTAGAAAATAATTGAATTTTTGAGAAGTTAGAGTTTAGATTTTTAAAAACAATTAAATTTCAGAAGTAATTTGTAGTTAGTAATTAGTAGAATAATTCTCAAATAATTGTAAATGTTATTATATTTTATTAAATAAATTTCATATTTTGAAGAATTTTATTACAATTTTTTAAAAATAATTGTATTTTTGAAGAAAAATATGAATAAATTTGAAATAATTGAAATAATAATTTCAGAAAATTTTGAAAATAATTGAATTTTACAAAAAATAAGAATTTATAAAATTTTAAATTACCACGAATTTTACTACAAAATCTATAATTTTGTTGACAATAACAGGGCTCGAACTAAGTCCGTAAATCCCGTAAAAGTCCGTAACTTTGCTTGAAGTCCGTAAAAGTCCGTTTTTTTGAAAAAAGGTCCGTAAAGTCCGTAATTTGATTGAAAAAGGTCCGTAAAGTACGTAAATTATACGATATAATTTGGATAATTTTAGAGAAATTACAAATGATTGAAGGAATTTAATTATTTTCAAAAGCAATAAAATTCTTCGCAAAAATTCAATTATGTTTAAAATTTTTTAAAAATTCTCGTCAAAATTTCAATTATCTTTAGAAGTAATTAAATTCTTCTCCAAAATATCAATTATTTTCAAAAATTTTAATAAAATTCTTGGAAAAATTTCAATTATTTTCAAAATTTTTCCTCAATTCAATTATTTTTAATAGGTATCTATACTATTCTAGTAAAATTTTCCAAAAGAATTCAATTATTTAAAAAAAATTAATAAAATTCTACACAAACTTTTAATTATTTTCAAAAAATAATAAAAATTTTACAGGAAATTCATTAATTACAAATTTTTTAATAAATTTCTTCGCAATATTCAATTATTTTCATAAATAATAAAATTTTTACAGGTATTTAATTTTTTTGGCAAATAATAAAATTCTTATTAGGAATTCAATTATTTTGATAAATAATAAAGCTAATTGCAGAATTTCAATTATTTTTAATACAATTTTAATCGAATTCCTCGAAAAATGTAATTATTCTTAAAAATTTTATTAAAATTTATCAAAGAAATTTCATTATTTTAATAACCTCTAATTCAATTTATTTATTAGAATTTAAATATTATTTTTAATAAATTTTTAATTAAATTTCTTTAAAGAATAAAATTATTGCATTCAAAATTTTTAATGCAATTCTTTGCGTAAATTATCAATTTTCTTTATAAATAATAAAATTCTTCTTCAAAATTCAATTATTTTCAAAAAACTTTTAATAAAATTCTTGGCAAAATTTCAATTATTTTCAAAAGTTTTGCCTAATTTAATTATTTTTAATATCTATTTTAATAAAATTTTGCAAAAGAATTCAAATTATTTTAAAATTGATTGATACAATTTTTTAAAAGAATTCAATGTAATAATTCATATGTAATTATTCAATAAATTGTTTTTTTTTGTTTTTAAATAATGAAATTCTCGTAGAATTTTCTCATAAAAATTGATTTAAAAATGGATTTCCGTTAAAATTTTAGATTATAATTGAATATTAAAAGTATTAGAGCGTAAAGTTTTAGAAATAATTAAATTTTGAAAAGGTTTCAGATTCAAATCTTTGAAAATTTGAATTTTTCATATTTTTAACTGAGTAACAATTCTGTGGAATTAATTTTTTTGAGAAATTTTAATTGCGAATTTTTTTTTATATTATTTGAAGTTTTTATTTTCTAATACATATTTAATTGAAGAATTTACAAATAATTGAAAATTCGTAAAATTGAATATTGTAAAGAAATGGATTTGAAAATTGTCAAAAAACATTTTCGAAAATTATTAAAAATAATCGATTTTAAGAAGAATTTTAGTTAAAAATTCTTGAAAATAATAATTGAAATGATAATGATTTTATCACTCTATCTTTAATTTATTATAAAACATGAAGTAATCGATCGCTCCGAGTCGAAGACTCGGAGTTATCGATATCTTCATGTTTATTAGTTATGAAAAAATCTAATTTATAGTTTTAAGTAAAATGTTCTCTTATATATTTTTGCCAGTAGTTGGTCCGTAAATGGTCCGTAATTTTTCATTTTTGGTCCGTAAAGTCCGTATTTTTAAATACTTTCACTGGTTCGAGCCCTGCAATAATCGAATTTTATAAATATGAAAATAAATTTATTTAAAAAGAAAATTTTTATTGGTCGAATAAAATCAATTTAAATAAGTCTTTTTGTTGTACGTAGAAAATTAACTGCTTTTATTTCAATTTTAAATTCGTAAAAATAATAAAAAGCTCTTGAATTCAATAAACGGAAAAATATTAATTAACACAATTGTCCTTTTATTATTATATTATAAATAAAGAAGAAAAAAATCGTGACTTAAAAGGGTTAATGAAAGTTTTTCACCAGCAAGACCTTTATGAATGACTCCCACACGATTGTATGAAAATAATAATACACTTGGTGTTAATTAAAGCGGAGGGCTTTTCACCTCATTGTTAGTCATTGGTAGTGGATATCAGAAAGTGGAAGTCTGCCAAAATAGCAAAATGTAAAAGTAAAGTGTTCAAGCCCCTCCTCAATCTCTTCCTTCGGGCCACCTCTCTTCTTTCTGATTTCAGGCCTTTTCCTCTTACCCATAGCACGACGAAATTATTTATAGAAATCAGTATGAACTCCATTTGGCATCTGTCTGCTTGTACCTAAAATCACTCGTGTTCCGCTGAGAGTCAAAAAAAAAAAAAAATTAATAAATAATTAATTAAAAAAAAACATTTCAATTAATATTTTCATAATTGTTAAAAACATTTGAACAGTGTCAAGAAAAAATAAAATTTGGATAAATTAAATAAATTTTGATTTGGGTATTTTTCATGTTGATTTTTGAGATATAAATAAGTTTTGACGGGAGGATTGCTCTAATAGGCTTCTTTAAATTTATTTTTACAGTGAAGTGTAGAGAGAAGATGAATAAGAATTTTTATTTTTTTCTAATATTCTTACTGTGATATCGAATTTTTGTTCAAAGTTTACGTATAGCTGTAGGATTATTTTTTTTCGAAGATTAGTATTAATTAGTTGTCTAGTGCTATGTGCCTCCGTCTTCTTTGCATCGATTGTCGAGGTACTTTCTGTTTCTGTAGCGAATTTTTCTTTTCTTTTTTTTTTTGAAATTTATATTTTTACATTTTTTCTATATTTATTAATTTTTTGCTAATAATTATATTTTTTCTTTAAAGGACGAAGCAGTTATGACTTGGAAACAGAGGAGACAGAAAAATCTACAACCTACACCGAGAAGATTTTGGATAAAGATGAGAATGGAGAAAAGGAATATGAATTTTGTGAAACTGATACAGCAACAGTTATCAGACGATCACATATTCGTGTCGAGACAACTTCTGCTGGACTAGGCCAACGACCAGCATCTACGATAAGTTCCGATCAGGAAATTCCGCCCCTGGAGCATAAAGAAATTCCCGTGCCATCACCTTACGTGAAACGAGTGCAACAAACAACACAGGAACAAGGAAAAAATAAAACTTGCACTAAAAATGATGTCAAGACAAGTGTGGACGCCAAGTCATCTGTCAAGGAGCAAAACACGCAAAATCTCAGTTCAAAACTTCCCCAAGATGGTATTTATAGGTTTCAACAGGCAACAGTGACTAATACAGTGACAATGGAAAAATCAAGTTTTCCAGGAGAAAACAAAGAAATTGTTAAGGACAAACAAAACGTTGATCATCAATGTCAAAAGACAGTCGCCAATGCAAAGAATGATCAAATAAAAGTATCGGTACGCGAGAAAATCGCCAAAAATAAAGAGGAAGTTTCTGGTAAACGTGCAAGTTTCACCGATCTTGAAAATAAAACGGATTATGTAGATAAATCTAATGCAAGTACAAATCAGTATTCAAGTAATCAGAGCAATAATTTATTTAAGGAATGCATAAATGATGAGAATAATATGACTGATAAAAATTCGACGTTTGATCAATTGTCGAAAAATAATACTGAAATTGAAATGACTGAACAGATTATGCCAAAAGTCAATTCAACAATAATTGATAAAGATGTTGTTGAGGAATCAATTCAAACAACATGGGAACAGGAGAAACAGAAAGCAGATCAAAAATTAAGACAATCGGAGAATAATTTAACAGCAATGCAGCATTTGAATGAAAAAACACAAAGTGGAATAGCTTCGCCTTTAAAAAAGGATTTAGTTGAGGAGCATAAATTATCTGATAATAGTTTAATTGAAGATAGTGATTCCAGTGATGCTAAAACTATAACTAATATTGAGAGTCTACCTTCATTGGAAGTACCGAGTTTCAATGGACCTGTGGAGACTTCTGTGAAAGCCGTGCCCGTTACTCCAGATACTATGACACCTGATGAAGCTGAAAATCTTCTGAGTTCTCGGTAATAAATTCTTTTTGTTTACTCTTTCTCAAGTTATATATCTTTGTGTCTATTCGTTAAAAAAGAAGTAGCATGTCCTGCTTTACAAGATAAATTTATTCATTCATCGGAGAATAGTTTTCTTTTCCATTTCTTGTATTTCGTAATTGTTTCACTTATATTACTTACATAATTTCATAATTATTGTTCATTACTATGTTTCAATAGTAAATATTCTCGATTATTTCATTTTCTTTTATCAAATATCTTTTATTGTAATACTTTTCTGTAATGTTTTTCGTCAAAGTATTTTTCTTTAAATTATTTTTCGTCAAAATATTTTTCTTCATACTACTATTTCTTTCTAAATATTCTTTTTTCAATTTATGATTCATTAAATCATATTTTCGTTTATTACATCAGAATTTCTTTTGCATTTAATTATATATGTACCTGCAATCTACGATGCCTTTGGGTTGAATATTGCAGAATATTGGAGAAAAATATCAGGTGAGAGCTTTGTTATATTTTACTCAAACATGAAATTTAAAGTTGCTACATAATTCAGAGAAATCAGGAAAATGTCAGAAAATTTCTTCAAAAGTACTGAAAAAATATCAAATTTCTTGAATTGCTACAAAAATGTAGATTTTTCGAGTTCAAAACTATTTTTAAAAGACTTAAAAACCTTGAATAATTCTTCAATTTTTCTTCAACTTTTGAATAATAGAAAATTTTAAAATAATATTTTAATTTTTTTTGTAAATAATTAAATTTATTTTAAGTAATTTAATTTACTTCAAACGATTAAAATTATTTGAAATTAAATTAAATTTATTTAAAATAATTAAATTCTAAAATAACTTTTTTAAAGTTATTATTTATAATTAACTCAAAGGTAAGGAGAATATGAATAAAAACTTCATAATTAAAAAATAATTGAATTTCAGAAAGTTTTGAATTAAAATTTTGTAAAATTTCAATTCCAGTGAAAAAATTTAAATTAATTACATATTTATTTAAAGAATTATTTAAGTTTTTAAATAAAATATTATAAAATAATTTTATCTATAATTCTAAAAAAAATTAAAGTTCTGAAAAAATTGAATTCAATATTTTGAAGGGATTTAAATTTAAAATTATTTAAAAATTATCAAACTGATAAAAATTTTGTAAAATTTAATTGAAAATAATTGAATTAGTTAAAAATGTTTAAAAATCAACATAAAAGAGTCTAAATTAAATTTAAATTCATTGCTTCGAATTAAATTTTCGAAAAGATTTATTTGAAATTCTAAGAAATTAGGTTTTTGAAATATTTTTCAATAGAATATTGAAATTTAGAAAACAGCATCAAAGAATATTGATTGCAAATAAAATAATTTAATTCCGAAAAAGTTACGATTACAATTCACAAAGAATAAAATTTAAAAATTTGTTTCTAAAATTTACAATTTTTAAAAATTTTTATTTAAATTTCTGAATAATCAGGGTTCTATTTTTTTTAAGATTATTGAATTATTATAAACAAGTATAATTGATAATTCTAAAAATAATATTGAAATTTTCTAGAATTCGATTCAAAATAATTGCATTTTTCAATAAATTTACTGAATTATTGTTGAAAATAATTGTGATTAAAAAAAATTAGCATAAAATGGTCTAAATCAAATAAAAATAATTTAATTTTAAAAGAGTTGCAAGAATAATTTTTAATTAATTTGATAATTTTAAAATGATTTAAATTCAAATTTTTTTCTAAAAATTGTAATTTTGCAAAATTTTATTTAAAATTCTAATAAATTGCGTTTGTAAAATATTTAGTTCAATTTTTTAAAGATTATTGAATTTTTATAAACAAGTAATTGAAAATTTTTAAAATAATTAAAATTTTCAAGAATTCGAGTCATAGTAATTGGAATTTACAAGAATTGGATTCAAATTAATTGGATTTTTCAATAATTTTACTGAAATTTTTGAAAATAATTGTGATTAAAAAAAATTAACATAAAATGGTCTAAATCACATTTAAAATAATTTAATTTTAAAAGAGTTGCAAGAATAATTTTTAATTAATAGGTATATTTCAGTTTAATTTTTAAATATTATTTTATAGAGATTAGGGAGAAAATTAAAATTCTGTCTAGAAATCAGGGAAAAACGAAATCAAATTTTTTGTGGCAACTTTGAATAAAATAAATTAAGTAATGAAACGAAACAAAAAAAAATTAATTCTAATTTTTATACAAAGAAAAAAAAATTTGCAATCATGTAGCAATTTTAACGTTTCCAAAGTTCTAACCATTCGTGTAAAATTTTTTAAAATTCGATCTAAGAATATTTACTCAGATAATAATAAATATTTATGAATTTTTCAAAAGTAATTTTCATTATTGAAATGATTAATTAAATTTAAATATTAATTAAATTTGGAAATAATATGAAAAAAATAAAAACGCTACAAAAAATATAATGAAACACGAATGTTTATAACTTTAAGTATTAAGGAAAAATTTAAACTTCAAATCGATGGTAAGTGATAGAAATTGGAATGAATGAAAACAAACAAAAAATTGTAAATAATGAAATAGACAAGGCTCGGCGTTGCTGTCGGATGAGGAGGCACAGGAAATTGCTAGGTTATTGTTGCCTACAAATGCTAATGGAATAGCCTCTGAAGAGAAGCCTGATGAACAAGGAGACGATATCAAAGATAAAGAGGACGACAATGCTCCGGATTGGCTCTCGGATGTTTTGTCAGTTCAAGATTCCAGTGTCGTCAATAGCACCACTCAAGATTATAGGTGAATTGTTGTAGTTTATTAAACATTTTAATTTCAATCGATATTTGCATGATGTGTATTGTCGCTTCTTATGCTCCTTTTTTTAATTACGAAAAATCTCTCAAAAAGGATGGAGTCCAGGTTTTCTATTTCTTGAGTATAATATCAATTTTCGTATTCGATATCAAATTTTCATATTGTTGAATATTTAATCAACATGTTTTATTACAGTCTATTTCTTCATTGTGATGTATTATAATATTATCTAATAATAATATATAATAATTGTATTTTAAAATAAAATTGGAAAGTTATATAAAAAAAAGATTGGAAAATTAAATTACTAATGTTGTTTCTTTACAGTTTGTCTCACAGATCGCGCAGTGATTTAACGATTGACTCATTGACAGAGAGTCAAATCGGATCGGTGACCGGCAGCGAAAGTGGATTATTAGGATCGGTTAGCAGTTTAAATGACACTCATGGAACTAATGAGGATACTGAAACGGAACAACAGGACGATTACACTCCTGTTCCTGGCAAAATTGTAAGTTTTCATTTTTACTGATAAAAAAAATTTAACAGGTCGGTTTCTTGCCGACCGAAAATTTAATTTTCCTGATAACTAAATTGAAAAAATCTTAATTTAAAAATGAAAAACTGAATTTCTTTCAGTATACATCGAAAATTAATGTCTGAGAAACTCAAATAATAAAGTAGAAATGATTTTTCGACTGAAACTGAATATTTAAGGTTTTTAAGCTTTAGATTCGAGTCGATACGAAATTAATTTATTTTTTAATTAATTTAGAAAGTAAATTGACACGAAAGTAAATTGAACGTAAATTTTCAATTAAGTTTTGTTTTAGCAACGGTTCTTAAAATTTAACTATAGAAAATGATTGATTTCTGTATATATAGTATAATCTTTTTTTAAAAGAAAAAAGATTTTAAATAAATGAAAATCATAGTTAATATTTTATTGATATAGATCTTCGTGGAAAATGGAGTGCATTACTTTGAAGATGGCCACTTCTGGATGGAAGTTGCGGGTCTTCGAGAATCAGAAGACGAAGACGAAGAGCTACCGGAACCGATACCAGTGAAGAAATCTTCAAAAATTACCTTTGATACTGGACCAATGCGGGTTTATTCAACACATTCAGTTAGCGAGTACGATCGTCGAAACGAGGACGTCGATCCTGTCGCTGCAAGCGCCGAATATGAATTAGAGAAACGCGTCGCAAAAATGGAGGTAAGAATTTATTTTCTAAATATTTCTATTATCCTCCAGTGATCAGGGATTTTTATTAAAAATATGGCAAAAAATTAAATTTTTAGAAAGTCATAAGAAAATTCGGAATTTTTCTGTCATAATTTCTTTTTAAATAACTTAATTCTTCAAGGACTATCACAAAATTATTACTAACAAATTAAACATATTATTTAATGAACAATTTTACTTACATCTTTAAAATTTAATTAAATTTTAAAAAAGTTTCGTTTACAATTTTCATAAATGGATAAACTTCGAAAGAAAAATGGATAAGTTTTAGAAAATTTCAATTTTGAATAAATTTAATTAGAAATTGCAAAGAATTTAGATTTGTGGAAATTTTTTATATTTTTAATTCTTTTGAAATTAATTATTAAAAATAATGGATTTGTAGAAGAATTTTAGTTAAAAACATTTTTAAAAAATTGAACTTTGGAGAAGTTACAAATGATTGCAAAAATTCAATTATTTTCAAAAATTTTAATTAAATTCAATCATTTTCAATATCTACTATTTTAATAAAATTTTCCATAAGAATTCAATTATTTTAATGTACAATTTTAATCAAATTTCTCGAAAAATGTAATAATTCCTAGAAATTTTATTAAAATTCGTCAAAAGAATTCAATTACATTAAAAATTTGATGTTAAAATTCTTTAAGAGAATGGAATTTTGAGAAAAATTCAATTATTCAATAAAAATTTATTTTTTTATTTAAATATTTTAATTCTCGTAGAATTTTCTAATAAAAATTGATTTAAACATGAATTTCAGTTCAAACTTTTTTCTAATAATTGTATTTTGAAAAGGTTTCACATTAAAATCTTTGGAAGATCTGATTTTTTCATACTTTTAATTAATAATACTGTAGAACTAATATTTTAAAAATAATTTAATTTCTATTCTTTTGAAATTAGTCCAATTCTTTAATATATATATAATAAAAATTCAAAAATTTTAACGCAATTCTAGAAAAGAATTCAATTATCTTGATAAATATCAAAATTCTTATCAGGAATTTCAATTATTTATAGGAATTTTAATAAAATTGCCTGCACAATTTTATTATTTTTATAAATAACAATATTTACCATAGGAATTCCATTATTTTCAAAAATAATAAAATTCTTCGTAGAAATTAAATTATTTTCAAAAATAATAAAAATTCAATAGTAATTTAATTATTTAAAATAGAATTATTTTTAATACAATTTTAATTAAATTTCGCAGAAAAAATTCAATTATTTAAAAATTTGTCGATTAAATTCTAAATAGGAATTCAATTTTAAGAAACAATTAATTATTTATTTTGGTATTTCAATAATTGAATTTTCGTAGAATTTTCTAATAAAAATTTATTTAAAAATGAATTTTAGTCAAAATTTTAGACAATTATTGAATATTAAAAGTGTTATATCATGATTTTTTAGAAGTAATTGAATTTTGAAAAGGTTTAAAATTAAATTGAATTTATTTTGAAATTATGTATTTGAATTTTTTATTTTCTAATATACGCGTTTAATTGAAGAATTTCCGAATAATCGAAATTTCGTAAAATGGAATTTTAAATAAATGGATTTAAAAATTGTCAAAGAAGAAAGAACTTTTTCAAAAAATTTTAAAAGTAATTGATTTAAAGAAGAATTTTAGTTAAAAATTCTAGAAAATAATGATTGAATTGAAATGCTGAAAATAATTTTTAAAAAGTTAGAGTATAACAATATTTTTTATAATATAAAATTATGTATTTTTTCAGGTATTCCCAGTGGAATTGATGAAAGGTCCCGACGGTCTTGGTTTGAGTATAATCGGAATGGGCGTCGGTGCTGATGCAGGTCTCGAAAAATTGGGAATTTTCGTGAAGACAATTACGGAGAAGGGTGCCGCTTCCCGTGAGGGAAGAATTCAAGTAAACGATCAAATTGTCGAAGTCGATGGTAAATCTTTAGTGGGTGTTACACAGGCATATGCCGCCAGTGTTCTTCGCAATACATCAGGACTCGTGAGATTTGTCATTGGCAGAGAGAAAGATCCGAAAAATTCCGAAGTCGCCATGCTTATTCGACAGAGTTTACAAGATGATAAGGAACGCGAAGCAAATATGTGCGCTAATAGGTAATTTTAATTTTTAAAATAAAAAGAATATTTTTTCTTTCTTTTTAATTTTTTTTTTCGTTATAATTTTCTAACAATTTATATTCAATGACAAGATATTAACTTTTTGCAATTCGAATGAGTCGAATGATTAGAACCTGACATAATTCAAGATCGATTAATTTGAAAAGGACAAAAAATGGATAAAGTATCTTAATATACCAGTACAATGTGTAAATTTAACTCAAAGGTTCGCATATCAAAATCAATAAAGCCTTGAGGTGCAAGGATTCTATATTTAGTTTGTAACAGAAAACGATAGTACGCAATTTTAGTTAAGACAAAGCGATCAGTGTTGGTTCTTCCATTCTAAGAGAAAACACATTCCGGATGAGATTTTATTCCCGATGATGGTTTATCCTTGCTCGCATAAATTCTGTGACGACAACAGTGGCTCCTCCAGTTGAAACCCGAGGTTTACTGGAGTACTGAGGGAATATTTATCTCCACAAAAAACAAACATTTTTTGATCGAAGAAAAAGAAAAGGAAATAAGATGACAATTTTTAAAATTGTGAATATTGATTTAGGAGACTGAATTTCTCGGACATGTCGCCTGATGATCGTCGAGGTGAAGATGACGTTTCATTAGGAACAGGAGGAATACCTGGATCGCCGGCTTTGTCCTCATGTTCCGAAGGAGATCCGCCTCATAGTCCAATTGAGAATTATATTTCGCTTGGTGATCGTAGTAGATCGCCAATTATTAGTTCTTCTCAACCACCGTTGAATCCCGGTTCATCACAGAGTGACGTCGACAGTCTCAGAATGCTTCTACAAGAGGTATGGATAAGTGTTTTTAATTTTTTTTTTAAATTTCTGTGTGTTTTTGTACATAAATATTCTCCTGTTTTTAAAGTTTATTATTGTCTTATTACGATGGTGAAGTTTATAATGTTTATAATCAACGATTCGAAAGAAAAAGTATTTTTTCACTCAAAATATTATTCAATTAGCAAATGTTTAGCATAGCAATTATTATTATGCAAATTACAAAATTTTTTATTTTCAAATTCACTTATTAAGTACATAATTAATTGTTATTCTTTATGTTTTCAAAAATTTTAATATAATTCTTCGCAAGAATTCAATTATTTTCATAAATTATAACATTCTACTGAAGAATTCAATAATTTTTATAAATAGTAAAATTTTTTCCAAAAATTCTAAATTATTTTCAACTAAATTTTGATAAATTTCACGATCAATTATTATCTATAATTTTAAAAAGTACCTCATTTCTTCATAGTTTTAAATTTATTTTTCAATAGTAAAGTCTATGCAAAAATTCAATTATTTTCAATCAAATTTCACGAAAGAATTCAATTCTTTTCTTAATTCGTTATAAAATGTTTTTAAAAATTCAATTATTTTCTAAAATTTTAATAAATCCTTCTAAAGAATTCAATTTTTATATACTTAAGTAGTAAAATCAGGGTGTCTACTAACCGGGAATTCCGGGAAAACCGGGAAATAACCGGGAATTTTATTTGACCGGGAAAAACCGGGAATTAGCCGGGAATTTTATACCGAACCGGGAATTTTTTCACAAAAATTAAAAAAGTTTTATTATTTTAATTTGTTTTTAAAAAATCAATTTTTATTTCAATTTTTATAGATATTTATACTGTTCTCTAAATTTAAGTTAGTTAAAAATAATTAATTTGATGATAAAAAATCAGTTACCAATTCAAATATATTATGTAAATAAATTTAAAAAAAATTATGGAGTTAATAGAAATATTGTGAAATTCGACTGAAAATATGTAATTAAATTTGTTAAAGAAATTCATTAGAAACTTTTTAACAAATAGAATTTTCAAAGTATTTTAATTTAATAATTGATTAATAATTGAATATTATAAAGAGTAAAATTCTAATGTATTCATGTTTCTTACTCCGAAGATTAATAATTAAAATTTTTATTAGTTATTTTAAAAAAATATACATACTTAAAATTGTTTAATAAAATTAAACTTTCGCAAAATTTTTTTTGTCTAAAAAATAAAATTGTTGTAATTTTTCAATTCTATTGTTTCAAGATAATTGAATTTTTCTAAACAAATCATTGAAATTTTTTTACTTTTTTTGAAAAATAATTGAATTCTTTTAAAGAATTTTATTTAAATTTTTCGAAAATAATCAAGGGAAGTTAGTGACCATAATTATAATTTTATTTTTAAAATTTAAAGTCCCTCTTACAGTTTTAAATCAATTTTTTGCTTCTAAAAATTATACTATTCTATTATTATTTAATAATTATAATTATTAAACTTCTCTTAAATTTTTATCATTTCAAATTTCTGAATGTTCAAATAAATGATATTTATTTATTTCTTGAGCAAATTAAATGTTTATTACATATTAAGTAAAGAATTAATTATTGCTGCTTATTATTTTCAAAAATTTTAATAAAATTCTTCACAAGAATTAAATTATTTTCATAAATAATAGCATTCTTTGGAAGGATTCAATTATTTTTATAAATAGTAAAATTCTTTGCAGAAGTTCAATTATTATCAATGTAATTTTAATAAAATTGAAAAATCCAATTTTCAATTATAATTATAAAGAGACAAGATTATTTTTAAAAACTTGAAAAAATTCTTTGTTTAATTCAAGTATTTTCCAAGTTTTTAATTAAAATTACTGAAAAAAACATTATTTTCAAAAAATTTAATGATTTATTTATGTTTGAAATCAAATTTAAATTTAAATTTGATAAGAAAAAAAACCGGGAAAAAATTAGGATATAGCCGGGAAAAACCGGGAAATAACCGGGAATTTTGTTAAACGAAAATAGTAGACACCCTGAAAATTCATCACAAGATTAAAAAAAATTCTTTGTCTAATTCAATCATCAAAAAACTACATTATTAAAAAAAATCAAACAAATTCTTCTAAAGAATTTAATTATTTACAAAACCTCTAATAAAATTGTTTAAAAGAGTTTTATTTTCTATCAATAATTTTTAATATAATTCAGTAATTAAATGTTCAACAAAAACTTCTTTGTCTAATTCAATTATTTTCAAAATTTACAATTAAAGTTAATCAAAAAACTACATTATTAAAAAAAAAACAAAGAAATTCTTCTAAAGAATTTAATTATTTACAAAACCTCTAATAAAATTGTTTAAAAGAGTATAATTTTCTATCAATAATTTTTAATATATTTCAGTAATTAAATGATCAATTTCAATGATTAAGGAACGCGATTATTTTGCAATATTAAAAGAAATTCAAAGAAATTCTATAAACGAATTTAATTAAGATTTTCAAAAATTTTAATAAAATTCTTCCCAAGAATGCAATTATTTTCATAAATAGTAAAATTAAGTTCTCGAAACACTTTCTGTAAATTATTCAAAATAATAATTGTTTCAGAAAGAAATTCTAATTAAAAATACTGGACATTGAAATTTTAATTATATTTTTTTTTAAATTAGGTACTTGAATTTTTGAATACACGATACATTGAAAATTTTTTAAACAATCGTCATCTTGGAAAATTGAATTTAAAATAATTGAATTATTATTATTAAAAATAATAGATTTTGAAAAGAATTTTAGTGTGAAATTGTAGAAAATAATTGAATTTTGGAGAAATCCCTGTAGCAATTTTTAGAAACAATGAAATGTCAGAATGTTTCAGAATTGTTTTGAAAAAGTTTATTAAAGTCGTTGAAAATAATAAATAATAATAACAAAATAGTTAATAATTTTAAATTATAAAAATATCCTTTTTAATTTTTTATCTGAAATGATTTCATTCTTACATAGAATTTTATTGAAATATTTGAAAGTAATTTAATTGTTTCGAAGACAATTGAATTTCTTCGAATAATATTATTAAATTTTTTAATAATAATTGAATTTCTAGGAAGAATTTTATTTTTTATTAAAATAATTGAAATCCTACAAAGAAATTTACGATTTCTGAAAATAATTGAATTCCTCCGAAAAATCTTATTATTCATGAAAATAATTGAATTCTTGCAAAGAATTGTATTCAAATTTTTGAAAACAATTTAATTAATTCGAAGATGATTCAAATTTTTTGGAGGGAAGAATTTTATTTTTTATTAAAATAATTGAAATTTATGATTTCTGAAAATAATTGAAGGATTTAACTTAAAAATTGTTGAAAATTTCAAATTTAATTTCAAATTTAATTTATAATTTAATATAAAATTTAGAATAGAAATTTAATTATATTTAAATATGCATTTGAAAAATTATTAAAATTTCTAGTAATTTTATTTCAAAATTTTTGAAAATAATTGAATTTTAGAAGGAATTATATTTGAAATTTTTAAAACTGTATTTATGTAATAAGTTTATTGACGTTTTCGATCTTTTTTTGGGGAATTTTATATCGATTCGAGACCTAGGAACATAAAAAAGAGAAATTTGTAAACAAAAAATACTATTTTCTGAGTAAAAAGAAAATTTATTTCTTCCAATGGCTGATTATACTTGTTTGTAATCTTGTCCCACTTTTTTTATTGTACCTGTAGAATGTAGTTTTTTAATCGTTTTATTCATTTTAATTCTATTTTTAAAATGTTGATCTATATATTTGTGTTTTATTGTTATTAGTGTTTATTTACAAACACGTCATGCCTGTTCTTTTCTTTTATTATTAATTCCACAATTATTTAATTTAGTGTAGATTTTGCTTATGCATTGTGTGTGTCGTTGATTGCTTGCAGAGTCAGTATAAACTTACTTTAGCGGATGAAGAGGTAGAAAAACTTAAGACAAAGGTAATTATTGAACGTTGTTTTCTGTGTAAATTGTTAAAATTAGAATTTTTGTAATTGATTGTCAAAATAATATTTTTAATTTCATGTGTAAGTTTGTAAAGTATAAATTTGTCCTTGAACTTCCAGTGAAGCTTTAACGATAGTTTGAAGGTTCTTTATATATAAACTGTCATTGCTATACTATAGGATAAATTTAAAAAAAAATAGTTGCACTTTAAAATAGAAAGAAGCAGAAATAAATAGAAGGTACTTTAATGTTGAACTTTAATTTTTTTAGTTAATGGAACTGGAGAATAATGGAGCTGGCAGTGAGGAGTATGCGGCAAAATTACGTGAATCTGGACTCCGACTTCGTGAATCTGAAAGAACTTTGGGAAATGCTCGACAGGATTTATTAACAGCACGCGAAATGTTGAATCAAGCGACGGCTCAGGGTTCAATGTTGCAGCAGAAATATGCACGTGCCAAAAGACTTGCTCGTGAATTTCGTGCCGATATTACTGCACGCGATGAATTCTATGAGCAATTATTGCAGGAAAAGGATACGGAATATAATGCACTTGTTAAAAGTTTAAAAGACAGAGTCATTACGTTGGAGGTTGAATTAACGGAAACCCAAAGAAGGTTTGGTTTGCCAGTGAGATTGCCTTACGATGGGGCAACATCGAAAATTGTTACGCCACAATTAACGAGACGTCAATTACCGCCGCCTCCTTCTTCATCGAGTTGTCAGCTTTCGGACACTGAGACTTCGGATCTCAGCAGTCCTGATGATGGGGATAAGACGGCAACTGTAGAAAGAAAACTTCCACTACCGATTCCTGTCAAGGAGGAACTTGACAGAGCTGTTCCTGCTCATCGACTACTCGATAATTCTGCTGGGAAAAGCAAAGCTGAATTGGCAAGCAGGGGAGGACTTGCCAATCGACAATTGCCCAAAAGATCTGGAGGACTTAGTAACAGTAGTTCGGTACGTATCTGTAATTAAATTTTTAGAATTTATAAGAAAATTCTGAATCTTTGTGTCTTTTTTGTTTGACTCATAAACTATGAAATTACCAAGAATTCTAATACGAAACTTTCAATTTTTTTTAATTCTGACAGTAATTTCTTGTTAAACTTAATTCTTGAAGAACTGTCACAAAATTATTATTAACAAATTATTTAATGAACTAGCAAATGTTACGCGCGGATCGAGATGTTCAATTTCTTGTTATTATGAAAATTATAAAAAATTTTATTTTTAAATATAAAATTTTTAAATAATTACATAATTAATTATTATTGTTTATATTTTCAAAAATATTAATATATAAATCTTGGCAATAATTTAATTATTTTTATAAAAAATAATAACATTCTTCAAAACAATTCAATTAATTTTATAAATAGTAAAATTTTTTGCAAAAATTTAATAATTTTCAACCAAATTTAAATAAAATTTTACGAAAGAATTTAATTATTTTAAAAAATATAAATAAATCCTTCGAAATAATTCAATTATTTTGTTAAATAGTAAAATCTTTGCAAAAATTCAATTATTTTCAATCATATTTCACGAATTAATTCAATTTTTTTTAATTAAGTATAACATTTTACAAAAGAAATCAATTATTTTCTAAAATTTTAATAAATCCTTCGAAACAAATCAATTATTTTTATAAATATAGTAAAATTCTTTGCAAAAATTCAATTATTTATAATACAATTTTAATAAAATTTTATGAAAGAATTAAATTTTTAAAAGTTTTTAATTACATTTTTCGAAAAAATTCAATTATTTTCTATATTTTAGTAAAATTCCTTAAATTAATTAAATTATTTTAAAAAATTGGAATAGAATTCTGAGAAGAATTAAATTTTTTTTCAATTTTTAATAAAATTAAATAATGAAATGTTTAATTTCAATTATTAAGAAACACTATACCTAATTTAAAAAAAATTGAAAGAAATGCTACAAAAAATTCAATTACTCTCAAAATTTTTAATTAAAATTATTAAAAAAAACTCCATTATTTTAAAAAAATGCAAAGAATTTCTTCGAAGAAATTCAATTAACTCAAATTTTTAAATAAAATTCTTTGAAAGAATTCAACGACCTTCAAAACATTCATTTTAAAATTGAAAATATTTTATAAGAAAAATTATTTTAAAACAACTGATTACAGAAGTTTAATTATTTTCAAAAGTGATAAACTTCTTCGCATAAATTCAATTTTGTTCAAAATTTTTTTAAAAATTCTCATCAAACTCCATTATTTTAAAAAAAATGCAAAGAATTTCTTCGACGAAATTCAATTATTTTAAAAAAATTTAATAAAACTCTTGGCAAAATTTCAAATTATTTTCAAAAATTTTCATCATTTCAATTATTTTTAATATCTACTACTTTTATATAATTTTCCATAGAATTCAATTATTTAAACAAAATTTTAATAAAAATTTCACAGGAATTCAATTACTTACCAATTTTTTATAAATAACTTCGAAACAATTCAATTATTTTTAATTTTTTATGAAGTTTCTCGAAAGAATTCTAATATATTCAGAGAATGGAAAAAAATAGTTCTGAGAAATTCAATTATTTCAAAAAATTTAAATAAAATTCATTTAAAAATTCTATTACCTATTAAAAAAAATTTTGACAAAATTCTTTACAAGATTTAGTTAATAAAATTGAAATTTTAATACAATTTTCCTTTACAATTCAATTATTTTCAATACAATTCTTCTTAAAAAATAAATTATTTTTATAAATAATAAATTTTTTTTCGAAAATTCAATTATTTTAAAAAATTGTGATAACATGCTTTATAAATTTGAAAAATTATAAATATAAAATTGATCATAGAATACAATTATATTCATAAAATGTAACATTCTTCCTTGAAATACAATTATTGTCAAAAATGTTTGTAAAAATCTTCGAAGCAATTCAATTATTATTTTCGTAAAAAATAACATTCTTTGAAGCAATTCAATTATTTTTTAAAAATTTGATAAGATTCTTCATAAAAATTAAATTTTAAGAAACTTTCAATTATTCAATAAATTCTGTGAAAATTGTTGTATTTAAATAATTTGAATTCTCGAAAAATTTTCTAATAAAAATTGATTAAAAAATGAATTTCACTTAAAATTTTAAATTACAATTGAATATTAAAAGCATTATAGCGTGAATTTTTTAGAACTAATTGAATTTTGAAAAGAGTTCAAATTAAAATGTTTGAAAATTTGAATTTATAGTTACAATATTCTTATGATATACAATAATTATTTTATCACTCTGTCATCTTAAATTTTATTATAAAACATGAAGAAATCGATTGCTCCGAGTCGAAGACTTGGAGTGATCGATTTCTTCATGTTTTATAATAAATAATTCTCGTAAGTTATTGAATTTCAGAAAGTTTGAATTTGAAAATTTTAATTCCTATAAAAAAATAATAATGATTAAATATTTATTTAAAAAAGAAGTTATTAATGTTTTCGAATAATTTTACAATTATAGAAATTCATTAATAAATGTAATAAAACATTTTTTTTAGTATCTAGTAATTTTTGGAGTGAATCAGAATATTCTTTAGGATCAGGAAAAAAATGAAAATTTTATCTGGAAATCAGGGAAAAACAAAATTAAATTTTTGTGTCAACTCTGTAGAATTCTTTTTGTAAAAATATAAATTTATCTCCTTCTCAATGATGTCTTATCCTTGCTCGCAAATTATTTTGTGACGATAATAGTGGCCACTTCAATTTGTGCCTGAGGCCGGTTGTCGTGCTGAGAGAATTAAAAAAAACGATAAAATTTATTTTTCTTTTCCATTATAAACAAATTCTTCTCGTTAAAAGAATATTTTTCTTCGCAGGATTATGGATTGGATGAATCGGGTGACAATACAGATGATGATTCGTCTTCGAAGCATGCAGTGTCACAGGACAGTAGTAGTAGCCGATCACCAAATGATTCGGTAATATCAAAGCAATCGAATTCAAGTTCCTACTCGTTTTCGTATTCGCAAAAAAATAAAAGCATGGACTCGATACATTCGGCGGCAATACGACAACACAGCACAATTAGTTCTCAAGTTCGTGCCATGACCGAGCAAAGTTGGCAAACATCACAAAAAGGTTTTTTATCTCTTCTAAAAACTATTTTACTTTTCTAATTTATTAAAAGAAAATGAATTTAAATTGAAAATCTTAAAATGAAATTTTGTTTCCGAAGCCGGATTGACTGGACCACCTGCGTCTTTGGCTGAACAACTGAAGCAGGTTTTGGCCGAACGAGAAAGACGACTTACTGGAGGTAACGACATGTCTTCTTCGAGAGAAAGCTCCGGGGACTTTAGCGATTTAAACAATCCGCATTCTAATGACCCAATCCTAGTCACTCATAATTTAGTTGAGGAAATTAGACAAGCCGTGAGCGAAGCTAATCAAAGAGGTACGCAACAAAAAGGTATTTACTCAACAAAAACATTTATATTAAGTAGAATTTTAATCTATTTTTAATCATTTTATTAATTTACATTTTACAATAGTAATTTTATTCTTTTATAACCATTTTTACTCGTAGAAAAATAGAAATTATTTTCTAATAGAAAGCCATGAATAATTTTTTTAATTACAATATTTAACAATTAAATATAACATAACATATATTTATGGACTTATGACCCTTATTTTGGGGTAAATAAATATTCATTGTATTATAAACAAAACTATATTTCCCTTAAAAATTATTTATGAATTTTTGACCATTTTTTTAAGCAAAAAAAGTGCCGATACCTTCACAAACTTTAATGGGTGCCGGACATACTCCCTGGCATCATCCAAGCGGATCGCCGTCTAGTTTGTCATCTGGTGGATCTATTAGTCCAACAGCTGTTGATCCAAGTCCTTCAAAAAGCGATAGTGCAGGTAATTTCACTTTTTAACTATAAAAATAGTTTTTTTTTAAAAATTGAAAAATTTTATTAACAAAACTAACTTCAGTATTTTAAAAAATATATATTTCATTGCAAAAATCTAACACCAACTTCTTAAAAATTGATATTTTCTATTAAAGTAATAAAATTTATCTTCTTCTTTTTCTTCAATTCCTTGAATTTTTGACAGAATTGTTTTATTTGATTCCTCTTAGATTCAAGCGAAGTTTGGTTACCACCTCACGAATTTGGTTTGGGTGATAAAAGTTCTCATTTTTGGCAAAGTGCACCAATAACCGACTGGTCGAAAGAACAAGTCAGTATAATTAAATAAATATTACTGAATTTATTTTTTATAAAATTGGAAACTATAATAATAGAATCAAATCAAATCTTTTTTTAAATTTTTAACATCCGATTAGTTTAGTAATAACAAGGTTGTCACAGGTGAAGAAAATTAGGGAAAAGTCAGAGAATTTTATCATAAGAACTGCAAAGAAAATTAAATTTTTAGAATTCATAAGAAATTTCTTCTGTAATTTTTTTTTTTTTTTTGCCTTATAAACTTTGAAATCACCAAGAATTTTTAATATACAAAGCCTTAAATTTTTTTGTTTCTGACAAAAATTAAACTTTTTTATAAATTTTTATAAATATTTGAATTTCAAAAGGTTTCAAATTGAAATTTTAGAAAATTTGAATGTAAATAACTTTAATTAGAGATTCTGAAAAAGTTAGTTTTTGAAAAATTGTTATTTACATTTTTTTAAATTAGTTGAATTTTTGAAAATATAATTGATGTATTTTGTATAATTGAATTGAAAACAATATCAGTTAAATTCTTCAAAACAATTAAAATAATTTAAAAATTTTTAAGAAGAATTTGAATTAAAAATTAAAGAAAATTATTGAAAATTGGAAGAATTGTAGTAAAATTTTTGAATACTTGCAATTTAGAAAATACTAAACAACTTAGATTTATAAAATTTTTAATTTCAATTTTTTTGAAATTAGTCATTTATTAGTAGTTTTTTGCATTTTTTGAATTGATATTTAATTGAAAATTTTTCGAATAATCGAAATTTTGTAAAAATAAATTGTAGTGATTATCAGAATTATTTTTTTCTTCAAATTAAATTGAATTCTCAAAGAACTTTCTCCAAAATTATTAAAAATAATTGATTTAGAAAGGAATTTTAGTTAAAAATGACTAAAAAAAATAATTGAACTGAAATTTTGAAAATAATCTTGGAGAAGTTACAGTAATAGTTCTCATAAATTATTAAATTTTAAAAGGTTTGAAATATGAAATTTTTGAAAATTTTAAGTCCTATAGAAAAATAACTAAATAATTCCTATAATAATAAATAAATAAATGTGTTGGAAATTTTTTTTGTCTATTTAATCATTCTTAGAGTAAATCAGAATTTTCTTTAGTGTAAAGGAAAAAGGCAAAATTCTATCTGGAAATTATTGAAAACTCAGCGAAAAACAAAATCAAATTTCTGTGACAACCCTGAATAAGAAAAGAAAAACAAGGACATTCTTTTCCAAATGTCTGTTTTTAAATTATAAATTTTCTATAGTAAAATTGTAAGCTCTTGATAATATAAATTTTATAAAAAATATTAATTTTTGTATAGAATATTTTTTTTGTAATAAAGAATTGAATTATTTCAGGTGTGCCAATGGCTGACCGGAATTGGTCTTGAAAGGTACGCGTCCCGTTTCATTGAGGCTGGAGTTTGTGGCAGTACTCTTCTACGATTGGAGTCCCGCGATTTGAAAGCACTTGGCGTTTCACGTGAGGTAAAAGATCATTTAAAACGTAAATTAAAAGACCTGCGAGCACAAGCGGACCGCGAGCGTAAAGAGCGTAAGGAAAAGGAGCGTATGCGACGAAAAGCAGAAAAAGCGGCTCGGAAAAAATAGCCCCACGAGAATGTCAAGTCAGACTCGTTTTACTCTTGAAGCGAAATTAAAACGAGTTTGCATTTTAGTCCACACCCCAAGCTTTGTACAAGTTTTGCTATGATCCTTTGTTATTTATACAAACAATTTTTTTTATATTGTTGATTATTTTAATTGAATGCAGACAATTATTCTTGTTGAATGCAGATTACTTTTTTAAATCTTTGTATAGTGTTCGTTTAATTTAAAGAAGAAGACTATTTTTTTTTTTGCCAACGTATCAAACATACTTTAATTGATTACGTTCTCTTTCTTATTTTTTTTTTTTAAAGAAAAAAAAACAATTATCTCTTTCTAGTTTTATTGTTTGGAATTCCAAGCAAAAATCGGGGTTTTTGAAAGATGGTTATTTTCATAATTTTATATTAATTCATGGATGCCAGTGCATTTATAATAGATGAAAATAAATGCAAATAATAATGAAAATATAATGTGACGAGTACATAATATTGGTTTTAGCGATTGAATTCGCTTGAATACGTGTATGATAAACGTATGTGTGTGTATAGGTCTTTACATACGAAGATGTGTATATTTTAAAGTTGTAGCCATATATACCTATATAAAAATTGTAATTAAGGTATGATTTTTTTTTACAATATAATACTCTCGTGGCACGTGTGTTCGTGTTTTGAGACTGAGACAAAAAACAAAAAAAATTGTTTAAAAAAAAATCATAAGAAAACATCGTTTATTTATTTTTTTGAATTATCAACCGACCCCCAAAAAAGGTTGGTTTCTTTGTGTAATTGTAATTCTACATATTAATATAGTAATAATGTAAATTTGCGGGCGTGCCTTTCATGGAATCGCCGCCGGTTACGAATGGCTGTCATTTTTTTCCTAATTCGTAACATTATGAATTTTTTAATTCGAAAAATGAAAAAACAAAATATAGGCATAACCGAGCATTTTTTATCGGCTGTGTTTCTTTTTATTTTTAAATTTTGCTCAATCTTACATTTCATATCAACGACCGGCTGAAAATGAATTTTAGCACTGGGTCGAGCCTATGAATTTTTAGACCCAGAAATGTCGTATCTAACTTTTTCCACAAATCGCATTTTCCCCCCCACACGCATTAATTAAATAGTCGATTAACTTTAATTAGTTTCAGACATTCCACTAGGACTGGAACAATTTTTCAGGCGTGTATGTAATCATTGTATACTCTTTAATCGTCAATTCAATTGTCACCCTGTAGACTTGAGATTCTAAGGAAAATTTAATTGCAAAACTTAATAAAATAAATTTTATTTACTAATAAAGTAAATTAATTTACTAATTAATTTAATTAATTCAAACAATTAGAACAATTAATTAAAATTTAAAAGAGATTTTTAATAATTACAGATTTTAGACTCTGTTACTACAACCAACTATTTGCTACTTTTTTACGATTTGTTAATATTTGGATACTTTGTTTTTAGATTTGTGACACTAAAGGCTTTTTTTTAATATTTGAGAATTTGCACAACTTTAAATTCGTTAAAGTTGAAATAAAAAAATTATTCTCAAGAATTTCTATGAAATTCTAAGAAACAATTTAATTATTTTCAAAATATTTTTTGGAATTCAATTACTTTCAACATCTACTATTTTAATAAAATTTCCCCCAAAAAATTAACTATTTAAAAGAATTTTAATAAAATTCTTCGAAAACATTCAATTAATAAATTTTTTACAGAAATTCATTTATTTAAAATACAATTTTCATTAAATTTTTTCGAATAAAAACGAATTGTTTAAAAAAATTTTGTAAAATCCTTCGCAGAAATTCAATTATATTTTCATAAATAAAAAATTTCACAGGAATTCTATTAGAATTTAAAATACAATTTTTGTACAATTTTGCGATCAAAATCAATTATTCCAACAAATTTTTGTAAAATTTTTACCAAGAATTTAATTATTTTCATGAATTATTATCGCAGAATTTTAATTATTTTTAATACAATTTAAAAAATCATTCTTCGGGAGAATTCAATTATTTAAAAAATTTTTTATAAAATTCTTCATAAGAATTCAATTTTAAGAAACAGTCAATTAAATTATTTATTTTTACATATAAATAATTGGATTCTCCTTGAATTTTCTAATTAGAATTGATTTAAAAATTAATTTCAGTTAAAATTTTAGGTAATAATTGAATATTAAAAGCATTAAAGCGTGAATTTTTAGAAATAATTGAATTTCAAAAGATTTTTTTGAATTTAAATCTTTGAAAATTTTAATTGTTGTAAAACTGTAATAATATTAAATTTTTTATTTTTAAATAAATTATTAATTATTATTTTCTTACGAAATGATTAAAGTTTTGAATAATTTTATTTGAAAATTTCAACAACAAAAATTATTGAATTTTTTGAAGAATTACACTTGTAATTTTTAGAAATTGTTAAATTTCAAAAAGAACATTAATTATTTTAAATATTTAAATTCTTGTGGAAAAATATATATAAATATTAAAATATTTATTTAACAAAAAATATTCAAGTTTAGAGTGTAATTTAATTTGGAAATTATGAAACATTGTTTTGAAAAATTGTAATTAATTTGTTTGAAGATGAATAAATTCTCGTAAATAATTTAAAAATGATTAAATTATATTTCCAATTATTTGGAAATTTTTGAAAATTCAATTAAAATAAATTATATATTTTAATAAATTTTTTTCTACTTTTAGAAATTATTCTTTAAATTTAATCGTACTTTTAAAGAATTTTGAATTAAAATTTGTAAAATTATTAAATTCTGAAAAATTTAGGTTTGAAATTATTTTGATGGAAATTAGAAAAAAATGCAGAATCAAATTTTTTTAATTTTCGTGAATCGTTTAGAACGAGTTTTTTTGTCGTCAAACTTAATTTTTCAAAAACTACTTTTTTACTACTTTTTTCAGGCTTGAAGCTACTTTTTTAAAAATTAATTATCGAGTGCGAAGCCTGTAATTGTCGAATTTAATAAAACATGAATTTAATAGTTGTAATTTTTCAAAGTTTCTCTAAAATCCTCAAGTCTATTGGATTACATCGTCGATTAAGAGATTAATCTAGTAGAAAAGAATATTTGCAAAAATATTTTCTAGTATAGAAACTTAGTGTGTGTGTGTGTGGGATATGCAAAAATTTGTTGTGTACAATTTTTTATTTAATTAAGAGAAAGTACGAAAAAAAATTGTCAAAGTATAAGAAATATGAAGTAAGAAAAAAAAATAGTTGAGAATTTAGAATGCGTACATATATTTGTATCCAAAATAATTTCTCGACGTTGCAAAGTGTTTAAATCAATCGATTTCAAAGAAATCTATAGTACGTAAGAAATAATCTCAAAAACATAAAAAAAAAAATTTATAGTAAAGTAAAAAGAAAAAACACTTTGTACATAAGTTCGTACAGTGCATGTTGATAATACTACAATTATCACTTTAAAAGAAGAAAAAAAAAAGAAAAAAAACTGAAAGAACCTGTAAACGGTAGTGTCATATTTACTTCGTATTGTATTTAGCCAGATAATTCAAAATGTTGACAAAGTCCTCCATTTTTCTAATGAGAATGGTATAAAATATGATTTCTTCAAAAAAAGAAAAAAGAAAAAAAACTAAGTACTTGATACTTTTTTTATTTGTTGCCAGGAAGAAGGAAAAGCCGCAAAATGAAAATTGTGGTTCTCTTTTCGACAAGTGACGTTTTTATCAAATTGAATAGAATTACGATTCGCGTTGCATTTGTCCGATTGATTTAAAGTGAGAAGGCAATTGATAAAAACTGACTGATTTTAATGTAATAAGTTTTATAGTCGATTTTTCAACGAAGATTTTAGATGTGTAAATGTCATATTTAAACATGGATCAACTCTTGAGAATTTCAATTGAAGAATTGATGATAGAAACTATAAATTAACATTTTCCAATGCACGTTTGTTGTCATTTTTTTTTATTGAAGTTTTAGAGAATGTAATATTAAAATTGTGTTTTATTGAGATGGAATGATCTTATGTTTATTTAAATTTTTGTTTTAATTGTAAAACTTCTGTTTTTTAAATGTTGTTTTTTTTAATAGGGAGACACGTTTGTTAAAATTTCGATACTGCGAAATGTTGTTTTTTTTTGCACTATTTTTTTTTTGTTTTTAATATTGTCAAGCATTTATTGAGTAACGTTAAAACAGATGATTGTTTCAACGAAGTTAAGATGCGCGGTTACTTGGCAGCTTTTTAACAATAATATTTACAAAAAAGTATTGTCACTACAAATACTCTTGAACATTTTAATTATAAACAATTCATACGTTAAATCTGATTTTTATTTCTGCCTCTGTCCTCATTTCTTCAAAGTTTAGAAATTAAAAAGTGTTTCTCAATTTTATTTTCTATAAATTTAAGAAAATATTCTGAAATATTCTTTCAAATTATTTAGTGCGTTGCTATGGTGATAACTTGAAGTTTAATCAATATCTCGAAATCTTCTATAAACAAAGAAGTAAAAATAATTGTTGAAGTGAAACAAATAAATGTGGATGAAAGAATAAATTGAAGGAAAGAAAATGCCGTCGATAGTTATAAAAAATTACGAATGGCGTCAAACAGATACGAATATTATTATCAATGTGGAGCTTTTTGGTAATCCAGGAAAAATCGATTTCTTCACAACCAACAAATATGTAAAGGTAATTTTTAATCACAATTAAAAGAATTGGTAATTAATGGAAATTGTTGAAAAAATTAATTTTTCGAATTAATTCTTTTATATTTTTTTTTTCAGGCAAGTTATCCACCTTATATTTTCGAATTGTTTCTTTGGGAAGTTGTTAATGAGGAAGAAAGCGAGTGCACTTATACTCAAAAAGAAATGATCATTACTTTAAGGAAAAACGAGGCGGATCTTCAATGGCCAAAACTTGAATTGGAAAATCTCAGCAAAGAAGTGAAACGCGAATGCAGAAAAATTGCTCATGAATATTCTCAATTAGCTGCCGAACAGAAAGCAAAAGCTAAAAGTGGTTTGTTTTTTATTTATAAATATCAAACTTGTATTTATATCAGAATTAATTTTATTTATATCAAAAATATAAGAAAAAAGTAGTTGTAATATTAATAATTTAATTAATAAAGATACTTTTCTTTAAAAGAAAAAATATTTTACAGAGAAACGACAGCATATTCAGAGGCAAGCAGTAAAACATCAAATCGATCTCGACACTTTGGATTTAAACAAAATAGAAAGAATTCGTGATTCTCACAGAAAAGAAGCTATGAGAGAACTTGAAGAATGGAGATTGAAACATGAAAAACCCATCTTCGAAGGCATTACTGGCATAAAGCAGGAAAATCGAAAAGAATACAGGTGTCAATACTTTAAATACACAATTAATTTCAGAACTTTCAAAATCCGAAAAAGTACTTTAAAAATAAAATACAAAAGTAGCTAATTCTGTCAATTAAATTGCAATATTTTTCTAAATTAGTAATTTTTCTTTATTTTTCACTTGTACTTATTTATTTTTTTAATTTTTATAGTAGAAATTGATTTAACAATAGAATAACGAAAGAGAAAAAGAATTACATTTTAAATTATATTTCTATACTTTTTTATTTAATAAATAAAAGTAAAAACTAATAAACTAAATTTTAATTGTTTTAAATTCTTTGTACATTTTAAGATCTCCATTAAAGTGGTTCGACGAACCTCCTAATGAGAAATCCTGCAATAAAGAACCAACTGATGCAAATAGAAAACCACAGAATCCAAGGAAAGAAGTGGAAATTGAAGAATCAGTCGATGGGAAAATAACTAAAATAGTAAAAGATGGAATGAAGCAGAAAGAGGAAGTGAAAAATACAGACGATTCTCTTACTAAGAATAATAATAAAGAACTTGACAACAACAAAAAAGAAGACACCGAGGATTCAGATTCAGATTTCGAGGATAAAAATCATTTTAATGATTCGAAAAGTTGTTTAATAAAAGAGATGAGTGAGAAGGATTTGAAAAAATTTTCCAAAAGGAAAGAAGAAATTGAACTGCAGAAGGAGAGAGATAGGAAACGTGTACTAATTCAAAGATTCATTGACAGAAGATCCGTGAAGACAAATGACATTTTCAATGATCCGAATAAATCTATTCCACTTCCAAGAAAATGCGGGACAATTAAAGTTTCATTTACCGAACGAGCGTTCCCAACACCTGCAAGGGAGAGCTCTCATCTCGAGGAGCAAGAAGTATATTCTTTCAATTCAATAAAAGAATAAAGAAATAAAATAAATTTAATAAGAGAAATCAAATCATTATAAAAATATTAAAAATGAAAAAAATTTCTTTTTAGTGGCTAGAAAAACAGGCGAAAGCAAGACGACAAACTGGATTTGTTTCCGAAGATCTTCGCCCCGAGGAACAAAATCCGCAATGGCTGAAAGATAAAGGAGAGTAAGTTATCTTATATAATAATTTTCGTATTTTTTAAATTTAATTTAAACACTTCTTCATTGTTTATTTATTTATTATTTTCTACTCGAATTCAAGAAAATTAAATCCTAAATTTTAATTTTCAAAAATTTCAATTTCATGCCTTTTGAAATTTAATTATTTTTGAAAATTTCTACTATAACTAATACGATTTTCAATTGTTTTGATAAATTTTTTATTCAAATTCTTCTAAATAAATTATTTTTAATAATTTTCAAAAGGTTTCAAGTATTTTCTAGAATATTTAATTAAAATTCTTTTCTAAATCAATTATTTTTAATAATTTTCGAGAGAATTCTTTGGCTAATTCTGTCTCTAATGTTATTGATTTTTTTGACAATAATTATTTAAGATTTACCTCCACATTGCGTAAGTTCACATTAAATTTTTGATTCTATTACTGCCTAGTGCAGGCTAACTAATTATTATTGATTAAAATAGGTTGTGGTTTGCAGCCTTTAGATTGTAAGAGTACTTTGTACGAAAGGGCTTGACCCGTAAATTTGTTAAATAAATAAATAAATAAATTCAGTTTTTCAAAGAAAAAAAAAATAAAGTTTAACAAAAATAATTCTGAAAATCTCTTGTTTACAAGTCAATTTTACAAAATTTCGATTGTTCAAAAAAAATATCTAATTCCAAACCATATGAATGATTTCCAAAAATTGCTATTGTAAGTTCTTTTAAAACTTAATTATTTTCTGGAATTTTTAAATAAAATTCTTCTCTAAATCAATTATTTTTTACTAAATTTTAGAAAATTCTTCGAGAGTTAAATTATTTAAAAAATTTGAACCAACTTTTTTCAAAAAACCAAGTTTTTACAAATTTTTAATAAAAGTTATTGAAAATATTAATTTTTAAAAATTTTAAATTTGTTCCTTTTGAAATTTAATATATTTCTAAAAATTTCTACTGTAACTCATACGATTTTCAATTATGTTAATAAATTTTTTATTTAAATTCTTCTCTAAATTTAATTATTTTTAATAATTTTCAGAAAGTTCTTTGAGAATTGAATTATTCAAAAAAATTGAAAGGAAAGTTTACTTAAAATTTCTTTTAAATATATTTCTAAGTATATATTCAAAAATTCAACAAATTTAAAAAAAATCTAAATAACAATTTTTTAAAAATTAACTTTTCCAGAATTTTCAATTAAAATTATTGAAATTTTCTAAAATTTCAATTTAATTTCAATCTTTTGAAATTCAATTATATTGATATAAATTGTAAATGCAACTGTTGTAAAATTTAATTATTTTTCTGTAATTAAAAATCAAATTATTCATCAAGTAATTCTTAATTAATAATTTTATTATCGTTCTTCAAGAATTCTTATGAATTCTAAAAATTTAATATTTTCCCAGAACTTTTCTTAAAATTGTCTGATTTGTGACAATCCTGTTTTAATTAATTTTAATATTAATATTCTTGATAACTAGTTAAATTTATTATTTTTTTTATTTATGAATTACATTTATAAATTTTTTATTATATCCAATTTTTTTTCAGTGAATTCTTCAAGGCAAAAAATTATCTTGGAGCCATTAGCGCATATTCGCATGGAATAAAATTGAGCGAAAAAATGTCATCACTTTATGTTAATAGATCAGCGGCTCATTATGCTTTGGGGAATTTTCACAAATGTGCCGAAGATTGCTCAACGGTAATGTAAATCGTTAAATTACGAAAAAGAATCTAAAAACCTGAGTTACTTTTGCTTTGGAAAAAAATAGAAAAATCTCAAATTAAATCGTTAAATAAAAGAAAAGAATGTAAAAATTTGAATTATTTTCGTTTAAAAAAGTAAGAAGAGTCTCAAAAATAGGAAATTTAATTACAAGTAAAAAATGTTCATGGAATATAATATAATAAAATAAAATAATAATAATAAAATAAACTAAGTAATGAATTTAAATGAAATTAAATTCAATAGTTAAATTAAATTAAATATAATAAAATTAAAATTTAACATAACAAAAAAAATTACAGGGCTTGGAATTAATGATTCCAAAATGTGAGGGCAATCGAGAATCAAGAGCCAGATGCCATGCACGAAGAGGCGCAGCTCTCTGCAAATTATCAGTTCCTCAACATGGTATTCCTGAATTGGAAGCCGCTTTGAAACTAGCTCCGGACAACGAGAGCATTAAACTCGATTTAGTAGCCGCAAAAAAATGTTTCAAGCTTGAGAATTAGAAACTCTTCCCTAGAATTTACGCTCAATTTCCTTGCTCTGTGACCCTTGACAAAGCAAAGCAAAAGCAAGTCATTCGAGACTCGCAGAAGAAGACAAGTGATGAGTAAGTATAACAAAAATTTATTTTATTCTTTTTTTACTTCCATATACACAATGTAAGTGAAAAAAAAGTTAAATAATATCACAGGCAATTTTACCAAATGGTTTTTCTTCTTTTGTTTTTATAGAATTTTCATTCCCTTATATATCATTATAAACTTACAATATTACACAATATATTTTCTTTCATAATCCAATTTTCAAACGGGTTTTTTCATTCTTGAAAACAATTTAAAACTTTTCTTTTCTGAAAATCTAATGAGTAATTTATTTTTTCACTAGAATATTTAATTAGTTAGTTAAATTTATTTATTTAGTGTTTATCGAATGTAAATTTATTAAAATCGTGAATAAATTTATTACAATTGTATTAAAATTGTAAAAATTGTAAAGTTTGTAAAAAAAATGAAAAGAAAATAAAGATTTCAGAAAATAATTATAAATAATATCTGTTTTTATATAGTAGAAACATTTTAATATTCTTTGGTTAATTATTCTAGTACATTAATTCAGGAACTTAATTACGTCAGAAATTATCCGTCAGGTAATTCCCAAGCGACTATTTTCATTGAAAAAAAATGATAATAATATGCAAATACTAAGAGAAAAATTACAAAGTTTCATAATACAGAAAAACCGATTATTTAAAAGTAAATTCTAATTAATTCGTTCGTTACATTCTTTTGTGATTTCAAATTTTTTTGCAATTCACTAAACAAAAAAAGATTTGAAAAATAGTTGATTATTTACGTTAATAAACAGATGAAACTTGAATTTTTGTAATTTTGATGATAAATTAAATAAAGCGAAAAAAATGAAGTTATTCAAATAAAAATTAATACAAAGAGAAAAACAAACTAAAAAAATGTAGAGTTTATAAATATTTGTCAGAAGTTTAAAACTTTAGAAATAAATATTTAATTCCTGACGGATAAAGTTTTAAACTGTTTTTAATCGAACAAATTCTCGTTCTACTTTTGGATGAAGAAAGTAGCAGCTTTCGCGAATAAAATCTATTCTTGCGCAATGAAAATTTTTAAGGCAATAATAATTACAAAGAAACGACAAGTTTCTCATCCACACATTCGCATCTTGTGTGTTCCAAGGCATGTATGATCTCGTGATGTCGATCTCTTTGACGATCAATTGCATGCTTTACCATGAAAACAAGACTGACATTTCTCGATTCAGCTGGAGCGCAAATTTGATTAATCGGACAACATCCGGAACCTCCACATCGAGCCAATACTGTCGAGGGCGGATAAAAAATTTCATCAGCACTTGGTCCAACTGTCAGCAATTCCTCCACTGAAACAGCACGCGGTTGAGGAAAGGAGCATCTAAATTCATGAACCAATTGCACGTGATTCAAATAACTGCTGTCCCTGTAAAATCAAGAGAAAAAAGAGTTGATCAAAAAATTTTTTTTCTCCACTCGATTAATGAGAAGAAGTAATATAAAGATAAAAAAGAAAGACATTAATTTTCATCTTTAGAATTACCACAAAAATATAATATTTTTTGTCCCTGATTTTCAGACAAAATTTTGATTTTTTCCCTGGCCACAAAAAAAAATTCTGATTCACTCTAAACATAATTAGATAATCAAAAAAATGTTCTATTATTTCTATCGACGAATTCCTTTAATTGTAAAATTATTCAAAAAAGGTAAAATTCTTTGCAACAATTCAATTATTTTCAAAAAAATTCCACGAAAGAATTCAATATTTTTCTTAATTCGTTCTACTAAAAAATTTCAAAAGAATTCAATTATTTTCTAAAATTCTAATAAATCCTTCGAAATATTTTATTTATAAATAGTAAATTTCTTTACAAAAATTCAATTATTGTTAATTCAATTTTAATAACATTTCTTGAAAGAATTCAATTATTTTCTAAAATTTTAATAAATCCTTCAAAACAATTCAATTATATTAATAATAGTAAAATTCATTGCAAAAATTCAATTATTTTCAAAAAAAATTTCACGAAAGAATTCAATTTTTTTCTTGACTCGTTATAAATTTTTTTAAAAGAATTCAATTATTTTCTAAAAATTTTAATAAAATTCAACAATTAAATGTTTAATATCAATTATTAAGAAACACGATTATTTTAAAAACTTGAAAGTAATTGTTCATAAAATTCAATTATTTTAAAAATGTTTAAAGAAATTCCATTATTTAAAAAAAATTCAAAGAAATTCTTCAAAAAGAATTTAATTATAATTATCAAAAATTTTAACATAATTCTTCACGAGAATTCAATTATTTTCCTAAATAAAAAATATTCTTCGAAGAAATGCTATTATTAAAAAAACTACGAAACAAAAAAGCAAACAACAACTAACTTCAAACTGCGAACAGATTACCGGAATTGAATTTCTGTAATTATTTGTAACTTCTCTAAAATTCAATTTTTTATAGTGTTTTTAACTAAAATTCTTCTATAAATACATTATTTTTAATAATTAATTAAATATATTTATAGTTTCCTACTTTTTTTTGACAAATTTTCTTTTTAAATGTTTTGATAATTAAAAATTAATTAATGTTAATTAATGTTTTTTAATTTTACAATTAATTAAATTCTAATTTAATATATTTAATTTTGAAATTTGAATAATTACAGAAATTAATTAATAAATATTTTTTAAAATAAAAGCCATAATTAATTTGGAAAATTAATTTAACATTCTAAAACATAAAAACAGTTGCATACAATATTTAATTTATTGTTAATGAAAATAATTGAATTCTTTCGAGAAATTCCATTAAAAATAATTAACTTTCTGCGAATAATTTTATTATGTATTTATGAAAATAATTGAATTGTTTCGAATATTATATTATTTCTGAAAATAATAAAATTCTTGTGAAGAATTTTATTAACATTTTTGAAGATAATTGAATTATTTCTTGAATGATTTTTATAAAAATCTTTAAAATTGAATATTTTTAAGGAATTTAATGAAACATATTATATTGGAAAGAATTGAATTCTTATAAAGATATTTTTATTGCGATTTTCAATAAGAATTGAATACTTTAGAGAAATTTAATTAAAATTTTTTAAAAACAATTCAATTTTTTCTATAAATTTTATTAAAATTGTATTGAAAATAATTCAAATCCTACGAAGAATTTGATTATTTTTTGAAAAAATTGAATTTTTGCGAAGAATTTTATTAAAATTTTTGTCGAAATTTCCAAAAATAATTGAATTCTATAGAAAAATTTTATGTTTCTAAAGTTCTCAATGTTTAAATCATTCAAATGAACGAAATGTATTTATTTCTTTTTCAAATTCAAATTTTATTACAAAACGTTTGAGTCACTTAACGAAAAAATTAATTATCAAGTTTTTAAGTGTTGAATTCAAGTTTGTTAATTTTTACTACAGTCAATAATTTAGAAAAATATTTTTTGTGAAAAATATTTTGTTCAGATTGCTCAAAACTTGCAGATAACGAAATTTTATTCCAATTTTTTAAAAATAATTGTTTTTTCCGAGAAATTTTATTAAAATCGCATTAAAAATTGAATTTCTGAGAAAAATTTGATGATTTTTGAAAATAATTGAATTCTTACAAAATTTCGTGATTAACTTTTATGAAAAAATACTAAATTTTTGTCACTAAATCGAATAAAATTAATCAAGTTTTTCTTTTTCAGAAAAAGTAAAATCAACACACCAAAATTATTAAAAAATAAACAATTTTTTTAAAATTAATTCAATTTTGAAAAATTATTAAAAAATTAGTAAAAAATCTTACTTGAGATGCTTGCTAACGGCAAGTGAAATAAATCCAAGAACGATGAATAAAATAATAATTCTCTTCATATTGTTATTTTCCCTCTTTGAAAAAAGACGATTTCAAAACCAAGAGACAAAATGTAATGAATTACTTTATGACATTAAATTTTCAAAGCTCGCGCTTGTCAAGGAGCAAGGAGGATTCGTGACTTTTGTCTTCTGCGATCAGAATCCTCTCTCTGTATGTATATATGTAACTTTCATCCTCAGAGAGTTGTGTCCCCACCTCAGATTTCTATCATCATCATCGTCTTCGTCTTCGTCGTCGTCGTCGTTTCTCTTTTCCTCTTTTTCTGCTCCTTGCAGTCTACCTCTCTTATCCGTCTTTCTTTTTCCATTCTCAAGCACCAAGAAATCAATCCGTCCTCCTCTCACTTGGTTCTCAGTAAACTCAAGGAGGGGTCGAACAAACCGTTCCAAGAATATCACTAAGATAAGTATAATTACAACTTCTGGTCCTGCCTCCCATTCGAGAAATTGCGTTACGTCTCGTGACTTTGGATCGCACCTTCATTCTTCTCATTTATCGTCTTTCTTATAAGTTTGTCAACAGAAGCTCTCTCTTTCTCTTTCCCTTCGTCCTTTGTATCCGAAAGGGAGAAATTCGACAAAAATAATGAGAAAACTGTAAAAAGAAACAAAATCAAATAAAAATAAAATGAATAGAAAATAAATTCAAAAATATGAAGTGTGAAAAATTATCTTACAAACAAATGTTTACAATTTTCTACAAGGAATTGATGAGAACTATTTATTTAACAATCAAAACTCTATCTTCTTCTGTATTAATAATCGTTGTATTTCGGTAATCTATTCGCAGTTGAATTTTATTAAAATTTTTAAAAAATAATTGAATTCTTTTAACAAATTTTATAACGAGTTAAGAAAAAAATTGAATTCTTTCGTGAAATATTTTTGAAAATAGTTGAATGTTTGCAATGAATTTTACTATTTATAAATAAAATGTTTCGAAGGATTTATTAAAATTTTAGAAAAAAAATTGAATTTTTTCGTGAAATTTTTTTGGAAAATAATTGAATTTTTGCAAAGATTTTACTATTTAAAAAATAATTCAATTGTTTCGAAAGATTTATTAAAATTTTAGAAAATAATTGTTTGCTAGTTAATAATAATAAATTATAATAAACTTGGAAAAATTTTGATTTGATTTTCCTTGTAAGTTATTTTTTTAGTAAGGAATTTAATTATTGTGCGATTGAAATTATTTTTGAAGAGGGGAATTTCGCAACGGCCTTTGGGGGAAAAATTTAAAAGGGTTCAAATTAAATGCCTTCGAAAGATTCCGGTGGAAGATTGATGAAAAAATGAAGGGGTTTTGATTGATTGTCGGCGAACGAAACGAATTAAATTTCTAAAGGAGCACAGGTTGAATATCTAAGCGATGCGACAGGTCGATGTTGGGTGATTCATATCATTACGACCTCTTGTCTATGCTGTGTCTGGTTACCTACCAGGGTCGGCTACACTTTCCTGAAAGAAATGCAAAAAGTATTAGAATTTAAATATTTTTCAGTTCAATTACAATTTTTTCTAATTATTCGCCTTTAGATTATTAATTATCTTAATAAAAAATGTTAATTACAATTTTTCAAAAACATAATTTTTTTAGAATAAAATTTTTTGAAATATAAAATTTATTTTAATGAAATTTGAGAAAATTTCATATTTTTTAATTTTTTAAAATTGTTTCAGAAATTCAACTATATTTTCAAAAAAGTTTAATTACTAATTTTCACATTTATTTAGAATTTTTAAATAAAATTTTTAAAATTTAATAACTTTTTGTTATTTTATTTGTCTCAGCGGGAATTAAAATTTAAAAATACTTTTATAATGTAAAACCTTTTGAAATTTAATTATTTTTAAAAATTAGAATTACAATTCTTCCAATTTTTGAAATATAAAAATTTTAAGAATAATTACATTTTTCGAGAAATTCGATTAAAATTGTACTAAAAATAATTGAAATTCTGCTATGAGTTTCATTATTTATGAAAATAATTGAATTGTTGCGAAGAAATTTCAATAAAATTCTCAAATTTTGTCAAGAAATTTGAAAAATTGAAAATTAGAATTTCTAATTCAATTTCAAGTGGGCAATCTTTTAGTTCTGAAAATTATAATTACAGAATAGATAAATATTGAACTGAAATAACTTTTTTGCTTCTAAATCCGCTCCTGGGGACAATGCATTCGTGAATTTTTCATCTCGCTCGTCTTAGACATTCTTTGAGGTCGAATTACACACCCTCGATCCGGGAGAGAGTCCTTACGTGAAATTTTTGAAGGTGAGAGGCCTACGTGACTTGTCTAAATTTTCGTCTGAGTGTGACGACTTCTGGACTTACGTTTTGCCACATCACTCACTTGATGATTAATGACTTTTTCTACGATGAACCTGAAATTAAAAAACAAATGTCACAATGTTATGGTAAAAATTAATTGCAGAAAAATTTATTTTATGTTAAAAGAAAAAAAAATTAGTTTTTAATTAATACAGAAAATACGAATTTAAGTATTTTAAGGACGAATTGATCAGGAATTAATTAAAATCCAAGTTATTTTGTGAAATGGAATTTTTTAAAAATCTAAACCAATCTTTCGCAATGGGGAATCCCAAAATTGATTTTATCTTTCAATGTAGTGAATGAATTAAAACTCAAAGACAAAATTAACGTTTAGATACGTTTCCTTGATTTTTTTGCCTCTTTTTTCAAAATATTTAATGTAAGAATATTTTTTGTAAAATTTACTATTTGTTTTTTATTATAAATTTAATTAATAATTTATCACGAGGGAAATTAAATTCAGAACTGCGATTCAATTTTGATTGTTCGTAAGTGCAATGACTGCCGCATCTTTCGCGGTACTGATAAGAAGTAAATTATACAAAGTAAATTCATTGCCAAGAAAGATATTTTCAAGTATTATTTCGTGGACGTATTAATTACGAATTTTATAATTAAAATTGATTCAGAAATATTTTCTCTCATATTTTTTTTTTATTTTTAAGAATAAGAAAACTTTAAAATAAAAATGAATACTGATATTTTTATTATGATAATTGAAATATCTTTTTATTTTGTAAGTTTATTTATAATTTACTAAATGTAAATAATTATTTAAAAGGAAGACGAGATTTCTTTTAATCTTTTACTCAATAAAAATTTTCCTACATTCTCAAAAAAAAATATGAAAAAAATTGATTGTTTTGGTTTCATTAACTTTTATTCTATTTTCATAAAAAAGAAATTAGTTTTTATATTTTGTAGTAGTTTTCTTAGTATGAAGCATAATACCAGTAATCATTATATGAAACATAAAATTTGAGTCTACAATTTCTTCAAGCAATTTCCTTGGTGGTTAGAAACATCGAGTGACTAGAAATAGTTTCAGTGTTTTTTTGCTCCTAATTATTATGTTTTAAAAAAATTAAGATTTATAAAAAATTTATTTACAAACTGTAAACATTGTAAATTTAACTTTAATTTTTGCAAATTTATACTAGTATACTTGTAAATTTTATTTATATTTCTATTTCTTTTCTAATTAATTTAATCATAATTTACATTATGTACTTGAATTTTCTCATTATAAAATTCAGTTACAATTACAATTATAATATTTCCGTGAATCTTCATCGGCAAATAATGATTTTGGAGAATTACATTCATATTCGCTTCACGAACATCAATCGTGGGCAATTTTCGTCGAGTTTCGGTAGTTCATTCACTTCAATAATTGTAGGGTTTGTTGGCTCCAAATATTTACAATTGTCAACTGAAATTTTCTCATTTGAAATCAAATTGAGAACTGTTTTTTTTTTTGCGAAATTCTATTTTGAAATAATTATTATTGAATTAGATGAAAAAAATATTAATATAAATTATTATTCTATTTAGAATAATTAAAATATACAAATATTTAACTCAATTAAATTTCCAGATTACGATTTACATTTTCAAATTCTTATTTTTTTTTAAATGTAATTTAAATTTAAATTCTTATTTATTTATTCTCTTTTCGATTTAGAAAATTTTTGAAAAAAAGTTTGAGAAATTTCTCTCAAAAAACAGTCCTAGAAAAGTTACTTTAGTCAATTAAAGGTACAAAATTGATTGATACAAAATTGATGTCTAAACTTAATTACTCAAAAATTCGAGAATTTCGTTCAATAAATATTTAAATACTTATTAGGTATATTTTACATTTCGACGAGAATTAAAATTTTTTATTTTAAATTTCACTTTCAAATTCTTTGAAATTTAATTATTTTTAAAAATTGCAACTGTATTTCTATGAAAATTCAATTGGTTTCCAGAATTTTTAACTAAACTTCTTCTCTAAATCAACTATTTTTAATAATTTTCCGAAAAATCATCGAGAATTCAATTATTTAAAAAGAAAAATTCAATTTTTTATAAAAATTAATTATAACTGTAATCTTTTATTTTTTTTAAATTCATTTAGGTAAATTATTGAAAATACGTAATCGGAAAAAATTTAAATTGATTTTTAAAAATTTGAATAAAAAAATTCTTACAATTCATTAAAAATTGTTTATTAACAATACATGTTTAAACAATTTTTGCAATATAATACATTTTTTAAATACTTAATTGATAAATTTGCAAATAATTGAAATTTAGTAAAATTTTTTGAGAATAATTGAATTTTTTAAAGGAATTTTTGCAAAATATTAAAAAATTAATTTTTTGAAGAATTTCAATTACAAATTTTGAAAAAGATCGATTTCTCGAAAATTTTAATAATTCTAAAAAATTAAAATCTTTAAAACATTTTAATGTAATTATTTTTTAAATAATTTAATTATCAAAATTTAAAAAGTTCACTTGTTAAGTAAAAAATTAATTATTCTTGTTTATATTTTTTAAAATTTTTAATATAATTCTTCGCAAGAATTCAATTATTTTTATGAATAGTAAATTTTTTTTAAAAATTCAATTATTTTTGACAAAATTTTAATAAAATTTCCCGAAAGAATTCAATTATTTTCTAAAAATTTATTAAATCCTTCGAAACAATTCAATTATTTTTATAAATATAGTAAAATTCTTTACAAGATTTCAATTATTTTTATAATTAGTAAAATTCTTTGCAGGAATTCAATTATTTTCACAACAATTTTAATTGAATTCCTCGGAAGAATTCAAATATTTAAAAATATTTCCATGAAATTCAATTTTTTAAAAATTTTAATAAATTCTTCGATACAATTCAATTATTTTTAGAAATACTGAAATTTTTTGCCGGAATTAAATTATTTTTAATTCAATTTAAATATAATTGCACGATAGAAATGATTATTTTCAAAAATTTCCATAAAATTAAATTTCAACAAGAATTTAAAAATTCTCCAAAAATTATTTAATTATTTTCAAAATATTTTTAAAAAATTCTATATAAAAATTAAATTACTTTCAATGCAATTTTTAAATATATTCGTCAAAAAATTGAAAAAATTTAATTATTTTCCAAAATAACAACTTGAATTCTATTTCTCGAAAGAATTTATTTTTTTTTGTAAATATTCTATAATATTCTTCAAAACAATTCAATTATTTTCTAAAGTTTTAATCAATTTTTTGAAACATTTCAATTACTTTTTATAAATATAGTAAAATTCTTCGCAATAATTCAATTACTTTTATAAATAGTAAAATTCTGCTCAGGAATTCAATTATTTTCAATACAATTTTAATAAAATTCTTCTTCATAAAATTCAATTGCTTTAAAAATTTTCAATTAAAATTATTATAGAAACTCCATTATTTTAAAAAAATGCAAAGAAATTCTTCAAAAGAATTTAATTAGGATTTTTAGAAATTTTAATAAAATTTTTCGATAGAATTCCGGAATATAACGATTATTAATATAAATATTGAAATTTTAACTATTTTAAAAATTTACTATTACAATTCTTCAAAATTTGATTTTCAAAACTTTTATTGAAATATTTAAACAAATCAGTTATTTGCAATAAAATATAACAAACAATTATTTAATAACTTTTTAATAATATAGTTAGAAAATTTAAGTATCTTAAAAAAGTTATGAAAAAATAAGTTTTGAATGAATTGACTATACTCATTTTTCACACTATAAGAATCGAAATAAAGTTTCTTTTTATACCAAAGAAAATGTTATTCTAATGCAATATTTGGAGAAGAAGTCGAAAAAGTCAAATTTTTTTGAAAATGAGTCGAAAAAAGTAGCTTTTTTTTGAAAACAATCGAAAAGAGTCCAAAAAGTCGTATAATCCGTGGTTGGAAAAAATCAATCCAGGGTGTCTACTATTTTCGTTTAACAAAATTCCCGGTTATTTCCCGGTTTTTCCCGGCTATATCCTAATTTTTTCCCGGTTTTTTTTCTTATCAAATTTAAATTTAAATTTGATTTCAAACATAAATAAATCATTAAATTTTTTGAAAATAATGTTTTTTTCAGTAATTTTAATTAAAAACTTGGAAAATACTTGAATTAAACAAAGAATTTTTTCAAGTTTTTAAAAATAATCTTGTCTCTTTATAATTATAATTGAAAATTGGATTTTTCAATTTTATTAAAATTACATTGATAATAATTGAACTTCTGCAAAGAATTTTACTATTTATAAAAATAATTGAATCCTTCCAAAGAATGCTATTATTTATGAAAATAATTTAATTCTTGTGAAGAATTTTATTAAAATTTTTGAAAATAATAAGCAGCAATAATTAATTCTTTACTTAATATGTAATAAACATTTAATTTGCTCAAGAAATAAATAAATATCATTTATTTGAACATTCAGAAATTTGAAATGATAAAAATTTAAGAGAAGTTTAATAATTATAATTATTAAATAATAATAGAATAGTATAATTTTTAGAAGCAAAAAATTGATTTAAAACTGTAAGAGGGACTTTAAATTTTAAAAATAAAATTATAATTATGGTCACTAACTTCCCTTGATTATTTTCGAAAAATTTAAATAAAATTCTTTAAAAGAATTCAATTATTTTTCAAAAAAAGTAAAAAAATTTCAATGATTTGTTTAGAAAAATTCAATTATCTTGAAACAATAGAATTGAAAAATTACAACAATTTTATTTTTTAGACAAAAAAAATTTTGCGAAAGTTTAATTTTATTAAACAATTTTAAGTATGTATATTTTTTTAAAATAACTAATAAAAATTTTAATTATTAATCTTCGGAGTAAGAAACATGAATACATTAGAATTTTACTCTTTATAATATTCAATTATTAATCAATTATTAAATTAAAATACTTTGAAAATTCTATTTGTTAAAAAGTTTCTAATGAATTTCTTTAACAAATTTAATTACATATTTTCAGTCGAATTTCACAATATTTCTATTAACTCCATAATTTTTTTTAAATTTATTTACATAATATATTTGAATTGGTAACTGATTTTTTATCATCAAATTAATTATTTTTAACTAACTTAAATTTAGAGAACAGTATAAATATCTATAAAAATTGAAATAAAAATTGATTTTTTAAAAACAAATTAAAATAATAAAACTTTTTTAATTTTTGTGAAAAAATTCCCGGTTCGGTATAAAATTCCCGGCTAATTCCCGGTTTTTCCCGGTCAAATAAAATTCCCGGTTATTTCCCGGTTTTCCCGGAATTCCCGGTTAGTAGACACCCTGTCAATCACACAGTCAGAGTTACAGACTCGAGAATTCTTTCCTCACTGCTCTGAATATAAAAAGTACAAACTCTCAATCTAAATATTAATCGAAAAGAAAATCTAGCGTCGATCATGCGTGATTTCAGATTCAAGTAAATGCTAAAGTGGATACTACACTTCTCAAAGTATAAATACTCTGAGAGGAGGAAAGATTCAGCCACTCGTCTCACGATTCACTAAGAATACAGTTTGTGTTTCGAAAAACTACATTTTAACTCGTCATATTAAAAAAAAAATTCATTCAATCGCAGTTTTTTTTGGAAAAAAACCGGAAAAAGTGAAAAAAATAAAACAGTTTCTCACCTTACGTAAAAAGATGAGAATCTCTTTCTGGGAGAATTCATATCTTCTTTTGGTCCTCATTCTTCCCACGTTTGCCGATCAAGATTTTTCCAGTACCACAGTGAGGAATATTGATCATTTGCCCCGAAAGATTTCCTTCAATCAAGGTATCAATTACTCGCGAGTATTCGCCTGCAGTGAACCCCAACCCAGGGCCTATAATCTTCAAGATTTAATGGAAGGTGTACATTTAAATCTTGCCGAGAGTCCAAGTTATCCTGTTTATATAATTTTGAAAAGATGCGATGTCCACACAGGATGTTGTCCCAGTTCTGATTTGAGTTGTTCGCCAGTCACCAGTTCCAATTACACCGAGGAAGTTGAAATCAAAATCGGCAGTGTCGGCACGAGGAATAATAAGAAAACGTGGATCAGAGTTGAACATCACGGGAAATGTGAATGTAAAGTGACCAGTGTCAACGACAGAATCTGTCAGGAGAACCAAAGACCTCTTATTGTCTTTCTCTGACCTTCGATCTCCTTAGAAATTCTCTTCAAACTCCTTAGAATTTTTCTTCGATCTCCTTAAGAAATTTTCTTCAATTCTCCTCTTCGGGAATCTGAAAGAGAATAAAAGAGAGTGTGAAAAAAGTGATTTAATAACTCGGTGAATATTGAGAATATAAAAGTGGTGATTTAGAGTGCGATGATTACCTTCGGGTAAAACCTTTATTTTGAAAATAATTTCGTCGTCGATCTGCAAAAAATAAAAAAGTATTCAGTGATTGGATTATTAGAAAAAATGTGTTAGAAATAATTCCAAAATACCAACCAGAAACTTTGGTGTGTTGCGGAAATTTTGAGCGCGTTGAGAATCGTTGACATTAAATCAAGCCATCTCTCACAAATCCAGAGTCCAGACGTTCTTGACGTGAAATTGCTTTTTGAAAAAGATTGGGCTTAGACTGTTTAAATGTGTATATTCGAGGAAAATATTTGGCCCCATGCCAAGTGAAACTCTTTGCGGCGTCAGTAAATCGAATCATCAAGATTCATTTTACAGAACATTTTCTCATTATCAATTGTGCTGCATTTCTCAATTGCTCTACGTGAAGAATGAAATATCTGAAATGAAAGAAACATTAACAATATTTGTGATAACACATTTAGCTTAAGACAAAAGCAGTATTTCTCCACAATATTTATATTAAATTCTCCTTCATAATTCATATTCTCAATACAAAATTATTGTACTCACAAAAAAATATTTTTACAATTTAGAATTTAGTCTCCTCCGTCTTGTTTATAAATCCCCAAGTGATAAGTGATTTACCTCCTCCTGGGTTGATCATCACCCAATAAATACGCCCAAGGACTAATTTTAAATATTTTATTTTATTACATACTTTCAGTTACAAAAAAATTATTCTAATGAATGAAATCCAAATAAAATTCAACTACTACAAAGAAACTATCTCTCTCATTTTCACTTCAATTGAATAACAAAAAAAAAATCTCGAGTAAAATTTTTCATCGCAAAAAAATTTACTGAACATTTCAAAATATATTGACGAATATATTACAGTGCAAAAAAATATTGACATTTAGAAACTTAAACTAATTTACAGAAAAAATCGTTTTCATAAAAGACTCATACCGAAAAAATTAAAATTACAATTTAAAGCAAAATCAACGGTATTTTTTCGGAATGTCGTAGAAATTTGATTATAAATACCGAATTATTTTGACACATAACGCGCGAGATACAATATTATACTTTTTTAGTCCTTCTTTTCGTTTCACAAAAATCCGAAAGGAATAATTATGATCATATTCGATGGGAATATTTTTTTTTTAAAATGATTTGTTGAAATATTTTTTTGGAAGCTTATATTAAATTTTATAACATTTAATGGTTTACATGAAAAGTATTTCGTACTTCAATGTTTGACAATTGAGAATTCTTAATTTTTCTCTCGTGATATTTCTTTAACTGTAACTATAAGGATATTTTGCACGCATACGCCTTCCCCTAGCTCCTCTTCCTCTTACTGTAGTTCCGTCGCTGGCGCCTCGTGGTAAGTGACCACGCATCATGCCTGGCCCTGAATTTTGTCCTTAAATAAAATGCATATTTAAGACCTCGACAGAGCGTTTTGCAATTAAAAAAAAAAAAAAAAAAAACTCGTGATAAGTGTGTTTTTGTATTCAAATTTATGAAAAGCATGATGATTGAGAGTGCAATTTTTATGGAAAAAGAAGAACGTGATTAGATGAAAAAAAGAATATTTTAACACTTTTTTCTCTTCAAGAGAAATTTTTTCTTTTACTGAAACAACGTTTAAGATAATCAATTTACGACAGTCTATCAAAAGTTAATGCTTGAAAATTGTAAATTTTTTTATTTGAGATAAATTTTGAAAATTAATCGGGGCATTTTATTTTGAATCGTTTCAACAACAAACGACAATCGCAAGGAAAGTACATTTTAAGTAAATTTTATCCGATAAAAAAGGAATTATTATTAATAATAACCAGTTGTACACCAATTTAAAAATTAAATTAACTTCCTTTTCTTTTTATTTTGCAAAACTTCTCTCAAATTGCAAAAAAAGATTTCTATTTAAAATACAAAGTTCTTAAAATTTCAAAGAAACCCTTTCTTCCTTCAATTTAATTGAAAGTTATCTAATAAAAAGAGCTCACGATTTCTAGTTTTCAGTCCCATAAGTTTTATTATGAACAAAGGATTCAAAAATAAAAATAATTTGTCTTTGAAAAATTTGACACAAAGTATAGAAGTTTTACGAAAAACTTGATTTTCACTTTAATTTGTTAAATTTTTCGATAACATTCATTTTTAACTATAACAGGAAAATATTTTAAATATTTCATTTTTTTGTAATTTTTTGTAAGGAATTCAATGGTTAGAAAATACTTTAACACTTTTTTAATTTTTATTTTTCCTACAAATTGGTGCTTTTTGAAATCCACGCGAAATTTTTGTAGAAAATATGTTTTTGTTCCTATCTCTAAAAAATTTCTGAAAAAAATTTATTTTTATTATTTTTAAAGTATTTTCTTTTTTTCAAATTGTTTTGAGGCTAAAAAAATGCTAAAAAGATCCCATTGTTAACCAATTTTTTATTTAAAAATTTATTTGTTTATTTTTCTAGTTTCAAATCATAATTTTAATGAATTAATTCATTAAAAAAATTGAATTAATTAAATTAATTACTTTTAATTAACTTTTTTATTTCTATCATAATTTTTTTATATTTTTGATTTTTTATATAAACAAATTATGAAAAAATAAAATAAAGTAGAAAAACAAACAAATGAATTTTCAATTTAAAAAATAGAATAAAAATGGTATTTTTTTCATTCTCAACCTATAAACAAAGTTCTTTTTCTAAAAAAAGTGCTGCAAAAATAGTAAAAATCAATTTTTTCATTTGACAATTTTTTTATGAATACAAAAACATATTCGCTACAAAAACTCCGTATGATTTTCAAATCTACCAATTTTTAAGAAAAAAAAAATCGATCTTAGATCAGATCGATAAATTTTACAACGTTTATAATAAACGATTGAAGGAGAAAAAATATTTTGCACAGAAAATAATAAAATTCTCCTCTTACAAATTTTTTTTGCCTAAAATACTCGATTAGAAAAATATTTTACAAATTTTCTAAACGAATATGTCTAAAAAATTTTGCGTAGAAAAATATTTTTTTTTCTAAATCGTCGATTATAAAGATTCTAAACTTCACTAAAATCTTAAATTCTCTAAAATGTCCATAATTAAACGTAAGGAACTGAAAACTAGAAAAAAATAAAGTTTCTGATCACAAAAATTTCAAAAAAATTAAAAGGGGGAAAGATATTATCTTAAAAAATAATATCTTGAGATATTAACAGTGTTTTATATTTCAAACAGAAATTTCTCTTCGAAATTGAGAGAAATTATGAAAAATAAAAAAATAAATAGAAAACACATTTAATTCTCTTTCAAATCAATGTCAATAATTCCATTTTTATACAACAAAATTCACTTATAAAAGTAAATCGTCGAATGAAAACCGAAAAAGTGGTCGTCTTTTGCTGGAAAACCATTTCAAAATAGAATCCCCGATTTTTATTAATGAAAAGTTTTATAATTTCTCAAGAATATTGTCAAAATATTTTAGAATAAATCATTTTTTTAAATAAAAAATTATTAAATAAAAAAAGAAGGAAAAATAAAGAAAGACATAAAAAAAAACAGAAAGAGTGAAAGAAAAAAAAATCAAAAAAATTTGCTATGGAATTAATTTTTATTTTGAAAATTCTTTGTAAGAAATAAATCTTCCCTCAGGTATTGTTCTTTAACAAATTTTTTATCTTTTCAAACCATTTACTAATTCGTCATTTTAGTATTAACTTTTGTAAGAGACTGTTGCATATCAAGTATCTTAATTCAACAAAGAAAACAAATAATTAAAGACTTCGTTCTAAGGAACATAAAATATTATTAACGTATAGACTTAAATATTAAGTTGAACTTTGATTTTAAATTACTAATATCAATATTTTACAAAATGGCATTTAAGTGTTTTAATACATGCTTTAAAAGACAATTCTAATTTTTAAGGGTAAACTAAACTCTTAAGTCTCTAGTATTTTTAATATAGGAAAAAATTTCCAAATCTTCATCAATATTTTTGAATATCTCAAGAATATATTCTTAATATTCCATAAAATTATTTTTATGGTAATTTTTTGTGAAGAATTCAAGTATCTTGAAATAAAATTCGTTATAAAATATTTTGATCCCCTTTGAATTTTTTTCTAATTTGTAGATTTTGAAAGTCATGCATAATTTTGTAGAAAATATTTTTTGTATCCACAAAAAAATTGCTAAATGAAAAATTTCACTTTTACCATTTTCGAAGCATTTTGCTTTTCTTCAAAATTGTTCTCAAGCTGAAAATTCTAAAAAAATACTAGGTAGTTATTCAATTTTATTTGAAAATTCGTTTGTTCAATTTTTTAAGTAATTTTAAATCATATTTTTTCATATAAAAATTTAAAAATAAGAATGAATATTAATTAATTTATTATTTTGATTAATAATTACTAATAATAAATATTAATTAAAAATAATAAACATTTAAATATTAATTCAAATCATAATTTTTTTTAAATACGAAAAAAGAGTATTAATAAATTATGATCTGTTAGTTAGAAAAATAAACAAATGAATTTCTAAATGAAAGAATAAAATAAAAATATAGTATTTTTTAGAATTTTCAGCTTGAGAACAAATTTTCTTTAAATTCTTCAAAAATATTAAGAATTAAATTTTTCGTTCGGCAATTTTTTTGTGGATAAAAAATATTGTCTACAAAATTACGCATGGATTCGAAAATCTATCAATTTTAAAAAAAAATCGAGTGTCACAATATTTTCTGATCCATTTTATTGCCCTTGAATTCCTCGGAAAAAATTACAAAAAAAAAGTTAGGAAATATTTGAAAAATTTTCTTGTTATAGTTAAAAATATCACTTTTCTCTCTCCAAATTTTATAAATACTCGAATCATTGAGTTTTATTCTACCCTTAAAACTAGACACATTTTTTTAATGCCATCTACAATTAAATTTTTGGTTTCAATTTTCTTTATAAAATGAAAATTCTAACAAAATAACGAGATAAATTCTAATGACTATATTTTGTTTCCCTGAGCATGTAAACTAAACTCCTAATACGTTTTTATACAGCTGTAAAAAAAAACTGATCACTTTTTAATAATCCTAAGAAATATTTTTCAAACAATTCACCCATGAAAAGAGGAATTACATTTTAAATTCGCTCGCTTGTTTACTTCTTAAAATCCTCATTGTAAATTTTATAAAAGCATTTTACAAAGAAATAGCGCAAGAACAAAATAAAATATTTCCTCCTAAAAAATAGAATTTCTTTTGTAAATTTTTTCATGCATTTGTATGAAAGAGAGAAAACAAAAAAAAAAGATAAACAAAAAATGAACAAATTAATATTGTTCATTGTAAAATAATAAATAATTTTTAGAAAACAAATCACCAGGAATGAAAAGAAAGCTATGGAGAGAATGAGCAAATTCTTCTTCTTTTGGTGATAACGAGTTGTTGTTACCCGTAAGCTAAGAAAGTAAGCAAGCTTTACATGATAAAATTTACAAGCTTTGCATCTCTTTCTTTTTTTGTTTTTCAATATAAAACTTAGAAATTCTCCGCAGCTTTAATAATAATAATCTAGTAGTATAAAAATAAAAGCTTCTCGAAACGCTTTATAAATGAATCTGTGTAAGCTTTTTATGGGTCGGAACTCTCACCCCTGTTCGACTGACTGTTGTCCCAGACGATGGGAGTTGGTCTTGAGCCACGATTCGCTCGGAATGGCGTTCTTGCCGCTCTTCTTGCAGTGCCTCCTCCTCTTGAGGGTAAAGCTGCTGCAGCTAATGCTGTGGCTGCTGCCAACGCTCTTTGTCGAGTGTTCACCGAAGGTGATGCTTCAGCTTCACGATTTTCTTCTTTCGAATCGTCTTCAACTATTTCTAATCCAGATTCTTCTGAAGCGTCAACTCCTGTATCTACATTATCATCATCGCCAACTCCAGAGCCAGAGGCGCCGGCTTCTTCAGTTTGTTTCTCAGCTTCGGAGCCGACATCTTATAGAAAAAAAAAATAATGTAAATATAAAATATAATTTTAGAAATTCTTACAATTTTTCAGAAAACATTATTCTTTTCAGATTTTTCAAAAGAAAATTTATTTATCATAAAAATGATAAAATTATTATTCTTCTAATTTAAGGTTGACACAAAATTTTAACTTTGATTTTCAGATGGAATTTAAAATTTTTCCTGCTCCTAATAAAAAGAGAAAAGAGTTTAAATACATAAAAAATATGTAGAAGCGAAAATTTAGTTTAGAACTTTAAGAGTGTCTACCTAATTTTAAAATAAAATTAAACTGTGGCGAACTTCCTTGAATTATTATCAAAATTTAAGTTTTTTAATAATCACTTATTTTTAATAGAATTCTTGGATATTTCAGTTATTTAAAATTTTTTCCGTTTCACAAAAAAATTTTAATTTTTTCTCCTGACCCCTAAAAAAATACTCAAGGCGATGTTCAATTAAAAAAAAAAGATAATTATTAAAAGAAAAAATTGGATACAAAACTCTACTTCAGAAATAACATTAATTACAGTGGCAAATTTTCTTCAATTATTTTCAAATTCAAAACTTGTAATAAAATTTTTTTAAAAAAATTCAATTATGTTTAACATAATTTCAGGGAATTTCAATTATTTCAAAAATCTTTAATTATTCGTTTATAAAAATTCAATTACCTTTAAACAATAGAATTGAAATAGTTTAGAAATATAATTTTTTAGATTTTTGAATAAAACTTTTCGGAATTTTAATATTTTTCTCCATTATTTTTAAAAAGTTTCAAAATAAAATTCTTTTAAAAAAATTATTTTTAAAAGAATTTCTGGAAATTTAAATTATTTTTTTCAAAATAGACATGAAATATTTTAAAACTCCTAATTTTTCACAATTTTAAATAAAACTTTTCGAAATAATCATAATAATTAAATTTAAATGTTTAATATTTAATAATATTTAAATTTTAATATTTCTCTTGATTTTTTAAATTTAATTATTTTTAATAGAGTTTCTGGAAATTTCAATTATCTTTAAAAATTGGAATTGAAATATTTCAAAATTTTTCATAATTTTAAATAAAATTTTTCGAAACTTTAATATTTTCAAAGATTATTGTCAAAATTTTTTTAAAAAGTTCGTAATAAAAAAATTTAATTACAATGAATAGAATTTTAGGAAATTTCAAAAATTATTATAATTCAATTTTTTTTTAAAAAAATGGAATTAAAATATTTAAAAAATCCAATTTTTTTTTATTTTTCAATAAAACTTTTCGAAACTTTAATGTCTCTCGATTATTTTTAACTAAATTCTACAAAATTCTTTAATAAAATAAAATTATATTGAATAGTTTTATGAAATTTCAATTATTTCAAAAATTGTTAATAATTTGTTTATAAGAATTTAATTAAATTTACCTAATTTTCTTTTAACTTTTTAAAATAATCGTGTTTATAAATAATTGAAATTAAATACTAAACTTGGAATAATAATTAAATTCTTTCGAGAAATTTTACTGAAATCGTATTAAAAGTAATTGAATTTTTAAGAAGAATTTTATAAAAATTTCTAAAAATAATTAAATTCTTAGAAAGAATTTTATGAAAATATTTTTAAAAAATTCTTTCTATGAATGTAATTAAAATTGTATTGAAAATAATTGAATTATTGTGAAAATTAAAATTTTTTTATGAAGATAATGGAAATCTATCGGAAAATTTTTAAATTCATAAAAATAATTGAATGCAAAGAATTTTATCAAAATTTTCAAAAATAATTGAATTATTGCGAAGATTAAAATTTTGTATGAAGATAATTTGAATCCAGAGGAAAATTATATTATTTATAAAAATAATAGATTGAATTCTTGACAAAAATTTTACTTTTTTAAGAAAATATTTCAAATCCTGCAAAAAATTTGTATTATTCATAAAAATAATTGAATGCAAACAATTTTATCAACATTTTTAAAAATAATTGAATTCTTTGGAGAAATTTTATGAAAATAATTGAATTCTTGTGAAGACACTCACTTTCCATTGGTGCCACATTGTCAGAATCTGCAACTATTTCCGGTTGAGTACGATCTTGTTCTTCGGTAACTAGACGAATACTTGGAATTGTAGAATCTTCGTTGCTATCGACAGCCGCTGGTGTTCTTTCCAAAATCATCGACATGGGTGTTTCTTGCTCTTCTGATGGTTCACTACTCGTCTGCAAATATAATGAAAATAAAAATGAATAAAAGTTATTTACAAAACTTTTTAGTCTCAAAAACCAACATCAAATAACCATTTCTGTTTAAGGGGTTACGCCACCCTGAAATTTTCAAAAAAATTTATTTTTTTTTTTTGCTTAATTTCAAAGTTTATATTCTAACGAATATTTTGAGATGTCGCCGAAGACAATGTCTCACTAATTACAAAAGTTATGGTCATTAGAAGTCAGCGCAGTGGGGACGCGCCGAGAGCTGCTGGAAGCAGCGACTTTCTATTTTCGAATGGTCTAGGGGGCCCTTTCATGATTTAGGAAGGGTCCTTTTCATTGTATCCCATCCATTCTTAAATAAAAAAAATTATGGCCCAGGAATTGCTGATTAAATAGTACATTGAAAAATTTTCAAGTTATAATACACTAAAGTTCATTTTTTTCTTCTTTTGCGTTTTTCTCGAAACCACAATTTTCGAGACGGTGTACACGATAACTCAAAAACTATTCAATCGATTGACTTGAAAATTAATATACATCTTCCTAAATAGATTTTCCACAGAGTGACGTGGGATTTTTTTGATTGAATAATTTGAAAATTTTTTATCCAATTTTTTATACGGTAATTTTAGCCAAAAAAAAAATGTCAATTTTTGAAGTGCTTCCATTTGCGTAAAAAATTTTTTTTTTTTAAATGGCTTCGTCACTCTGTTCAAAATTTATCACTTTTTAAGAAAAATATTGTTTTACTTGTTTCTGACAAAAATTGAACTGCCAATCATGTACACCATCAAGGAGTGCTCCGGAAAAATTGATCCACGCCAATAGTTATATCTCCGCCATTTTTAATTAAAAACCATTTTTTTTTTAATATTTAAAAAGCTCAATATATGTACTAAAGCATCAATAAATGTAAAGAAGTCCTACCTGAAACAGTTTTATCAAAAAAATTCCTAAAAAACCATCCGATTTTCATGCGTTCAGGGTGGCGTAACCCCTTAAACTAAACGTTGTAAATTCCATAAAAGTTGAATAGACAATTATGTTGTTATTATGAAATATTATTTTATGGAAATCACAACGTTTAGTTAATACTTTGAAGGAGAAATTTCTATCAAAGTACTAGCTAAATAATTGCATCCGTTGAAAAAAGTAGTAAAACAGTCACGTGAGGCATGTAATTATATTAATAATATAGAAATAAATGAATAAAGAAAATGAAGTAAATATTTACCGAAGGAGGCATATCAGCAGCCGGAGAAACCTGCAGTGGCGTAGTAGGAACACTTCTTCCAGTTCCGCCATCTTCCAATTGAGTAAGATCCATTCTCGTGTCATCCATACCCTCTTGAACAACTTGCGCTACACCAGGAGCAGATGAACCAAAAATCGTTCGGGCAGCAGTGCCAGAGGACGTCGTCAACGATGGCGTTGAAGAAGCTGTCGCTGGCGCTGAAGGATCACCGAACGTGAATCGTCCCTGGGGAACTTGCGGCGAACTGACAGCTTCACCGAAGCCATCACCTCTTCGTGGAACAAACAGTGTCGGTGTACTCGGAACAATGCAATCATCACCCCCATCCTCGTAACCCTGTTGAGGAAGAAGAAGATGCTGCTGTTGCTGTTGTCTCGGCATCGGAGCAATGCCCCTCGCCGAACGGGCAAATGAAGGCGGTTCACCGGAGGGACCAGCCGAACTAATGGCTTCCGACTGCTGTTGCTGTTGACTCGCAGCAATTGTTGGTTGCACTTGTCTGGGAACTTCCACACCAGCTGCATCCTCCTCCATTATAATCTCCACTTCATTATTATCACCCTCTCCCTCAACCTCAACGCCGTACGGCAATTCCTCCTCCTCCTCCATTTCCTCATAAGGATCATTCTCAAATTCCTCCTCCTCCTGCGCCTGATGATTTCCAGCTCCCTCACCTTCGTCGCAATCCACAACGACGACACATCCGTCCTCGCCTTCCTCATCTTGATCCCTCTGGCTTGATGTAGGCACTTGATATTCAATTTCAGAAGCGCTGGCAGTACCCGAAGGCGTCACCTCCTGCTGTCGACTTCTCTTCGCCTTTGGACTTGAATTCTGCTCCTGACGATGATCCGAAACGCCCTCGACAACACCCGAACCCGATGCAGACGAATCTAAATTTCTCGGTCTCTTGTGACCGGTCGAACCTTGAGAGGTGCTCACCGATTGGGTGGAACTGCTCGCGACCGACTGTTGCTGCTCAATGGTGACTGTGATCTGCTGTTGCTCGACTCTAGGACTGACGAGAGCGACAGTTTGCTGTTGTTGTTGCTGCTGCTGCTGTTGACACTGCTGCTGCTGAACTGTCATGATCTCGAGACTCTCTGGTTCCTCTCTCTGGGTCGATTCGGCCGAACCACTCAATTGGGGCTGAACGGCGAGCTGCCTGAGACTGCTCGGAGCCGATTGTGATGACGAGCTGGTGCTCGCCGGTTGATAGTCCGTGTGGCTGCTGGTCGGTGAACTTGTCTCGGTCGTGTGGACAGCTTGCTGTTGGGGCTGTTGCTGCTGTTGTTGGGGTGCGACGAGAACGGGCGCCGAGGCAGTTGTTGGCAGAACGGCGGCAGTTCGGGACTGGACCACAACACTCATGGGGCGAATACTCGCGAAGGGAGTCTCCGCTCTTGCCGACATTGGTTTGATGTTCGCGGTGGGTGGTTCTGTCGTCGCACTCGCTCCACTCACTCCGCTCGTCAATTGTCTCTGGAGGAGAGTAATCTTCTTCTCCAGGGCTTCTTTTTCGGCGATAATCTCCGATTTCTCGTGCTCCAGGCGGGATATTCTTGATTCGTGCTGGAGGCGCATTGTATTTAGCCGAGCGTCAAGTTCGGCGGCGGTGTTATTGTCGTTCGATACGGAATCGACTCGGGACTTGAGTTCGCCGATTTCCTTCTCGTAGTTCTTTTTGAATTCGGAAAGTTGCATGATTTTTGTTCTTGCGTTCTTGAGGACCAATTTGGCGCGTTCTTCCTTCTCGGAGACGCTGCGATTGATGACGTCGATTTCTTTCTTTAGATTTTCGGATTCGCTCTGATAGGCCGTGGACTGACGGGTCAATTCTTCGATCTGGGATGTTAGCTGATCGATGCGTTCTCGTTGTTCTTGAATTAGTTGATTGTCCCGTTCGCGGACTTGCATCTCCTCGTTGGCGGCGTTGGTACTTGCGATTCGTTGCTCTTCGGCTTTGGCCTTTTCTTCTTGATTTGTCTTGAGTAATTCTTCGTATTGCGCCTTGTATTTTCGGGCGAGTTTGCGAATCTGTAATTCCTTGTTTCTGAGTTCGTTCAATGCGGCCTCCTTGTCGGCGAGTTCTTTTCTGAGGGTGACTAATTCCTTTTCTCTGTTGGAGGATTCTGTGATTGTTTCTGTCAATTGTTGGCTCAGTCTGCGTACGTCTTCGGTGGTCTTGGTGAGTTGTTCGCCTTGGAGTTGAACCTGCTTTTGTAGTAGTTCGATCTGTTCGTCGAGTTTGGATTTTTTCAACTTAAGAGCGGTGAATTCGTCAGACATCTTGGCGTGGATTTCCCGTTCGGAGGTTAATAGTTTGCTGAGATTTTCGCGTTCGGTTTGGAGTCGACGCCAGTCCTCGGGACTTGCTTTGTTTGCTCTCTCGACCAGGGTGTTGGCTCTCTGCCTCCAGCGGGTCGCTTCTCCCTTGAGACTCACGTTTTCTTGCAGGAGATTTTCGGTCTTTCCTTCCAAGTCGCGAGCCTTTTCTCTCAATGGCACGACTTCTTCCGAAAGGGCCGTGACTTGGACCGTAAGTTCCGTGACTTTCGTACTTAAAATATCTCTTTCCTCCCTCAATACTCGATTCGAATCCGTGATCGCATTTAGCGTCTCGACCTTTCTCAACAAATTGGCATGCTTCGTGGCTGTCACAACGTCGATTTCCAATTTCTCTCGCTCCGAATTGAGCAGAGCCTCAGTTTCCTTCAATCTTCTCTCTGCCACTTCAGCCTGAGACTTAAGAGTTATAGTCTCTGCTTTCAAAACGTCGTATCTCGCCGCATTTAGTGCTTTTTCCTTCTGCATCAATTTAATCAACTGGATCAATTGTTCATGAGATTTCGAATCTTCCTCAATATTTCCGAAACTGCGGTTCAAATCCAAACTCGTGTCAGCGCTTTCATTTCCGCCGAATTTCGTCTGTTGGCTCTGCATCACTGCTGCTCGATCACTCAACTCCTGGATTTGACTATGTAAAATAGCATTCTGTGAATTAAGATCCTCGACTTGTTTCTGAACTTGTTTCATTTCGTCGATAACTCTCTGTTCCCTCTCCTTCCAGGTGGATTTTTCCAATTCCAATGCCTCGATTGCTGAATTTCTCTCCTGGGTGAGTGTGGCCATTCTTCCCGTAACATCCTGCGATTCTTCCTTCAATTTCGCCAAGCACTGTAAATCTGCCGAGTGTAAGCACATTTCTCGAACGTATTTCTCTTCAGCTTCTTTAGCAGCAACTGTTGCACTTTGTAGATCGGATTTCACGAGTTCGAGTTCTCCCTTCACCTCGTCGAGTTCCTCTAATTTCTTCTCAGCAGCAGCGAGTTTCTCCCTTAAATCAAAATCAGTTTCCTGACTACCGGTCGAAATTTTCGATAATTCCTCCTGTAGGACACGTAATCTATTCTCGAGATTACTCAATTCGTTTCTTGACTCCTTCAACAAATTTTCCATTTCTTCCTTCTCGCGATCATGTTGAGCAGTAATTTCACGAAGTTGCGTCTCTGAACTCTCAGCAATATCGCAATATTGTTGACTTTGATTGCGAGAAGATTTTAATTGCTCCGTGAGTGATTTCGTCTCGGCTTGACTGCTGGTGAGTTGGGATTCCAATTCCTTGATTCTCTTGTTCATATTGTCGTGACCGGAAATTGGTTTCGAGAGTGAATCAACGGCGAGTTGTCGAGCTTTGTCGGTTAATTCATCGATACGCTTCAAATTGTCACTCTCTGTGATTCGTGCCTGATCCAATTCGGATTTCACTCTTTCGGCCAGGTTTCGTTCCTCGGCGAGACGATCCTCGGCATTGTTGACCCTCTTCTCGAGATGGGACGTGAGTTCTCTGAATCGGTCCTGTTCCTCCTGGAGACGTCTACGAAGAGCTGCGCATTCCCTGGTGACATCGTCTAATCTCTGCTCGGCACGAAGTTGACCTTCGACTTGTGAACGTTCGAGACTTGCTTTTATCGACTCGACGTCCGCCTTCAGTAGAGCTTGGGTCTGTCTCTCACGGTGAAGAACCTCGCGTTCTTTCAGTAATCGATTTTCCGAATCCTTCAAAATCTGTCTCTCCTGTCGCAAATTTTCCAATTGTACCTCCGCTCTGGAGAGTTTCGACTGGGCGGACAAAGTCTCGTCCTTCAAGATCATAATGCTCTGCTCGTGTTTTCCGATTGTTGTATTATAGGTGTTGCATTTCTCCTCAAGAATCTTGATTTGCTCCTTATAGGAGACTACATTCGCCTGTAGAAGATGGAAACGTTCGTTTGACGAGTCGAGTTGTGCTTTTAGACGACAGCACTTTGTTGAACTGCTTTCGGATTCTTTTCTCAGTCTGTCAATTTCCTCGCCTAGCATTTTTTCGTGTGCGGCTTTCTCCTTTTTGTATGTTTCAAAATCGTCAGTTATTTGCTTCAATCGTGTCTCGGCGTCGGATAATTTTCTCTCCCACTCCTTCTCCTTCTCCTCGTCTTTCTGTGTTTGAGAATTCTCATCGGTTTTTGTTTCGACAGGTTTCTCATTTGTTGTTTCATTCTCTTTGTCCTGATTATTCGAGTTGGTGTAGCCTCGCGAGGCCGCTTGCATGAGACCCTGTTGATACATATTTTTGTACATATCGCGTTGTTTAACTAAACCGTCGAACATTTTCGCTTGTCTATCTTGTGAGGCTTTCATTTCCTCAAATTGCTCAATGTACTTGTCAAGTTTCTCCTTCATTTCCTCGCAGGTGGATTCACTCGCGACACGTTCGAATTCCTCTTGTCGGGCCGATAAGGTTTTGACGATTGTTAAAAGTTTCTGATTATTCTGTTGAAGTTCCTCAATATCACGGAATGTGACAAGTTTCTTGCTGATTATTTGTGAGGACGTGAGATCGTCACTATCCATGGAGATGTCGTTTGAATGCATCACGTGTCCGGTGCGAAGTTCTTGAATTTCCTTCAAAAGGAAACACACTTGTCGGGCGAGATCTGACATTTGAGTTTTTAGTGTTTGATTCTCTCTCGTGTGAATGTTGGCGATTTTATTCGCTTCTTCGGTTTGCTCTTGTAATCTGTTATTCTCGTGGAGTAATTCTTCGAGACGGGACGAAAGTGTATTAACATTATCGAGCGCCGATTCGTAATCTTCCCGTTGTTGTTGTAGAATTGGTGTTTTCTCTTCGATCTCGTGAAGAATATCGTCCATGTGGATTTTCATTCTCTCATTTTCTTCGCGTGCCGTCGCCAATTCGTTGGTCACTTCAACCAATTGGGTGTAAATTTGAGTCAAACTCAAACCTTTTCTGAGAACTCTGCTGGTAATTGCTGCAGTGGGAGCCAACTGTTCGACAGCTTGATCCAATCTTTCTTGTCTTAGACTTGTGAGCAATTCGTTAGCGTGTGCCAATTCGGTCTTAAGATCCACGATTCTTTTGTCCTTCTCTGCATTCTCCTCCTCGCGTTCCTGTAATAGTTGATTGTGTTTCGATTCGAGTGTTCCGTATTGTTCAGTGGCATTTTCAATCAATTCTTGCAATTCTTTCACGGCATTGGTGTATTCTTCAGCTTTCGCATTCGTATCGTCGGCCATTGATTTGTAGAGTTCGGTTAATCGGGTCTGGGCGGCAACTTCCTCGCGATATGAAGAGTGCATCGACAATTCGTGATTTCGTTGTTCTTCCAATTTTTGAGCTAATTCGTCGCAACGAGCTTGAAGTGTAGACTGAGCCTCGCGAAGTTGATTTGTACTTTTTATAGCAAGACTCAATTCTTCCTCGCGTTGACTCAAGCGTGTATCAATTAATAGCGATCGCGATGAAGCTTCAGATCTTGTAGTCTGTAATTCAGCAGTTCTCTTCGATAATTCTTCTTCTAAACCGGCCATTTGTTGACTGAGTAGCGTTCGCTCTTGTTCTATACGTTTTTCTCTGTAAAATTAAAAAGAAACATTATTATAAAAGAATTTGAAAAATCCTACTTCGTTTGCTTAAAGAGGCTAAAATATTTAAATACAATGTAAGAATATTATAAAATATGAAGAAATCGATCACTCCGAGTCTTCGACTCGAAGTGATCGTTTTCTTCATATTTTATAATAAATAAAAATGTTTTTTAGATTTTCTAGAATTTTTAACTAAATTATCTTGAATAATTTTTGAAAAAATTCTTTGAGAATTTCTTTAATTGTTTAAATATATTGAATGTAAAATAAAATATACGAACTTGAAATCTAGAGTCATTTCAAGACTGCGAATTTCCTCCATTTGCGAAAGTGCTTGACACTTGGCAGTAACTGCAGCTTGCAATTGGGAGCCAAGGGAATTGACTTCAATTCGCAATCGTTCCAAATCGCTGTCGCGACGCTCAACTTGCATTTGTAATCCATCTCTTTCATCGCAAGCTGAATCCCTTTGTTTTCTAAGTTCGAAATTCTCCTTCTCTAACCTGTTAATTAAATATTCTTTAGTAATTTGCAAACACAGTCGAAAATTGCTAAATTGCTACATAGTTGAAAGAAAGTAATAATTACCTTTTGACAGATTCTTGAAGTTTGTGAATTTCCGCTTTAGTTTCATCTAAATTTGTTTTTAATTCATTAGCATACTCTTCAGCTAAACATAATTTTCCCTTACATTCTTCGAGATCCAACTTCTGATCTTCATGTTCCTTTTGTACAGTATCTAAATTTTTTTCTGTATTTGAAAAAAAATTTGAATTATGTTTTATTTTTATAAAATTATATTTTATTGATTATAATTAAATTACTTTTTTTATTTTCGTTAATTAACAGGGTGTCCACTTTTTTCATAAAAAAAATTCTCGCTAATTTCCGGGTCATGAATTATTTTTCCCAGTCATAAAAAATAACTAAAAATAAATTATTTTATGAAAGATTGGAAGAATTCCCTGATTTTGAGACAAAACTTTGACTTTTTCCCAAACCCTAAAAATATTTTAGTTTACTCTAATTTTAATAAAATTTCACGAAAGAATTCAATTATTTTTATAAATAGTAAAATTCAACTATTTTTATAAATATTAAAATTCTTTGCAGGAATTAAATAATTTTTAATCCAATTTAAATAAAATTGCACAAAAGAATTTAATTAGTTTCAAAAATTTCCATAAAATTCATATTTGAAAAGAAAAATCATAAAAAAGTTAAGAAACAAAAAAGCAAATATTAATATTAATTTAACATTTTAAAATGTAGAAATAGTTGCATATGAATAATTTAAAAAAACGAATTGATATTAATGCAAAATACCGTTGTTTAAAAATTTATTTTCTAAGAAAGGAAATTTTATTTATATTTATTTTCTATTTACTTTATTTATTATTTAAAAATTAATTTTTATAAATTTCGTATCACTTTTCTTCTAATTAGTTCAAATATTTTCAAATTTCTATTTTTTCTCACGAAATGAGTTTTTTAAAAAAAAATTTCCAGAATCCCGATCAAGATCAAAATTCACTGGCATTTTCCGGTTTTCCGGTCCAGCAACCACCCCGATTAATTAATTATTAATAAAATATTGAGGATTTTGTATTCAATTGTTAAAATGTCGAAGTATGAATAAAATGAATAAAATGGTGTCGTTTTATTTCATTTCAAACGTTTTATTTCTAAACACGTAAAAATAAGCATTTGGTTGCATATTTTTCTTTGACATTAATATTAGTCTATTTATTTTCTTCCAGAAAGTAAACTTGACCTTTTGAGAGGTCGAATTTTTCCAATGTATGAAGCCGGAATGAACAAAGAAAATTAACTACAACCGGAAAAATTTATTTGTAAAAAAATATTTCGAGGGGACAATTATTGTCACTATAGATTTTGTTATTAATGAATCTATTATTAAAGAAGCATTTATTAAGCATTAATTTAAATTTATAGCAAAAAGTTTCTTTGCAGATCATATAACGAGTTTTTTCATTTTATTTTCAAAAAAGTTAGGTTATGTGAAATTGCATGAGCTTGAAGGGCTTGAAGGTTAAGAAAATATTTTGTTTAAATATAAAAAAATAATATGAAAATCTCACCAAGATTTTGACGACTTGTTTCAAAAATTGCTTTGGCTGTTAGATATTCCTCAAATTTATCGTTGAAATATGATTGTAACTTTTTGAGGGAAGAGTTGGGAATTTGCGACAATTCATCGGTGGTTAATATTTCGTTAAGATGACCATGCTCATTTTCCTCCGTCGTTTCCATTGTTTCGTCGGAAATATTTTAAAACTAATCTAAGTTATAAAACACGTCTTTATCAAACACTTCCAGCGGCTTTTTTTCTGTCCTTTTTTCTTTAAAAAATCCGGTGAATCGCGTCAACAATTTTTACACTGCGTCTTCTCTTCCCATGAATCCCATCACTTTTTTTCTCTTTATACCGTTTCTCCTACAACCCCTCTTCTGATTGGTTGAAAAATCAAAGTCGTCCATCATTGGCTCTCTTTAAAGGTATTTTTCTCAATTCTTATTGGTAAAAATATGGCGCGCATAAAACTTTGAAAGTAAAATAACAATTATTTTTAATATTTTTGGTTTTATTTCAAAATTATTGACAAATTTTGAAGAAGATTAGTATTAAAAATAGTTTGACAAATGAAAAATTCCAGAGGAATAAGAAAATAAATATAATAATTATACTTTTTTTTGAAAGAGGTTTATGCGCAAACGCGAAATTCTTCGGCGCGAAAGTTTAAATAAATATAAACGGACTTTTTGTGAACGAATATTTATTTATTTTTTTTCGTGACATTAGTATTAAGTATTAATTATAAAACAATAGGAACATAAATTATGAATAAATAAACTTAAAAAGGTGATAATTTGGAAAACAAGGAAAAAGGAAAACACTACAAAAAACATAATACAATTATCATCGGCTTTATTTATTTTTGCACATGACGTCAGTTTTCAATAAATTATTCCTAAATACACTGGCTTACAACAATTTACACTATTTAATAATTTATGTATTTCCTGTATGGAAATAATATTCTATCAATAATCAATCATAAATGATTACATCCCTAAAGCCATAAGGAGATAAAATTTACATTTATCACTTTTCATTATTTTTTTTTCCTTTTTTGCGAAATATATACCTATATATAATTTATCCGGTACATTTTATGTACAAAAACTTATAAAAACTCAATAATTATTTTATGAAAAAATATTCACTTAAAATAACAGAATAAAATTAGAATTTTTTTTTTTTAAATATATACGATTGCAATGAGATTTTGAATTTTCATTTTCCTTTTTTTATGAGCGTGAGGAAAATGATAATACACATTATTTTATGAAATAATCAAGTCTTATAAAAAAATTGTACAAACTACATCAGTGATTGAAATTAAGACTAGAAGAGAGTATCAGAGGGAGCTTTTCGTCTTACTTCTATACAGAGGCGATAGATTTTAATGTAAACGTATAGCTTAGAAGCAAGATCGATGGCTTAAAAATTTTTTTTTTTAAACATGCGACACAACAACGTTTGAAAGCGCATTGGCAAGAAGAAGAGAGATGATTTCATTTTTCGTATTAATCTTTACGAATCATGATGTTTAACTTGTTTTTTATCTTCGTCTTGTAACAATAAAGGGATATCGTGCAGTCTCACTAAGTCGGACATAAAACTGAAACAAAAATTTAAAATTTAATTATTTATTGCATTAGAATTTTTCCTGAAATTTTACGTCGATGAAGTTTATTACGTTTATATTCAATAATTTAGAAAGACAATATTTTTTTACTTTTTTAAATAATTTTTACAGTGTTTCTGAATTATTAATTTGAGAAAGAAAAATTTGTAAATATAAAACATTATTCAAGTTTAAAAAAACAATTTTTAACTAAAAAATTTTTAACTTTATTTATTTTAACATTTATTTTTAAACAAAATTCTTCTCTAAATCAATTATCTTCTATATTAATAATCGTTCGAAGATAATCCTTCGAAGAATTTTATTATTTAAGAAAATAATTAAATTCTCACGAAGAATTTTGTTTAAATTTTTGAAAATTCTAGTTAAATTCTTTTTGAGCAATTTCTTTGAATTTTTTTCTAAATAATAGAGTTTCTTAAATAATTTTAATTAAAAATTTTGAAAATAATTAAATTTTATGAACAATTTCTTTCAAGTTTTTAAAAAAATCGTGTTTGAGAAAAATTGAAATTGAACATTGCGTCACATTTAATTAATGAATTTTATCAAAATTTTAGAAAATAATTGAATTCTATTGAAAAATTTTATAACGAATTAAGAAAAAATTGAATTCTTTCGTGAAATTGTATAGAATATAATTGAATTTTTGCAATGAATTTTACTATTTTATAAATATAATTAAAATGGTTTCGAATGATTCATTAAAATTTTTAAAAATAATTGAATTTTTCAGAAAAATATTATTAAAAAATTTTTTTAAAATTGAATTCTTTCATGAAATTTTATTAAAATTGTATTCAAAATAATTGAATTTCTGCAAAGAATTTGACAATTTATAAATATAATTGAATTTTTTCGAAGAATTTACTAAATTTTAGAAAATAATTGAATTCTTTTGAAACATTTTATATCGAATTAGGAAAAAAATTGAATTCTTTCGTGAAATTTTTTTGAAAATAATAATTGGATTTTCGCAAACATTTTACTATTTATAAATATAATTGAATTGTTTTGAAAGATTTATTAAAATTTTTTCGAAAAATATTATTAAAAATTAAGAAAAAAATTGAATTCTTTCGTGAATTTTTTTTGTAAATAATTGAATTTTTGCAAAGATTTTACTATTTAAAAAAAATAATTTTATTATGGAAGAAGTTAATAATTTTAATTTTATTAACTTAAATTATAATAATAATTTTATTATTTCGAAGGATTTATTAAAATTTTAGAAAATAATTGTGTTCGTTAGTGAAATTTTATTAAAATTTTGTTTGAAAATTAATAATCAAGAATAATTAATTTGTAAATTAGTTAATAATTGAATTTTTTAGAAGTTTGAATCAGAAATTATTCAAAGAAGTAAATTCAATAATTCACTAAATTTAAAAAAAAATTTAAATACAAATTTCCCAAAATTAAATTACCATTCAGAATTTTCAATTAAAACTATTTCAAATTCAATTTTTCTAAAATTTGAATTTTTTCTTTTGAAAAACCTTTTAAAATTCAATTATTTATAGAAATTGTAAACGCAACTTTTATGAAATTCAATTCTTTCTGCAATTATTAAGCAAAATTATTTATCAATAATTCTTAAATACAAATTTTTCAAAAACTAACTTCGTCAGAATTTTCAATTAAAATTATTTCAAATTTAATTTGTTTAAAATTTCTTTTTGAAAACCTTTTCCAATTCAATTTTCTAAAACAATTGTAAATGCAACTCTTATAAAATTAAACTATTTGTGAAATTTCTAAATAAAATTATTCATAAAATAATTGTTAAATACAAGTTTTTCAAAAACTAACTTCTCCAGAATTTTGAATTTCAATTATTTAAAATTCAATTTTTCTGAAAATTCTTCATCAAAACCTTTTGAAATTCACTTATTTATGAAAATTGTAAATGTAACTCTTATAAAATTTTTTCTTTTTTTCTTTCTTATAAAATTAAATTATTTGTACAATTTCTAAATAAAATTAATGATTTAACAGATTAAAGAAGTTACTTTTTCTTGCAAATTGAACAATATCTAAAAGACATTTTAATTTCAATTCATTTTTTCCCATTTCAAAAATAGATTCTTCCGTTTCTTGTGAATGTTAGAAAATTGAAGAAGAATTAGTAATAGAGAATAATTATGACAGAATAGAGAACAAGGCTTGGTAAAATTCCTCCTTGAAATTATTTAACAACGGATATACAAATATTTACCTTTCAATATATAGTCTGTGAGTAACGTGGGTACAGTTGGACTATCCTCGTCGATTGCTTTCAATACTGAAAATAAAGTCAACAATATAGTACTTATTTTCATAAAAAATTTTAATTATTCTATTTTTTATTTCTTCTTATTATTTATTTAAATCTTCTCTTTATTTGGTTTATTTTAATTTTTATTTAATTTTATACATTTTTCTTTATTTTACAAACTTACTTTTTATGAGAACCTGAAGTGCCTGATTATTTGGTGGTCCACTATCTGTATGGTATGGAATGACTGTTGTTAAGTACTGAAAAATAAAAAACGAGGAAATTAGAAAATTGTTAATTAAAATAAAAGACATTGGTTTAGTGACAACGTTAATAATTAACGATTTTCGAGAAATTTTCTGCTAAAATGTTTTAAAAAAATGTTTTACTTTTCAAATTTTTATCTCAAGAAAATTCTTACAACAATTAAGATCAACGATAGAAAAAAGGTCATTTTTACCTGAAAACTACAATTTTTTGTTTGCAAATTCTTTTTTTTTTAATTAAAAAAGCAATTTCTAATAAAATCAGTTTTCTAAAAAAGAATTTTCTAACAAGTTCTGATTTCTAAAAAAAATTTTTCCAAATAGTTTTGATTTCTAAAATTTATTTTCCAGTTTCTGACAAGTTTTGACCTCTGAAATGTGCGAATAATAAAAAAACAATTTCTGGAAATTCAAATCAGATCGTTTAAATTGCATTAATTATCCGTATAATTGAATAAATAAATAAATTACATTTATTACTCGCATATAAATATGTAATTATATTTATTAGTAGAAATCGATCTTGATTAGAAAAATTAAATACTAGAAATTGAATATTGTATTTATTGTTAGAAGAAAAAAGGTAAAAAATTACATTTATTAGAAAAATTTTTTTTAGAAAATCACCTTCATTGGAAAAAAGTTTTAAAATAATAAAAAAAATAATAAACAGTATTAAAAAATTAGAAGATGCTTTTCTGAAAAACTGAACCTCAATCTTTTTTTCAATCCGTTGATTTTGTTGTGAACTTTACAGACGTATGATTTTACAATATTTCTCGATCAACAACTTAAAAAAGAAAAATTTTTTTAAATTTGTAAAATATTGCTTTTTGAGTAGAAATTTTTTTTATGCAATCGTTGATGACAAACATGAACTTCACCTACGAAGCAAAATAAAAAAAATGTCAAACAAAAATAATCGATTTATTTTCTATTTAATTTAAAATTTTTCAAGATTGGTATTAAAAGCAATAATTTTATTTCAATTTAAAAAATCGTTTAAAAATAATTTTCTAACCTACCTTCGACTCTTGGAAGGATCTATGTTGTGGCAATGGACTTGTACCATTCAATATCAATTTTTGTATATTTTGGTTCCTCTTTTTTGTGACATGATGAGCTCTTCGACGATTTTGTATGGCTAATACTAACGAGATAAATGTGTTCTTCAGATCTTTTTCGATTTGCAATTCATCGCGAAGTGCAAGTTCGGCAATAAGTGTTTCACTTAATGCTCCCACTAATGACTCCATTTCGCTTAGGAGTTCAGTCAATTGGCCGGATGTGAGCTGTCGCAATTCTATAATTGAACCAAAAAAAAAAAAAAAAAAAACGTATTCTTAATTAATAATCATCAATTATCAAACAATGAAATTTAAATGAAAGAAAATTATCAAATTTATTTTCTCCTCATTATATTTCACTTGGGGAAAAAAAATATTTCTTTTTTTCATACTTTTGTCGTTAAGCGGTGAACCCAAAACTTCTCTGCTTCTTTCTAAAGCTTCGTCAGTGTCCAGAAGAGAGTCTTCGGAATCGGGAGATCTTTCCATTGATGGACTTTCCTAAAAGGAAAAAATAATTTAGAAATTTCTAGAAAATGTTTCGCCTCCTTTTTGGTTCGTTAGTTTCGAAATTGAAATTAATTATGTTTGAATGAAATTTGATCAAATTCATTAAAAAAGGTAAATACATTTTTTCTTCGACTGTAAATTAGAATTTTCTTGACAATCGAAAAATGAATTAAATTAAACTTTTGGAAGAAATTAAATTCTATACGTCAATTAACAGAAATTCTTTACAGAATTAAACTCAAATGTAGTTTTTGGTATGGAAATGATTTTTTACAGAATTAAATTCAAATACATTTTGTGCTAGAAATTACTTTTTTTACAGAATAAAATTCCAATTCATTTTTTTGTTCGATTTTGAATTAAAATTTTATGGACAATCAAAAAATGGAAATAAAATAAAATCGCAAGTTTTTAGAAGAAATTAAATTCTTTATAGAATTTACAGAAATTATTCTTTTATAATTCTTTTATTTATTAGGTATTATTATTATTATTATTATTTTTATTTATTATTTATTTCAAATTTCTTTTTTTTCAGTTTGTAGAATAAAATTTTATTGACAGTCGAAGAATGAAAATCAAATAAAATGGAAAATTTTTGAATGAAATTAAATTCCATCTGTACCTGCATAATATCGTCGATTTCACGAAGAACTTCTTCTGCAGTTTTGAGAGGTTCTTCAGGACTGTGTGAGTCAGTACTGCTGGACAATATTAACGCATGCATATCCAAATCAGTCGCAACAGCTTCATCTTCACTGCTTAAGTCCTCGAGTTCTGGCCTGAAAATAGATCATAATGAGAATAATAATTAAAGGTAATTTTTATATTTAAAAAAATTATTTTCCTTGCTTTTAAACAAAAAATTTTAACAAAAAACAAAAAGTCTTTGCAAAATTTTCTTCTTTTACAAAAATTTTCGATATTGTACTAATTATGGACTTCTAATACCAACGAGGTGTTAATTAACACGTTTAACAATAAATTATTCGAAACCTCTCAGAACCTTAATCAAATTAATTAAACTAAACTGTAATTACGTAAATAATTTTTTTTCCATTTTTTAAAATACGTTATTTTTTATAGTAAAAAGTACAAAAATAATTAGAAAGAACAGTTTTAAGAGAAAGCAAATTTAAAAAAATACAATTCCTTGTTTTGTTTTGTTTGGAATAAAGAAGAGGTCAAGGTTTTTTTTTCTTGTAAATAGAGAGAAGGACGATTTTTATAATTTTCTTCGAGACAGAAAATGTATTAAATTACCTATCTAAGTTTATGGCAGCCTCGTTCAGATTCAAGGCTGGCATGTGCATTTTTCTCGCAAAAGATTTACTCCAATCAATTGGCAAAATATTTCCAAAAGTCCCAGTAATTGTCCACCACATTCTGTAACAGAAAATAAATTTATTTTTCATTAGTACATTAAATCTAATTTCACCAACTTTATAACAATTTATAACAAATTTACAACAAATTTATAATTGATAATAATTGTTATCATAATAATGATGATAATTATAAATTATTACCTATATGTATAAATAAATAATAATATAATAACAATAAAATCAATAAATAAATAATAAGTAAATATAAACTTTAAAAAAAAAAGAAAAAATTAATTGCGTCCTTAATTAAAAAATACATTTTTATTCATTTCATGAACAAATCGTTATCAAAAAAATTTTTCAATATTTAAAATTCCAAAATTTCAAAATAAAAAGCATAAATACTAATACAAAAAAGATATTAATTGTCAATAAGTAAGAAATTAAGTTTCACTAATTTTATTAACAAATAAATTTTTCAAAAATTCAAAAATTGCAGAATTAAAAGTGGAAATTATGAATATTAATTAATAAATTAATTTTCACCAATTTCATTGCCGAATAAATTAATAAATAAATTTTCCAAAATTCAAAATTTGTAATTTCAAAATAAAAATTGCAAAAAATAAAAAATTCTCAAAAATAAATCCCAAAAAAAAAAAAATTTCAATTAAATTAAAAAATGTGTCTATTTGCAATCCAAATAAAGATAATCGTCATTTAATTAGCAAATAAATTTTCGAATTAAATCATGGGTAAAAGCGAGTAATCGAGATTAAAATGCAGATTACACACTTTTATGAATGCAATATAAGAAAGGAGATTTCTGCTGAGATAAATTTTTTTCCATTAAAAGGAGGCGAGTTAATGTGTCGGCATTTCATTATAAATATACATTTTATATTTCTTATTTTTGCTCTTCAGTGTTCACACATTTTCTTTCAAAAGGGACTTCCGTTAGAGCACGTGTTTTGCAGCCGTGTTAAATCATTATTATTAAATCAGCGTCTCGAAGTGTTATATAATATAATTTTCATCAGACTAAAATCAAATGCAAAATAAGTGAAAATGGCACGTGATTGATTTTCCAATATCGATTCCATTCAAAAATAGTCAACATCTTCTATATTTTTAATTTCTAATTAATTAATTAATTTTATATTAATAAATTCTAATTAATTAATTAATTTTATATTAATAAATTCTAATTAATTAATTAATTTTATATTATTAAATTCTAATTAATTAATTAATTTTATATTATTAATTTCTAATTAATTAAATAATTTTATATTATTAATATTTTTACATTTTCACTCACTAATTTATTATTTAAACTGAAATTTTAATATAGGGTTATATTTAGTTAATTACTTAATTATAATAAATAAATAAATAAATAAATAATTAAATTAATTAATTACTTAAATTAATTTTGATAAAATTTTCTAATTGTAAAATTGTATTATTATTGATAAGAAATTAATTTGAGGTAATTGAATAAAAAAATTAATAACTAAACCAATAAATTAATTAATTAATAAAATTAATTTTGATGAAATTGTTTAACTTAATCGATTGATTTGGTGAATTATGCAATAATTTACAGCTAATTATGCACATATAAAATATGAATCGCTGAAAGTGGCTTCTGAATGCTAATTAAGAATATTGTATAATTTTCTTTGAAGTTTATTTGTGGGTGGGAAGCCACAAGGAGAAAAGATTAAAAAACTGAGGGAGTGAAATTTCAAACTCTGTTGCTACACATTCATAGAAATTAATGCCTGACTCGAGAATTTCTTCATTTTCCTATCTCACGTGGTTGGGTAAAATGCATTTTCACATTTAGAAAAGAATTTTTAATAATGAAAGACTTTCAATTGTTTAATAAATAATTCTCTATTAAAAAAAAATTCTAATAACTTTTAATGACATATTTTCCATCGTTTTCATCATTTCTAAAAGTGAATTATTCAATTTTATACGAAGAACACTAATTTTCTTTGCTAATTAACAAAAATTATAATATTTGAAAACAAAGAAAAATTATAATAGAATTAAAATTATAATATTCAAAAAACATATTGAAATTATTATACTCAATAAATTATAATATTAAAAAAAATTATTAAAAAAAATATTTTCAGTGAAGTAAAAATATGTTTAAAAAAATTGTAAAAATTCGAAAAATTGTGTTTAAAAAAATTGTTTTCTTTTATTATTCAGAAATTAAAAGAGATTTTTTTTTAAAGAAAAGGTTTTTTTCGAAACTAAAATTATTATATACGTAAAAAAAAATATATATCCCCCTCTTGCACTTGAAGAAAAAAGAAAATGTCAAGTGTATCGTTATATCGTCAACAACACTTTTCTTCAACGTTAATTACTTCACTTCACACATTTCTTATTTTTCCGACAAAAAAAAGTGGATATTGTACATATAAATCACATTTGAAACCTTTTCAAAGAAAATTTTTGTTTCTTCTTTTCAAATATATAATATACAACACCAACAACACAATTGGAATGCAAAGTAAATTATGTAACGGTTTATCAATATTAGATAATTTTGCATATTACGTGCTATTCGACTTAAAATATCTAGATATAAATTAAAAATTTCCTTTTGTCATTTTTTTTTTCCAAGTCTCATTGTTTTCAGTGACAAAAGCATATAATTCAACTTTTATTCAAGGATACTTCAATGTTACTTGGTCTATTTTTCTCCTCGAACAATATAAATTTTACAACATTGTTGTGTGTAAAAAAAAGTGCTGAAAAAAATATTCCAGATTTAGAATATTTTTTTAATTTTAATTAAACTAAAAAAAATTAATTAAATTTCATTATTTTGAAATAAATTATAAGTCATTAATTAATTTATTTAATTAATTAAATTATAAATATTATTAATTAATTAATTTAAAACTTTAAGATCCTATGTTGTAAATAAATAAATATATAATTATTATACAATTATTGCAAAAAGTGTTCAAAAATTGCTCTTCAAATATTATTATCTATAAAAATATTGTGGACCTTAAAATAATTTTTGAAAATTTTACAAAAAGTGATATAACAAACTTCTAGTAAAAAAAGTTCTTAGAATATTCTCTTCTAATAATTGAATCATCATTACAATAATGTTACACAAAAATAATTAAAAACCTTCTTTAAAAAAAAAATTTTCTCGTAAAAATTATCAATGAAAAAAAAGTTTTACGAAAATAGAATGAAATATTAGAATAAATTCTAGAAATTACAATTTTTTTAAATTACAATAATTACAATAAAAATTAGAATGAAATAAAAATACTGAAAAATAATAATTTTTTTGTAATAGAACAAATTTTTTCTTGGTTGAAGAAATAATCTTTTGTTGATTCAAATAAAAAAATCTGTTATTTTTACTGTATTTTTCAAATTAAAAAAAATATTTAGATATTTTATTTATAGATAAAAAGTATTCCATTATTTTTGAAGTACAAATGTTTATTTATGGTTTCAATTATTTAATTGAATAAAATAAAATGTAAACATAAAAAATTCTCTGAATAAAATAATTTTTTCCTTTTTATAAAATAAAAATTTTTGTTCAAAAAAAAAAATTAAATTTTTCGTAGAAAAATAACTGAATTAGTTATATTTTCAACTAACTTGAATATTTATAAAAAAAGATTTATCAAAAAAGTAAATCTTCAGATCAAACTAATGAAATCCTGAGAAATGAGATTTTATTGCTTCAATAGAATCTTTCTTTTGTGAGTGTGGGTGTGAAATATATTGTAGAAATATTAAAATACACTAATAGGGAACATTTTTTTCTACATTTAAAATTTAAATTAAAAAATTTTTTTTTATTAAATTCAAAATATTTTAAAGATTGGATGAAACTGAAGACACGTTCCAATGAAGTTAAGAATAATTTACTAATATTTAGAAATTTTTTTTTAGATTTAAATAAAATTATTATAAAAAAATCCACAAGAATAAAAAAATTGTATTTGAATCAAAAAAATTTAGTATTTGAAGTAAATTCTTAATTGATTTAAATAAAAATTCTTTGCCTCAAATAAATATTTTCCTGAATCAACTAATTTTTATTGGGAATCAATAAAAATTTTGGAAAAAATTCATGAACTTCCCTTTTGTTATAAAAAAATCCACAATAATATAAAAATTGTATTTGAATCAAGAAATTCAGTATTTGAAGTAAATTTGTAATTGATTTGAATAAAAATTCTTTGCTTCAATTAAGTATTTACTTGAATCAATAATTTTTATTGGGAATCAATTATAAAATTTGTAAAAAATTTAAAAACTTCCATTTATTATCAAAAAATCCACAAGAATAAAAAAATTGTAATTGAATCAAGAAATTTAGTATTTGAAGTAAATTTATAATTGATTTAAATATAAAAATTCATTGCCTCACATAAATATTTTCTTGAATCAACTAATTTTTATTGGGAATCAATAAAAATTTTCGAAAAAATTCATGAACTTCCATTTTATTAAAAAAAAATCCACAAGAATAAAAAAATAGTATTTGAATCAATAAATTCAGAATTTGAAAAAATTTTTAATTGATTTAATTAAAAATTCTTTGCTTATGAAATAAATATTTATTTAATAATAGAAAAGTAATCGGTTTGAATAAAATAAAAATTTACAATCACAAAAAAATATTCATAATCATAAAAAAAGAAAGAATTACAAAAAAATAACTCGTAAAATTTCATAATTATTTCCATTTCGTCAGTACAAAAATTCACGACATTTTCCAAAACGGATGAGACAATAAATTTTTTCTTCCCCTGAAATTGTAAAACAGTTGAACGATTTTCAACAATATAAATAATTTATTATCTTAAAAAAGTTGTAAAACATTGTTTTTAGCACTCGACGAATGATCGAAGAAAAAAAAAGAAGCGACCGTTTTCTGTTATAATTTGCCAAGAATTGCTGGGATAATAGTTTGCAGAAGAGCTCATTGTTACAACAATGACTCGTTTATTTCCAAAGATTAAACGATGTCATTTATCTGTAAACGCG